TTTTTTCTAATGCAGGTATCTGTAATTTGGAAAAGAAGCTTTGCATGTATCCTGCATAGTCATTGGAAAAGGCACTTCTGCAAATTGTGATAGTCTAGAAGTCTGTAGGAAGGTTGCAGGGAAGGTTTTCTAATCTTTTTCTTCCAGCTTAACTTGTAAATAGTTCCAAAGTTCTGCTGAAGGTGCTCCATGTGTCCGTTAGTTTAGCTGTAGGGTACTGGTGACCCTTACCTCAAAGTGGTTTTTTTCTCTTAGATGAGTTTCCTAATGTATAGAAGTAAATCCAGTTTTAGGTACTGACTCCAGTGAAATTTCTTTTTCACTAAAAACAGGACGTTGAGAAATCATGGCAGTAGTAATTAAGACAGAGTAGGAATGAGTAGCAGCCAGTATCCTACCCCAGCATTCCCAGCATCCCTGCCCTGTGTTATGTAAATCAGGTGATCTGGGTGTTTATTTGGGCAATTCTCACTCCTCTTGCTCATGATAACCTCAGTTGTGTTGTGTCATCAGCAGGCTGGGACCTATAAGCAATTTAATCTCACAGGCTTAAAAATAAGACTTGCTATTTTTCTCAAGTCTGATCTCAAGCTATTACTTCTTTTCAAGAGATAAACGCTTCCTCTCACCTTTTATTAGGGCTGGTTGGCACAGTGTCTGTCTGAGAGGTATTTGAGCATCCATGAAGTATTGCTCTTAATATTCTGCACTGCAAAAACAGATGTAGATAAACTTTGCATACCATAATGTAAGACCTGGGGAAGAAGCTCATGTTTATACATTTCTAAAGGGAAAAGCACATTTTGTATTTTTGTGTTTTGTCATATGGCCTGAGTCAGATTTCATCTCTGTTGGGAAAATTAAACATTCAAGTGACTTTGACAAAGTCTGTGATGTTTATAAACTGTAAATTAAAATATTTAAAATTTCTTGTACTCAATATGACTATGTATGTAGGGAGATAAAAACACTGGTTGTGTCTTTCTAGAGATCATAGGGCAGTCTGCATAATTACAATACTTAAATAGCAGAGAGTAAAATCCTACAATTCATCATTATTAAAAGAAAAACAGAAGTCAGTGTTACAGACCACTTGGGACTGGTTTTGCTGTCAGTCAGATGGGAGTTAAAAAGTGGAAGTTCACTGTGGTCCATGATCAGAGTTGTGCAGTCACACACAGGCACTGGTGATAAAAACAAACAGATGATGCAAGAGGCCATCACCCTTTTTTCTTTCTTCCCTTAACATGTATCTGCTTTCTGCAGAATTTCTGTGCATTCTGCACAGTCTCCAGAGGAGCTCATGTATAAAGGGACCAAAAGACCCTGGATCTCCTCATTCCATTTTATGTTTTTTTATTTTTAAATTCTAACATGGAAAAATAATGCTGATGGCAGTTTGTGTTAATGTTATGGGCTGAGAATGGCAGTTGTTCAGGAACTGCTTCATGAACAGTGTGGGATCCACTGAAACAGCTCCAAGATGAACTCCCTCAAGTGTGTTATGGTAGCTGAGCATCAAAGGGTGGCTGGGGCTGTTCCCGAAAACACTTCACTTACTGGGTCCTAATAGATACCACTAATAATCACAGGGTGTCTGAGGAGTTGGTTTAGAAGCAAAGGAAAGATTGGAAATACTGTGACGGTTGACACTAAAATAGGTACAGTATAAAATAAAGCAGAGAGACCTTCCTGAAGGAAACTGCTTGGATCGGGATGTTTGCCTGCGGCAGGCCTCTGTCCAGTCTTCTACTAAGGACTAGAATCAGATTAAGAGCACATCTCTTAAGTGATCTTCAGTGCCTTTCAGCCTTGTCTCTGCAGCTTCCTGCAAGTTCCCACAGATTTGTTATGTCTCATAGGTAGGCATCCCTTGTCTGCACTTCTGGGGTCAGTATTTTTTCCCTAATGTTGCTCTGAGGGAGAGAAGGGGTTCAGAAAGCAGGTAGAAAAGGAAAATTTTTTATTTCAGAGCAGATGTGAGATGGGTGGGAATGGTGCTCCCCTGCCAGAAGATTCACCTCACTATGGCTGTATGTTCTTGCATTCATTCATACTGCTCTCATGTTTCAGTGTCTTTAATAAATATTTCCTAATAGACATGAATCTAAAAAGCTCAATCATTAAAAGCAAGGATACGTGGGAAATTGAGCAGCCTTTTAATGTCTATTGGGGACCACAGGCCAAAGTCTGATTTGCTGCATCGCATCATGGGAACCAAACCACAGCGTTAGTCCTCATTTAACGAGGATCCTGGCTGCTCTGCCATTCCAGCCTGTGAATTTCTTACAAAAAGGTGAGAGGATAGGGTTGTGCAGCAGAAATGGTGAGTGATGGTGTAGCAGAAATGATAAGTGATTGAGCACCTGGTGGGAAGGCAGGGCCAACCAAGGGGAGCCCAGGTGTATGAAATGCGTGACCAGAAGGGGTGGGACCAGGATCCCAGACCTCATTTAAGGGTTGGCATGGAGGCAAGGGGATCTTGCTGGAGATCTGTGTATGCTTGAGGCCTGCCTTCCGAGCAACTTTTTTCTTTTGTTTCTGTGTCCACAACTGCTGCATTTGACTTATCCTCAGTTGCTGCAGCCTAGGACTTTGTCACCCCACTATTATTGCTGTGCTTTCCATCATGTTATAGCATTACAGGTGGGCAAACAGATCCCACGTTACAGCCCTATTGAGACTCTTACCATAAAGTAAGACCAAATTTCTCCTTTGGTATGTTAACCTGCCACAAAGCAGAACTGCAGGCTGTACTCTGCACAGATAACTCTGGGAATGTCCTGGTTGGGTCTTATTTGGCTGTGTTGGGCCACAGTGAGTTACTGCAACAGAATTCTTTCAGTTGCAGAGGGAAGCTTGACCTGTCTTTGAATATGAAATATTCATGCTGTTTAGATAATACTTTGAAATGTTGGATTTTTTATATATGCTTGTTACATTGGCAGCTGACCTTTGTATGATTTCACTTAGAATCCAAGCGCTAGCTGCTTTGGTGAGCTCTTGGTATCACATCTGTTCACCCATTCAAAATTGTTATCAAAAGACTGCTTTAAATAGATTTGTTTCAGGGATGGTATGAAATGAAAATAAGCACATACTTTGTTTAGATCCTTGTTATGGTTTTTAATAAAGTCAAAGCAACCTTATGTTTTCCTGGTTGCAGGCAGAGGAAAGTGCTCTTTTATTTCCCCTGCTTATCTGCTTGTTGCACAAAGAGCCTTTCCCATGGGCTGAACTCCTAGAGGTTACAACAAAGCTGGCTTCTGTTCCTGGGTTGTTTTCAGTGTGGTTGAGCATACTAAAAACATACATTCTTCAGGGGAGCTGATAAGCCGAACAAGTGGTTTTCCTCTTTTCCAGATGAAGATAAAAAATTATCATTGCCAAATTAGTAACTTGTTTGTTGCTCTTTTAGCGTTTTACTGCTGTAAACCTTCATCTTGTGCAAAAGGTAACGGTGAGCAGTAATGCTGAGGTTATTCTTGTCAATAACCAGTTGCTAATCTAACTGGCATTTGGTTTATACTTTTTCAAATGCTACCTGGAAGATTCCACCACGGAGATCTTCAGAAAGCAGATTAGCTACCCGATGATATCTTATTTCCAGGAATACTGTGGAGCAGAATTAAAATCTGCTGCAATCTTGCTCGTTGAGATCCCATGCAAGTTGTATATGTACGCTGTGTCAGGTTAATAGAGCATATTTATGGGAAGAAGTACACATGCATTTATCAGTTCCTTAAGCACTGCCCCTGGATTCATGAACTTATTCAGGTGTGCAGGTGGTATTCTTAACATTTCAGCTTTGTGCTGTATGCTTTCATCACTTTTAGTACGCTATTTGCTATCAATTACAAAAGAGTCAAAAGGCCAAAATTTTGTCATTCAGCAATTCAGAGATCTGCTCACCTTGTGACCTTTGAGGCCCATTACTGAAAACTTAGTCTATCTAAGAAGGGAAGCAGAATGTTGAACAGGTTTTGGCATGCTGGTTTTCGGATAAGCAAAGAATATTCTCTCATTTGCTATTATTTAGGACAATATCATGAAAGAGGACATCGGGGTTTGCCAATTTCCCGTTCTGCATACCAGCTGAAATGCGTGGGTTAGCCTCTCTTTGCAGAAGACATCTGATGAATTGGATTGGATTTGCATCAATTTAGTTTTACTTTCATTACTTTTCTCTGATTTATTTATTGGATTCCGTATCTTTAGAAATTTTTATTACTCTCTCATTCAAGCTAAAAAATAGCTAATTTTTCTCTTCCAAATGAGTTGCTTGAAGCAAAGTACCTATGAATACGTGGGTATTTTAATTCACTTACTAAATGTACATAGACAAAATTTACAAGCAGCCTTTTTACCATTTTTTAAGTGTCTGCTGACTGTTGCATAAGCTAAATTATTTACAGTACGGTGCCTCACAAAAGAGGAGCAGATTTAGGTTATTTACTTGCCTGATAAGAAAAGGGGATTGAAGTTGCTGCGATATGCTGCTTTGTTAATTTTATATTTGTTCCCCAGTGTGTAAAATCTCTTTAAAGAACTAACATGAGTACTGGCAGACTCTTTTGAAATAGCGTGGAAGTGCGAAGATTAAACAAAACATGAAACGGTCTTAAAAATATAAGTCAGCAAGTGCTTGATAAAAATAAAAAATGCTCAACAATAGCAAACCTTTAGGATGCTTAATTTATTTGCTCTCTATCTGAGAGTGGCCTCTGCACTCCATCTGGGAGTAGTTCTGTGAGTTGTGTGTGTTTTGAGTGATACCAAGCTGGGGGTATTGAAACAGTGTGTTTGTACAGTATAATGAAAGCCATCGAAAACGGTCATGCTGAAGATCTCCCTTTAATGAGGAGATTAAAATCCACGCTGAGGTTGAAGATTGGAATTTGCAGCTGTGTCACTTGACAAGATCTTATACCTGAGGTGGTTTGGTCCTTGCTGTTTGTGGGTGTATGAGGCATTCACTATGGCTCTCTCTGCTCACACAGGTGCCACGGACCCATCTGACACCACGGCTCCCATCATCGTCATCCCTCCGCAGAACACGAGCATTGTAGCGGGGAGCAGCGAGGTCACACTGGAATGTGTAGCCAGTGCAAGGTATTGTAAAAGCAGAAGGGTCGTGAGCAGCTGATTTTAATGCCCTTTCCTTTGCTGGGAAGAACATAGGATGTTCTTTACATTCTTTATTATTGAAGCAGAATGCAGCGTGTCCCTTGCTCTTCAGAGTAACCTTAGGAATAATCTTATTTGTCCAACATTACTGAATTAAACTTTGATTTTTTTTTCTTGGCAAAGTAAGAATGTAGGCAGAGTCACTTTCCTACCTGTGGCTTACCAAGTAAAGACAAGAATAGTGTTGTGCCATCAGCAAACATTGTCTTACAGAAATCATTATGTTTCAGTTAAGTAATATTTCAGTTATATTGCATATTGACATGGAAGGTGATACCTTTTAAATCAACAGACTGTGCTTCCTAGTAAATAAATTAGGAAAGATCTCTTATGGAGTAATTTATTACAGATGTTCTTAGTTTACAGTGATTATTGCTCAACTGTTCATAATGCACTGAACATAGAGTTCACAGCATTTGTTTTGTGCACATGGCTGTTTCCACTGCATTCTGGAGGGAGCGAGTAGTTGAGTCTCCAGCTGATAGGAAGACCAACTGATTTACATTCTCCTCTGAGGGCAGAGATGTTCTTGATATGGTTAATATTTTCCTGGTAATTGAGTTATAATGAAAGCACTTCCCATGCAGCTGATTCGCATAACAATATTTACTTCTTTTGCTTAGAGAAATGAAATTATTAGTACTTAACTTCTATTGCTGTATCAATTAGCTGTACTTGCATAACGCCACTTGAGTAGTCTGTAGTCAAAGTGTAGAAGTTATGTATGCATTTACTTCTCAATAGCCAAAAGTCTAGAAGTTATGTATGGATTCACTTCTCAATAGCCAACGTTGGAGATAGAAGGAGCTTTATAATCCGGTATAACTGCAGACAAGTTTATTCTGTAATGTTTTATTGTATTTTTTTTTAATCTCTGTAGACCTGTTGAGAGACTAAGCATAGTGTGGAAGAGAAATGGAATGAAAATCACCAGTGGAATTAGCAGTTTTGGGAGACGCCTCACGATCACCAACCCAACCTCTGCTGATGTTGGGATGTACTTCTGCGAAGCAAAACTGACGGACAGCACAGAGGAACCAGCGAGAGCCAAAGCCTTCATTTCTCTAATGGGTAATTCTCAAGGCAGTGTGTTTTTTTAGTAAAACAGGCTCTGGGCCGAGGTATAGTAGGAAATAAGATTGGTATTTTAATATTTCACTGACCTTACATTTGAACCTTTCTTCAGAGTACGGAACAAAAAGGGTAGAAGGGGGTTGTCTTCCTAATTAATTCAGCTGTTCCTCCCCCATGAATATAAATTCATCAAATAGGTATTTTTAAACACGGTTCTGATTCTGAATCCCTTGTGAAACTATACATTTAATCAGAAGTTGGGGGAACACAGTAGTAAAATCCTTATTGGGCAGCTTCCACATCTCGGCTTTTAGCCGCATTAAATCCTGATTAACTCCCAGCTTGCTTACATCTAGTTTTAATATGTCAAGTGCCTGTATTTCTGAAAGAAGCCTTTCAGGAGCACTGCTATGCATCGACTGTCATGAGAGGCAGTCAAGGGGCCAAGGACCTTCCTGGGCACACAGGCAGGCAGACATCTTTACTGAGGTGACAAAAAGGAGAGGGAAATAACATTAAAATCAATGCTGCGTGCTGGACTTCCAACTCCAAGAGAAGCTTTGGGCTTATTTTTATGAGGACATTTAGCCTAGTCTTGATGGAGGGATGGACCTGTTCCCACCATCACCTCTCTTGCTGGAGCAAAATTCATTTGAAAATGTAGTTATCGTGCACGTCGTGTCCTGACACAGCAGTACAAATGAGCACGCTGGGCAGAGTGCAGAGTTTTGTTTAGGATTTTCAGGATAAAGGAGACGTTTTGGAACAGTAAGCCAGAGCTGATTGTGTCAAGTCTGGCTTTTATCTAATAGTCACAGAAGCAACTGTGTGAGTGTCCTGGACAGGTTATTGCTCTGGCAGTGATACAGGTGTCGGTGTTGATCAGAATTCATGCCCATGCATTTCTGTAGAGCATTGCAGAGAGAATTCAGCACGCGATTCTGTACTCTCCTTTCGACTTCAGAAAATACAATTTTAAAGACTCTGCTGTGTGGTCTGTTTTCTGCTAAAGCAATCTGAAGTAGTTTATGCTTAATGAGAAAACAGCTCTTCCCTCTGCAAAGCTGTGCTCCGGGTTCATTTGTAGCACTGAGTCTCCGTTGTATTTATCACCTACTGGGTGAAGTTTGGTTCCAGTCCTTTTTCTTTATACTCTGTTTCTTAGAATTATTGCTTTGCAGCTTCCCTGCCCCTTAAGGAGCAGAGACAGATTTCACTGACTTATGGTTTTGGTTTAAACTCTTCTATATTCATAAGATTTTATTGTAACTAGTTTAATTTTGCTGCTGTGGTGTCAGATCCAGCCTAATGCAGTACTTAAAGCAGCCTCTCGGTTAAGGTGGAAGATTCTTAAATACAGTTACAATAAAAGCAAGCAGCAATCATTGGGGAATCATATTAAAATAGAAACAGTGCCTTTATTTAGTAGCTTATCTGCTCTCTTATTTTATAGATGTTTTATTTATTTCTTATCCAATTTTAGGGGGCTGTCAGGGAATGAAGTTATGAAAAGGCCTGTAGATAAGAACAAGCAGATGAAAGAAAGCAGAAACAAATTGGTTACCCATTACTTTTATTTCCTTCTGATGGAACAAGACACTTCAGTTGCAGGTGTTTACTCAATGTGTCAGCAAAGCCTGGAAGATTTCTTTATTTATGAGTTTCTTTCTAGTGCTGGGGAATGGATCTCTAATTCTAAACAGGAAGCCGAATCAAAGGATTAATAGTTAATGCATAACTTATATTCAGCCTTAGAGTTCCGAATGGATCCGGCCATTGTTTAATTAATCAAGAGATGGGTTCTAGGGGACAGTACAGGCAGGATTCAAACCTAAGCATTTTTGTAGTGCATGTTGGAGCAGTACTCATAGAGGCTCAGGAATGCTCATTCATTTGCATACATAACATATTTACAGAGTGTGCACATGAATAGTGACCTGATAATGAGCTGCATTTCTTTGTAGAATAATACAGCACGGACTAAATAAGGGGTCTTGACTACAGGAAAAATGAAATTGTGGTGATAGAAGAGGTTTATTTTCAAAATGATTTGGAAAAGTCAAATAGAGACTCTCAGTAGGTGGTAATAAGAGCTTTGGTGGATCAGTAGAACAAAAAGTTTTGCTATTACAGGTAGAATAGAGTCGGCAATAAAAAGATGCATCAAAGATATCACAGATATTGATAATGCTGTACAGTAGGACTGCATGAGCAAGGAAGGCAGCCTGTGGGTCACACTGCAGTTCCCTCTGGATGTGGCAGAAAGCCTTCTGACATCTTCATATTGTTCCGGCAAAGATAAACAGAGGTGGTTCCAATCTCTGGTTTTATTAGCTGCAGTTGTTATAAATTTTTAAAGGGTAGCATGTTCCTCACTTGGCAGAGTAACAGTTTGGGGAAGATTTGTTGCAGATTAGATAAGAGCGCATTTGTTTTATCACTAACAGTTTGAAGATTAAGGAATTTAAGGAGTCAACTCGTGAGCAAACCAATTTGAAGATTGAACTAATCTTAAATTCTTTTGCTGCTGTTCTGCAAGTTCCATTGTTGACAAATTGCAATCACCATTTTTAAATGGTTGTTCTATGGGAAGTTATGTATATTAGGAGCTCACGAGAACACAAAAACCATACTGCTGTTCAAGTTGGATGCAGTCAGAAAGTAAAATCCCACAAGAGGATTTAGGGGATGTCCAGCTTTGTCTGCGACATTCACAAGAAGTTCCCATTCTCTCAGTTCTGCCAGCAGATGTGTTCCCTGGGCTGTTACAGGATTTTAGAATGCACAGAGAGCAGCTGGCAGCAGTGGAGTTGGTTGTACCATGTAGTTTCCCAGATGTAGTAATGGTATCTTTCAAAAAGGAGTTTTTCCTGCCACAGGATTTTTCCTGTAGTTGAGAGCATGCAAAGCACAAAGCAAGAAACTAGGAGGGCCTTTTCATCTGCTTCGATTTTAACTTTATGTTCATGCAAAGAGAAATCCTGCTTCAAGGACTCTGTTACAGCCACGTGTTCCAGCACAGGCAGCCTGCCCTGCTGTCTGGAGGTACGGACTTGGTTACCTACAAGGCACTCGCAACTTTCCAGTTCCACTTCTTTATAGGATATTCAGCAAATAAATTAGTTTATGCTAATGTTAGAGAAAGGCTTCCATGTTTAGGGCTCAATTTTCCTCTTAAATATGCAGGCTTGAATTTGAGTGGTGCAGGATTTTCAGCTCTGGAGGAGCCCCTGGGGCTTTCTCTGTTCTTTCTGACTTTCATGTATGTATCTAGCATTAGGTCACACATCTCCAATGCAGCTTGAAGGGTATGTAATGGATGCTGACTGCTATCTTTTGAATGTTAAAATCAGTGACCATGTAACTCTGTGTGAGGGAAGTTAGAACAGTATCACATTTTGCAGACTCCCAGGGGTTTTGCAGAGCAGCTATCTTTCCACTGATGTCTATAGTGGGGAGGAGGGGGGGGGGGGACAACAACAAAAAAAACACCCTTAAACCATCAACAACTATTAAAAGCATGCATTTATATTCAAATATTCGTTTTCCCTTTTGGCTGTACTTGACCTTTTAGTTAAGATCACTCAAACACCAATACAATATCTGAACAATGTAGTATGTGTTTCGTTCAGTCTGAGATGTGACCCCTCTCATTGTGTAGGACACTGCACTGCCAGCAGGATGAATGCAGTGTAATAGGTCCTTTCCTCTTCTAACTATTGTGATTCTATAATTTAAATCAAATGTTTGACCTGATACCAACAGGCTACTATCATTTCTAGAAATTGCTGTGTCTTGGGGCCTGTGTTTGGCATGTTATATAGTTTGGAAGATGTCATAATTTCACCACACACATTAAATTTCAACGCTTGATCATTGCCTGCAACAGTAAATGTTCAAATTTGCACTATGTGATTCAAACCAAGCCTTATAAATATGTAATTGAGTCATATATACAGACGACCAGAATACCCTTTCAGAATGCCATCTGACCCTTCCAAATATTGCTGCAGTTTTATGGCCTCTTTCTGAAAGTTGTTCACCAGGTGCTGTGTATAATGCAAATGCAGACACTGGTAGCTTGTGCTGGGCCTACAGCCCTTCAGACACACTCCTGGTGTGCAGATCATACATCTGACCCATCTAAAATGTCAGGGGGCTTGATTTTGGTGCTCTGTGTCCTGTAACTGGAGCACTTTTACCTTGATTTCTTCCACAGTCAGTGTTCAGTTGAAGCCACAGACCCTCACTACCACCCTAGAGAATGCCAGCACATTGGAGCCTGCAAAGGACCTTTTGAGCATGCATGGTGCTACCATATGGGGCATACATGTGGGTGAGGAGCACAGCTTGCATGGAGATCACTGCTCCATTTTGCTCAAAGCCCTTAAAGGTATTCCTGCATCAGTACTGCTGTGATTCTGTCTTAGCAAGACCAATGTTCCACCTATGTTAGGCTCAGGATGTTGCAGCACTGTTGTCCATATGTATTCTAGGTGATCCAGAATTTCCTTACAGATCAGTACTGTCATGCTGTCCAGCTTATCTCTAATTCTGGGCAGCTTCAGTTCACTAAAATTCAGTACATTGTGAAGTTGCTTCTTGGAAGCATTTTTGCGTCTGTGCTCATCACCCTGAAGTAACATCTGACCTCCCTGTGTGCAGTTCTTGCCTTGGTCTTTAGCTCTCTTTCACCAGCATTTGGCCAAGCTTCCAGCTGCTGGAATGGCTGGGAGAGTTGAGTTCAGTAGGCTTTACTGTGAAGGAAAACTTGGATCCGGTCTTGAAGAAGACTGGAAGTCGCATCTATTGACAGACCTGTGCTCTGAAAGTCCTCTGGGAATTGTCTGTGGCCTTTAGATTGCATTTTTCTGCTGCTCCTGCCCTTCTTCTGCCTTGTTTGCTTCAATTTCCTCCTGCTTCTTCCAAAAAAAGCTGATGTAAACCTTCCTTTTATAACATTACAGTCTTGTTTGCTAAGTGTCATTTCGCAGTGACTTGAGGTTCTTTGTCAGGCAATTCATTGCTTGACAAGCTCAAGTAAGCATGTCTTAATACAGTAAGTTTCTCTGAGGGTAGCATAAGAGCCGGAATGGGATTTTAAGGAAGGAGCACAGATTGCAGGATAAGATTTTGGGAGAGACACAGGGAAAACAGACTGTGTAAATATGCCAAGGACCTGTGCAACAGTAGTTCCTGAGCAGTGGTCGTGGAGTTACGAGTGTCTTTGAGGTCACGTTAAGTTGCTTTGCAGCTGAACTGCAGGCCCATGCTGGAGATAAATCTTCCAATTTATTACTGGTGCATGAATATATTGCTGATCTAGGAGAAAGTTTGCGAGCTGGCAGCTGAAGGTTGCCAGGTTTAAAAACTGACCTTAAGATCAGAGGGCCGTATAGGAAGGGAAGGCATGAGAGGTGCATTCGCTAACTCCCTAAAAGGAGCAAAATACTGACAGGAGGCATCTGTAGAAGCCCAGAGCTACAAGTGAATGTCTAGGGGTTAGGGGTACAGGTCTGGGTGCTGTTTTACTCCCTTGGGTGCTGGTTTGGCCACCTGTCCCCCCTCTCCCCTCACAATCAGATTAAATTGACGTAGAGGGAAATATTCAAGTTTTATTTTAAGAGAGAGAGACAGAAGGACCTGGGTATCTGTGTATCCATAGGCACAGACAAGTGGGAGACCGGAAGCTTGAAGATCAAAAAGATGAAATTCCTAAACATGGGATTCAAGGAGAACATCAGACAAGGCTTGAAGGATGTCTGATACCTTTTCTCAAGTCCTAACTCGGAGTTAGAATGCACTTAGATGCATTGCAGAGGGCTCAGCAGTGTGGATGATCAAACATGTCAAACTGCATGCCATCAGTGAATTTCAATTAAACGTTCGGCTTTCCAATTTGTTGTTTAGATTAATGCATGAGATCATGTGCAATAAATCACTACTTATTATGTATGTTTATTAATAGCTTTATATTTAGGCAGGGAGGATCAATAATGTTAACACGTGTGTATTATTAGAATATCATAAATCATGCAGCTCATTTTATTGGTTTTCCTGGATAAATGAATATTCAGGCTATTTTGCAACCTCACCTCCTCCCCGTAAGATTTTGAAAACGTATTGATTGACTTTATTTGGAATGAATACAGAGCTGTAATATCCAGTGGTGCCCAAAAGAGGCCCTGATTCTGTACACTCAAGCAAGTATTTTATTGCAGTTAGCGGGAAGGAGTGCATTGCAGTGCTGGTGTTAATGATGTGTACCTACCTGCTGCTGTTCTGATCTGCTAGATGAGGGTGGCAACACATGCTGTACAGATATCAAGAGAGATACGGGAGATCTGTGGGATAAATTAATACAGTGTTGTTTTAATTTATGAAAATAGTGATGTTCTATCAGTAACACAATCTGCGCATATGATTGGGGAATAGATTTGAGAGAAGATCAGCTCAGATTCATTGTCACTTGCTGTATTCTTTCAAACATCCTTGAATTCCTTAAATTGAAAATGCAATATCATCTTCTTACATGCTACTTCTATTGTCTTTTCTGTGTTATCAAATACTTAGCAGTGAGTTTTTCTATGCTACAATAGAACTCTAGTTATAATCAAATAAAATGATTCTACAAACAGTACTTGGATGATAATTACATCAAGTAGACTATGACAATTTTTTGTTACCATGATTATTACTGCAACCTTAATGCCTATGGGACTTGGACAAGATGCTCTTCAATTTTATGCCGCAGAGAAGAGTAACATGATGGTATAGTGTACCATTTCAGGAATCTTGTCTTTGTTTAATTAAATGTCTAATATCTTTTCTTAAGTCCTGATAATAAAGTGTGGACTTTTATGATTATTGCTATAACTTCAATTAAAGCATTAAATCTGTTTGCTTTCAAGAAATAAAACAGTTGAGAAGAATTTTTTTAATTATACAGCGCTTATCCTGTGATGTTGGCTCTCTGACATGCCATGACACTTTATTTGATATGCTTCATGCCTTCATGAGGTGGAATTCAGTTTAGATACTGAAGCAAACTATCCAATAAAATGGTATGTTGTAAATATAAACCTTTATAAACCTCTTGGGAAGGCCTTTCTGAACGAAGAATTAAAATGTTCCATGATTCAGACCTATAAAATGAAAAGCAGTCCCTGCTCTGAGTATTAATTTGCAGTGCAAAATGCTAAATCTTACCTAACATTGACTCGATGCTTTGGAATTCGTACTCAGCAAAGAGAGAATTTGTTGGCTTTTTTATGATGCTTTTACTACCAAAAAAAAAAAATCCTCCAAGTAGAAGCTCAGACCAAATAGACAGTTCGTAATACACCATATTAAATAAAATGCGTGCAGACCCATCATATGAATGTCGTTATGTCACCTTCTATTTTTCATTTTACCGTGGGTTTCTCTGCTTACTTTTCTTTGTTTCCTCTGTTCTGAAGAACCACCACATTTCACTGCGGAGCCCGAGAGCGTGATTTTGGCTGAAGTGGAGAAAGATGTGGACATCCTGTGCCAAGCAATGGGTGAGTGTGTGCAAGTATTCCAATTTGAGTCAAAAATACATATATCCTGTACTGAGGAAAGCATCTGATATCCACCTTTCATGTCTCGAGGCCGACGCATTATTGCCAGCTATTGCAGATCCAGGTATAAGGTATGTGGAGGGTGTTTGTCTTTGGAAAAATGCCATAAATTGCTGCATTACAAACTTTGGAGCCAATAGATTTGTTCAGGTAGAAGTATGGTTGTGGAACCCATCGTTTCAGTGCAAACAGTCAATATTTCAGCAATTCCTCTTCTCTACAAGTTATGGAACTTCTATAGTTCCTGTCAGTAGCTCTGACATTTAAGTGTAGATAAGAGTGCTGAGGAGGACTGGTACGGGTGGTTTTTAATTGGCAGGTGTTTTAATTACATAAAGGCCTTCAGTTGTTAAAAATTCCATTTTAGACAAATTGCTGTTTAAGATTTAGTTCCAGAGAAATAGAAGCACACCCCATTTTAGCACTCCAGAAAGTCATCACAGTGTTGTGATTAGAGCCGGCTTGCCTCCATCGCTGAATTGCTGTGTGACTTTGGCAAGCTGCTTAACTTTTTGGTGTCTCAGTTTCCCTGATGCTGTGTTTTACAGGCAGTACGCATAAAAATGCAGCCTTGAGCTCCTTAAGTAAAAAGTATACCATATTAAAAAAAAAAAACAACAACCCTGCACCCAATTCTAACTGACAGCTTATTTGGATGGGTTCCTTCTTCAGATCGGAGCCAAAAAATAAATTCTTGCATATCTATTTTATTTGCATCAGGATTTAAGTGGGTTTTTTTTTGCTTTACATAGGAAAGAGTCAACACTGCTTTTCTGGAGGAAGCTTTGCAGACATGTTATCACAATAAGGAAGCGTGCATGTAAGGATGCTCCAGCTGATTTGGAATTTCAAAAATCTTTGATGAGGTTTCTTATCAAAGGCACTTATAGAAAAGAAGCTATCAGGTTAGAAGAGACAAGGTCTTGTTGTGAATTAATAGCTTTTTAAAGAGAACAAATGCTCAGTTCTCAAAGCTGGGGCCCAGAGTTCCCCAGGATTCCGGGCTGTTCAACATACAGAGTGAACAGTAAGATGAGACTGTTTGCTGATTGTATAAAATTATTCAAAACAGCCAACATTAAAACTTAATGCAGGAGAATCGTGAAGTGTTCGGATGATTTGAGCTTACTGGACAGTAAGCTGGCAGATAACATTTTGAGAGAGGTGAAATTAGCTCTTACTATGCAGAAAAGCTGTATCTTCTGCAAACATCAGTTCTGTGTCAAGCGGTGGATTGAAGTGCTGGGTGTTGGGAAGGTGGAAATAATGTTCTGTCATTGGGCTGCTCTTGCTTTTACTGCCTGAGCATCCGAGACAAGGTAATTTCAAAGGAAGGAGGAGTGACTAGATAGACCTTCATTCTGACCACATACAACCGACTTTATAATGTGTTATGACAAATAGATCAGCATTTTTAGATTGGAGGAGTTTTTCCATGTAGCAGGATTAAAAACAAGTGTTTTATTATTGGGGAAATTGAATGCAAAAACATTCGGAGATTTCTGAAAAATGCTTCAATCTCACACAGCTATTTGGGAAATCTCTGACACTCTCTCTGCTCACTGTCACTGGAAAAGCTTTCTGCTGTCTCAAATGTTCTTCATGAATTAACAAAAAAGAAGAAAAAATAAAGTAATCCTGGAACATCAGAGAGAGAAGGTGTTGACTTCTAAATTCTTCCTTCTACCCTAGCTCTTCCTTTGAGCACTTTAGCTTCTGAAGAGCTTAACTGGAAACTCGTAACTATTCTCAGGAGATGAAATCTTATTGGAGGCGTGGGCACCTGGCCTGGAACAAATAACTTCTTTCTGCTGAACTCTTCCCATACATTTGTTTGTTGGTCAATGTCTGATTTGTTGGTCAGTGTGATGCAGGCACATGGAAACCTGTCTTCACATGCATTTCTGTGCTGAGCATCTCTAGCCCAGACTTAAAAAGGGCTTGCTTGTATATAGAGTATTAAGCAGAGGCCTTCTGGTCCATTATTACATAGACCTACAGCGTTTATAAAGAGGGTAAGTGAAGGTTGCTGTCTCCCTGCTCAAACTAGGAGCTAGAATAAGGCATGTGGGAAACTGCAGATCTGCCCTACACCTTTGTTGAAAATAGGAAGACGGACTGGATTTCTCCCGGCCCCATCAGGTTCTGTGCACAAAGCCCATTTGCTCAGGCTTTGTGCACCTTGAATGTGTGAGAGACAGATTAATTTCACAGTATAAGCAGAGATTAACTGTAAATAAAATTGCAACTTGCACAGGCTAGCTTTATACTTCACTGTAATGGAGTTTCAGTGTATCAGACTGCGCAGTAACCATGCTCTGCTGTATATCTTCCAGCACTTGCTGATGCTGCATGCATTTTCAATGGCTTTTCTTTAAATGCTTTTTCTTATTTGCTTATAGGAAGTTTTGGGCTGCAGGCATTTAAGGGGGTGTCTGGGGAGTGCAGTTAATTGGACTTTAGTTCTACCTGTTTAAACAAGGAGATGGAGGGATGTTTTTGGGACGCCCCAGTTGCCCACTGGGATCTAGAAAAGACTATAAAAAATAAATAACAAAAATGACACAACGAATATTTAGAGTCTTTCATCCAGACTCTTAAATAAGTGAAATTTGGCAGAGAGACAAACATCTGTTTCACAGATGGGGAAACTGAGCCTTGGCTTGCATAAATCATTTGCCAAGGTTACAGAGAAAGTGGCACAGCCCAAACCAGTCTGTCTCCTTCCCCTCCTCCTCTGTAGCACCAGATTGATTTGTCAGCCCATCTTTGGGGAAAAAAAAAGAAAAGAAAAAAATAGAGCACTGTGTACATGCTGAGAATTAAGCTTATTTTACTTAATATTATGTTATTTTAGGCCACTCTAATCTCTCAAACAATAAGGTAGGATAGGGCGGATAATGCTTGGAAAGGCATCATCCAATATGTATTTAAAGTCTTTTCTTCTTTTCGTATTTTTTTGTTCAGCAAAATTTGTAGAGAGGAGAAGAAGCGAAATTCCTTGGAGGGTGGCAGGAGGAAAAGCGGGGCGGTGGGAGAGTGGAGAAGAAAGGAGGCTGGTTTTAGCCATTTTTATAGCTAAAGAGGTAGCGAGATGATAAAAGAAAATGTGTACGACTTGGAAGACAAATCTCTCTGGGAAGATCACTAAAGCCCAAATGAATGCTGCTGACAGGCATCAGAACGCTTAGATAAGATCCTATTATTCAGACTCATAACTTTGAGTAGAGGAAGATATCCGTAACCGAAACGTAGAAAAATAGAGATGGCAATATTCAGTTTGTCAGCTGGGTTGGTGATAGGAAGGTGTATCTCACAGCGATTATGGGATTAGAAGGTTTGCTAATACTGTTAGAAGAATGGGATTTATGGAATGACACCGGTGTTAAAGGTTTGAGTGTACTGAATGCGGGGCTGCATTATTTCCTCAGTGCCCATCAAGTGACGTGTGGGGAAACTAGAGTTGCTATTATTTAAACTTGAGATCATTTCCAAGCTTCTCTGCATCAAGAGAACTATTCCATTTTGCATCATCTGTTTCTTCATTACTCAGTGATAATTTGTATTTGCCCGGGAGGATCTTGAGGAGATGAATAACACTCTCACCGAGAATTCTGAACAGGGAAGTTTGCGCTAATTCTGTAGATGGGCTGCTGCAGGAAATTTAAATTATGTCAATGGAAGCTCCTCCGCTGCATTTATTCTCTGTCAGACAATGCACTCTGCATCGTGGATTTCTTCCTGAGATGATTACCTCCCAGATTATGAGTGCATTTTATTATGTCAGTGGAACAAAAGCATCGGAGGTGATTGTAGTAAATGGTACATGTTTACAAAAACAGCTGCAGCAATTGAACACTTTTTTTTTTATCAGTCCTTACATTGTTTGTGTGTGATTTCCAAATAATTAATTTAGTTTTTGTCTGTAGAAAGAGAATATATCAGAAGAAGGTATGAATGAAAGTATAATATGGTGATATTTCACGTTGGGATATTGAGAATGACAGTATGGCTCCTCCTGTGGCACTTCCCCTCTGAAGACCTTAAGTCATGGCCAACACTACAGTGAAATTCAATGTCTGCATGTGCTCAGTTCATCAGTGACATTTCTTAGTACTGCTGTGATGCCCCACGTGGCTTTGCTCAGTGACTCACCTGTGAATTCATTTCTATGGCTTTGCTATGATGCAAGGAGCTGCTATCCTCTCCTTATTACAAGGGACTGTAAAGCACTGAGGTTTAAAGTGACGCATGTTCGAAAATAGCTCCTGATTATGAAGATAAAACCGTGTTTGGGACTGAGGTTACTTAAATCAGTTTGATGCCCTTCTGATCCTGTGATTATCCAATCACATAATAAAATATCTGATCCCTGCGTAGGGCCCTTGGCATTTGATCAGCTGGGGATTTCTAGGATATAAAGGCCAAACAGTCAATGATGGGAGGAGCAGGGTGGGAACATCTGCAGAAAGCAGTCCCAGTCTTCTGATATCTCATGAAGGAAAGAGAATCCTCTATTCAGTATCTGTGGATACTGAATTTATGGCTGCTTCATCCCAGCTGACGGGTATATGGCTGCAGCAAAACTGGAATTAGCATGTCATGATTTGTAGAACATGCACATGAAAGGAAACAGGAATAAAAGGGCTTGTATTTACGGCAGGATTTTTGTTTCTCCTAATGTCCGTGTTTTTCAAATAACAGGTGAAGCTTGAGAATGAATAAAAATAATAATTTAAAGCCATCTCATTGTGGGCAACAAGCTGCTCGCACATTAGCTCAAACTAAGCTGCCAAATTAGAACTCGAATACAGTCATCTGAGCACTTCATCTCTTATGTGTAATTTGCCATTTCCTTTTTATTTTGACATCTTAGCTGCAGTAGCACAGAAAAATCTCATTTGGGATGGAACAGCCTTATAGACTCGCTGCAATGTCACACTGCTGCTGTTTAAGTAGCATGATTCTGGCTTTCAATGTGAAATTGCTATAAATCTTATTTTGTAGTAGCATGAAATATGATTGGGTGAAGAAAGTAATTTGATAACATGTTTTCTCAACATTCCCCCTTTCACTGTTTTCCCACATGTTCTGCTGCATATTCTTACCATTGATAATGTAAAATGCTGCCTCCCATTTATCAAAAGCAGCTTGTAAAAGTATAAATAAGCACAGTGGAAGGAAGGGATACCAGCGATGTGACCACAACAGCGCTGTGTTTCAACTCTCTACAGCACATCGTGCACATACTGACAGTGACATTCTTCTGGGCTTTTTTTTAGGTGTTCCCATTCCTTCCCTGGTTTGGTATAAGGATTCTGTTCCCCTCAGCAAGCTGCAAAACCCCCGCTACAAAGTCCTGCTGAGCGGGGGGCTGCGCATCCACGCGCTGCGTCCTCAGGATGCGGGGATCTTCCAGTGCTTCGCCAGCAACAAAGCTGGGGAGATACAGACCTACACCTACCTGGATGTGACCAGTGAGTAAGGAGCTGGGATTGTTGTCGATGAGTTGTGCTGTTGTGTCTGTAGATGAGCCTGCAGCCTTCAGGTTTCTCCTTGCTCGTGTGGTTTGAACCTTGATTTCTTATAATACATGGCTGTCCTATGTGTGAGATACCCCAACGTGCCCAGTTTGGTTTGAATGCAGCCTGATGAACCCTGTAGAAAACACAGGAGCTTGAGGCAATCTCTTATTTCATGGTATGAAAAGAAAAGTAAGGGAAGAAATTGAAAAGTTAATTGTAAAATGGTTTCCCCTTTTCTTCATTATTAAATTATTTGGTTGGACTGTAATGTAACTCTTCATAATTGTTCATGGTATTTTTTTTTTCTGTCTTTTGTCTACAACTACACTTAGCAGGGAAAACAAAGAAAATTCAAATTTAATGTCTATTTTTTTGGCCGTAAAGTCTGATTAAATGCTTTAGTTAATGAAATACACTTTTCACTGTGGGAGAATTACAAATCCTCATAGTCTCTTTTAAAAGCAATTATTAACAAGCATATATTCCCATAATATTTTAACTCCTTTTCAGGAAGCTGGTTTTTAGCCCAAGAGCAGTCTGTACGTAATGACCAGAATTTCTTCAGCCTGCAGAAACTAGATCAGTTCAATATAGATCTAGGAAACTGCAGAAAAAAAAAAAAAAAAAATGTTGTAAAGTGCAACTGGGGGAAAATAAGAGTGAAAGAAACTTGGAAAATGCCTTAGATGAGACTCGGGTTCTAAATTCTTTTGGCTGACATTTAAGTTTCAAAGTTAATGCCTTTCTGGAGTTGCTTTTCATCTTAAAGAACTCTGTTATGAAGATGAACGAAAATAGTTTTGTTTATCTAGATTTCCCACTTTCCCCCAAACACTCATTCAAAGCTTTATCTGCCTTTATCTGTAAGCCATCTTACTTGTACACGTGTAAGTGCTGATAGATTTTTATTTTCCAGGTAGGTAATAAACTGAATTAGGTAATTCCTCAGAGATGAATAATGAAAGGTTACAGTCACTGCTGAGAGGTTTTCATGCATTATTGTCATGTCCTTCTCCATGATCAGCACTGTAAAAGTGGATGTAAAGCAGTCCACGATAATAGGAAAGGCATCTTTCTGATAACTGATCCGCTGAGATTTCAAATTGTTTGATTCTAGACATTAAGCCAGCATTTATACAGCCTCCAGAGGACACCACTGTGACTGAGGGGATGACTGCCATGCTGACCTGTGAAGTTTCGGGGGCCCCAAAACCTGCCATCTCGTGGAAGAAAGGTACCCACTTACTACACTGTTGTGGAACTGCTTGTTTTCTTATCTATTCCTACTCCTGAGATTCTGTAGATCCATCTAATATTGCTCTAGTTCTATGAGCCAAGGGTTGTAGAGGTCCTGCTGCGAGCCAGCAGCCCAGATAGGTTGATACCATCCATGTTTGGAAGAGCTGGGACTGCAGTGCCTCATCCAAGCAGCCTACGTGACATTAATCATGCTGCTTTTCCTTTCTGTGTTTCAGGAAACCAGATCTTAGCCAGTGGCTCAGTTCAGATTCCTCGGTTCATTCTTCTGGAATCCGGAGGGCTCCAGATAACGCCCGTGTTCCTTCAGGATGCTGGCAATTATACTTGCCATGCAGTCAACTCCGAAGGAGCTCTGAATGCTTTTGTGATGCTGACAGTGTGGAGTAAGGACAACGCTTTGTTTAAAGTCTAATTTGAATCAAGTGCTAATTGGATTTTGGTGTATGACCGGGACATTTTCATACCCAGTTATACTCTTCTCATAAATACTTGTACAGTTCAGTGGTGATTATCTACTGTTCTAGAAAACATATCACAAGTACCATTTTGTTTTAGAAATCATACATATAAACTGTTTCATTTTGTGAAAGGTTGTGTGTTTCAATGGAGCATCTAGTCACGCTTACAGTTTCACTCAGGTTTTGCAATGGTGAAACTTGCCTTAGTCTGCATTGCAAATCTGCCCTTTTACTTTGTGGATTTGGCTGTTTGCAAGTTGTTTTCTGCCTCCAGCAGTCTGCAGGCAGTGTAGAACAGCCCATGCTGTTACAAAGGCTGTGGCTACAAATACAGTGGATGTGATTTTCCTCCTAACTGTGCATTTCTGTGTGACCCTGGGCGTTCTTGGAAGCCGAAGCAAAGTGCAGCACACTTCTACTCTCTCATGTTAACAGATTGGCATGGCACAGGGCAGCCTGTGAAGTGATTTAGTCTTTCATCGTTTGCCCTTGATCTCTATTTTTCCCTTCTGTTGGTGTAAAAAATTGAATCATTTAGGTTCCCCTGTATTACCCCTGAGTGAGAGGCAAAATATAAGTTTCGTGTGTCTGATCTGAACCAGCAGCTGAAGGGTTAAAGTGCAGCGTGTATTGTTGCTGTTGGTAGGAAACAAGGATCCTTGAGCTGGGACTAAAAACAATTAAAGACAAGGAAGATGATAGTGACAAACACAGAAGTACTGAGTAACTCTTTTCTCCTATACTTGAAGTACAGCCCTGAGGCTGATTATGCCACAGGTGTGTGGTGTGTATTTGACATCTGTTAATCCCAAAAATGTACACGTTACAACAGTAACATTTTGCCTTTTGAACTTGGGAATACCTGAAAACCATACTGGGAGTAAATATAAAGTGCTTTTGACACATGACTGTTAGATTTATACCTCATTGACGACGTCAAGTCAGGATTCTGTAAACTGATTGACATCCAGGTGTATGAATAATAGAGATCCTTCCTGTTAATTCTCAAGGGATTGATTCTAATACGTGTTAAAGATAGTTTCTGTTCATTGATACTGCATTGGAGGGGAAGGGAGAAGTGATTCTGACCTAATACTTATGTAGAACTTTACCAATGTAAAGCTGGTAGGCATGCTTAGGTGCATCAGGAATAATGCCAACATTCCATGCTTCTGGGTGTAGCTTTTGATTTTGCTGATGATTTTCTTTTTGTGCACAAATGAGATCTCGGTAGATGCTGATTATCTCTGTGGAGAATTGGGACTGATTAACATTATCCACATTATCCACATATCTCCTCACCCCTAGTTGTCTACCTGCTCCAGATGATGCTATCTGCTGCTACTGCTGTGTGCTGAGCATAACAGAGATCTTTCACACCAGATTTGGTTGCTGTAGTTACAGCAGTTTTTGTCTTCTGTGTCTCCAGGAGGTGCTTGAATAAAGATGTTTTGAAACATTTAAGTAAACAACATATTTCCCTATGTGAAAAAATTCAGGCTACCAAAAACTCCTCCTCCCTTAACCTCTTTATAGAATGCCATCCAAGCTTTCTTCTTTCTGGATGTTTTTTCTACTGTTTTTTTCTTTTGCACAGATTTTCCCTGTGTGTTTTTGTTTTCTCCACTCTAAATTGTGTGACTTGTTTTCTGACAAAATGCATGTTTTGATTCATCCTTAACGTGTTATAAACATACTTGCTGCCTTAGGACTTCAGGGAGTTGCCACAGAGGCTTCCCACAAAGACAAGTGAGAGTCAGTGCAGCTGCAGCACTGCTGACTCAGACACGTGCCCTCTGCTGCCTTTGCCTCCTGCACCCCACAGCGTACAGCCTCTTCTTGACACAATGACATTAGAGGCAGGAGAGGCTTCATAGCAAAGACTTGAAGAGGAATGGCCTGCTTGCTTTGAATGACAAATGTTCAGTTGCCTGCTCCCCGAGTGAATATCCAAGTCAAAATGCTGTAATTTCACCTGAACTATGGCTTGCGTTCCTTTCAGATCGGACTTTCATTGTTCACCCTCCTGAGAATAGCACTGTGATCAAAGGAACTACAGCCACTCTGCGATGTGAAGCAACTCATGATCCTAGAATTTCAATCAGGTCGGTGATGTCAGTTCTTGTTTGTGTGGTTTGTCTGAGCTCAATTTTATAAGCTATATGAATAGCATTAGGTGAAAAGTTTCAGGACCCCAAATTTTAACACCAGACCCCCTATTACTGCATTATAAGGTTGTACTCTGTATCATTAATCATATAAATCCCATCTTCCATTTCAGCCTTATGTATTATTTACAATGAGCTATGTTCCACTTCATGACTTCAATATAGCCTTCCATGATTTTACTGTCAAGGTTAATACACTATCAATAAAAGCAACTTGTCAGAAGCTGATAGTTAATGAGAGTAAAAGCCAAAGAGAAGGAATAGGATTTCAAACATGTCTACACTGTGGTGTATGAAAGCGATGCGCGATGTGCCCATGTTCTTGGAAGCAGCTCAATAACTAGAGGCTATATTCTGCTTTTACTGCATAAAGGGAAAAAAAAAGCAACTTGTATGAACTATTAACATTTGTACTAGAGCATCTAGAGGAAGTTCACCATTTAAAAATAAATTTACCGTGAAAATGTATGTAGACTGAAAGCCAAATTAAAGAAAACGCAAGGAACAGCTTGGAGGGTGTCAGAAGGGTCAACTGCAGAAAGAACTTCAGAAAGAGATATAAAGATGTAAAAAATGTTATGTAGAGATACTTAATTGCAAGACCATGGACTGTACACTTATCTGTGACATGTTGATATGGGTCCTTTAAGGGATGATAAACTGGTGAACTTTGCCACAATGGTTAAAGATGTTACTGATCCTGTCAGTGCAAGGTTGATACGGTCTTTGCAGAGCTGTGCCAACACCTCTGCTGTTACCTTTCGTAGTATAACTGATGTCGCAGCTGAAACTGCTGGTGAAGGTGGACTTGTGAACTTGGGTGTTCATGAGCACTTGGTCTTTTCTTTTTGAAGTGTGCACTATTGTTTATAAAATGTATCGCATCTTGGATGTAATTACATTTCTTATTCTGATCACTGATCTAAGTTAAAATTTGAAACAGGCACTGTTCCTGAAAGTATCCATAGAGGCCTGACATTTCTCATTTGTTATTACAGAAGCTGGTATCTTGCACAGTTCAAATAAATGTATTTCAATTTTTTTGCAAGCAATTACTAACTAAAACATTGTAATATTCAGATATGTTTGGAAGAAGGACAGTGTTGTAATAAATCCATCCAGCAGTTCCAGGATCACGGTAGAGAAAGATGGAACCCTCCTCATCAGCCAGACGTGGTCGGGTGACATCGGGGACTATACTTGTGAGGTCATTTCTTTTGGAGGAAACGATTCCCGAATGGCTCGACTAGAAGTGATGTGAGTATTCCATCTTGAACACAAGCCTATGCTGGTTTTCAGATAGCTTCGTACACTTTTTTTAGGTATTTATTTATTTCAGTGGGAAATTAAGGCTGGCTCATTGTGAATTAAATTGCTTTGAGATGTCCTCCCTTTTGCATGCTGCTGTGTTACTTGGACTTTCAAGTGACTGAGTTTCAAGTCACTCAGAAGTTACTTGCAATTCAATGTATTTCTCTGCATCATGTCCAATAGATTGGATGGCTGAGCTCAGGGGATAACAATTAATAGTTGTAGACTGCATGAAGGCCAATAGTAAGTGGACTACTGCATGGGATTACAATGGGGCATGTTCTGTTCAACATCTTCATCAGGGAACTGGAGGAGATGTTGGAATGCATACTCATCAGGTTTGTAAATGGCACAAAATGGGTGGAGAACCTCAGTGTGAGACCATCATTCATAGAGACCTAGATAGGCTGAGAAATGGGCTGATAAGAACCTTATGAAATTCAGCAAGGACAAATGCCAAGTCCATATGTGAGGAGCAGGTCTGACCCCAAAGGTTGGAGGTTTTTTAGACCAGACTGGATAAACTGGTCTGATTTTATGACTGGCCCTGCTTTGTGGGGGGGGTTGGCCCCTTTCAACCTGAATCCTTCCATCATCCCATGCTGTTGGACTTTCCCATCAAACCCAGGTGCTGGGCTGTGATGCCAAGGTTATAGGAAAACATTTTCCTCCTTTAATGCTCTTTCTCTGGTAAACATACATAAAAATAGCTGTCCCTCAGTAGATATTGCTTATTTTTTCATTCTCTTTAGACATAGAGTTCCAGGGAAAAATATTTTTACGTTTGCCTTTCTTTATTCCTAAGAATCTTTAAAAATTCAGTTAAGAAAAAAGAAAATACTTAAAGTACACATTGCTTCTGAAAAAGGATTATAAAAATGGCATTGCATGGTTCTGTATTTTCTATTTCTGTCATTCCACTGGAGCGAAGTAAGCTTCCATTTTATTTTTATCACTAAAAGCAACAACTGTGATTTTGGTCCATGTGTGGAACAGATCAAATGAGTAAGACAGTAATGTTTTATGTAGTCTTATTTTTTTTTTATTCGAGTAGTGCCACATGCTTTAATTTAACTCAAATTGCATCTGTTTCTGCTGGTCATGCCTGATATCTCTGAGAAGATGGCAACTTCTGCTGCTGGCAGAATAATGAGTTCACCTCAGAGATTTGCTATGCAGAGCCCCGTTTGATACAGCATTGTTCTGACAGTGCCAAGGCAAGATCAGATGCCCGTTTGCAGAGAGCGGTCATACATTCTTTCTCTAATTAAGCACTCCTCAGCTCTCCTCCCGGAGTGCATTTTACTGCTGGTTTGGATCCAAGAGCAGAAGACAATTCAAAATATATTGCTACTATATAATCATACTTTCTTTTTCTCTGAGGCTGTTTTTGAGAGGAGGGCAGAAAATTACGGAGCGTAGACAGAAAAGAAGGTTAAAATCTGGACTTTGAAGTGAACTGCAAAAATGTGCCAAACACTTCAGCAGCTTAATCCTAAATACCAAAAGATGTCCTATGTGATGACCCACTGTAGCACAGCAGATGTATTTACTCACAGCTTCCTACTGACCAGTAACAGTTTTACACTCTGTAAAACTCATGCTAGAAGTTAACCAGCATATTGCTGCCTCCCTCACCCAGCTCCCTGCAGCTCTGCTGGCTCTCCATGCCCCAGTGCTCTGCAGCTGGCTCTTCATCCTGGGTCTCTGCTTCTTCCCATGTTCTGTTGCTGATGGCTCACAACCTGTCTTTCCTGAAGGAATTAAAGAAATATATCAGACCCACTCCTGTGGAAGACTTCAGTAACTGATAAGTCACTCGATCATACCTGGAAGTGTGACATTTTATTTCAAAGTGGTGCTGCAGGTAGTGCAGTAATGCCAAAAACATTGCATTCCTTTGCAGCTTTTGTCATTATCATTTGGCTTGGCAGCACAAATCTGTGAGAAATAGAGATACATGATACAACAGAAGTGAAATGAGGAAGAAAATATGTAGAAAGGAAATGTCAGAAGTAAAGCATAAATTAAATTTAGCTAGTGTACGAATGACAGATCTATAACATTCCCAGTTCTCCCAGATAATTCTCTTGTGCAGAACATTAACAAACAGGGCATGTACATTCCCATCGATGAGCACTTACACTTCAGTGCCTTGAGCAGCAGTAATGTCAGACAAATGTTCAGAGGAGGCCTCTCAACCAATTACAGACCGGAGCAGTCTACCAATGGATAATATTGTAGCCTACCTACCTCCATCTGACAGCTCTGATTGTCTCACCAGCTTTTTTCCCCCAGGACCTGGCATATCCCTCCTTTACCTCTGGGCACGTAACAAGAAATTTTCAAAGGCACAAATAAGTTTGCTACTGATTTCTATTCAGGCTGATCCAATTCAAAACCATTGACCTTCAGGGTGACCTTCAGTTATTCAATCTGTGAGTGGTTTGGTTTTCTAATCTGTGGAAAAAAGGAAAGAGAACTTTTTCCTCCTTTTTCTTCCCTTGTTTGAAGACAGGCTTGGGAAAAAAAGGGACCGATTCTTGCTAGAAGAACACAGGCTGATAGCACAGTAGAGTTCCAGCACGGTATACATTGGTAGTGCAAGCAGGATGGATCATTTTTCTCAGCATGTCTATGAAGAAATAAGGTATTTGAAACTGAAAGCCAGCAAACTAATGAAGAACTTGCTAAAGTGCAGCCAAAGGTTACTCTGCTCATCAATTTTGCACTGATGGTACTTGGGCACAGAAACTAATTGCTAGTCAAGATACTCTATTCATTCATTTGTCTTCCCTCTAAATGTGTTTATTCTTCATGTACATCACTTGATTTGATTTGCACGAGGTAAAACATTCACAAGTGATGTTTCTCTCCTGTAAGAGATGAATTTTAGGTTTTTTTTACTTAGTTATTTATTGCTCTGCTGGTAGATCTTCTCAACTGCAAATACAGAAACATTTGCAGATGATGAGCTTGTGCTTCTCTTGCATTCTTCCAAGTCATAACATTAGATTCTGAAAATAATTGTATGTATTGAAACATACCAACTCCATTTAGCTTGCTTTTATGTTCCTATAAATACAATATGGGATGGAATACATACAGAGAAAATAAAGCTTGTTCCTGGAGCTACATAAGCTGAGTTATCAGAGTGTATCACTCTCCTGACAGGAAACACTGCAGATTCCAGCTCAGAATATCCTGAGGGTTCTCTGTGTATATAAAATATTCAGAATTACCACTATCTATTCCTGATGATACCTGCTGCTCAATGTCTGCCTCTGCAGTCCATACTGAGGGATCTCTTTGTTGTATGAATGTGACTGAGAAGTATGGTAATGCTACATTGTTGGAAAATCAAAGCCCTTTACAAGCCTCTGTTATGTCACAACATTGAGTAAAATCTTTTAGGCTCTTTTTTCTATGCAAAAATATGGAGAGGACAATGTAATATAAAAATAGGCAATTTATTCCTGGCAGCAAGTTCATCTTCTTTCAGATCTCTTTCACCAAAGAACTATTATCGCTCTGTCTTCTTCAAAGGCAGGAGAGGTGAGCTAACCAGTTATTATAAAACCCACTGTGTTGCCAAGAATGCATGGTACTGCCTTTGTCAATCATTTAAAAAGGAATTCTGATTTATTTTTTTTCAGATATTTGTAATTGATGCTTCTTCCAAATAACTTGGTTACTAAACAAGACCAATGAGAACAGTTTGGAGTAACAAATGAAAACGACGTCTCATTACAAACCTATCTTCACATGGTCCCATGTCTCTGAATTCCAGTAGCTCATCTCTTTTCCTTTTAGCTGAAAGCAGGAAGGATGTCAAGCTTGAAAGTACATTATTCCTTCATCACTAAAAAAGAAATCTTCTATTTATTTTTCCAGGCTCTCAGTTGAGGTGTTATCCAAGAAATAAGGTTTACCGCTGAGTCTAAATACACTTGATATTCAGAAAGAAGTACCACCCAGAAATACACTTGGAAATACAATCATCTGTTCATCAAAGGGCTATCAGAAACGTTGGTGTTTTTAGTGAAAATAAAGCATAAAATTCAAGAGCCTTTCCCAAGACATCTGTAGGCTTGAGCTTGCAGAACTGCCAGAATGAGGCAGAAAACAAATTTGTGTGCTCTGGGGTTTGGCAGGTGTTTAATTTCAAAAGTCCACCTTGTTATAGGCATGCAAGAGACAAAAATCCTCAAAACTAATCGATGCCTTGCAGGAATCAATCCTTCCAGCAAAAGAAACTGGAAAGTCCTGAGCAACACATGATGTGTTTCTTTATTTAAAATGTTATAAACTTTTATGAGCAAAGCCATCAAGGCTGAGAGCTTTGCTAGATTTCCTGCCTCAACTTCTTAGCAAATTATCAGGTCTAGCAGATGAACCACCTGCTCCCAAGTAGAACGTGTACGAGGGACCTGATTTAGGAAGTCATTTACGAAGTGGGAGCAGGGCTTTTTATAAACTGACAAGAAAACTTGTTTAATCTCCCTTGCCTTTTTAGTAATCCTCTCTTCAGTCACAGTCTCTCTAATTACCTGCTGTTGGACCATTTTTCTCAGAAATCTCTCCAAACCATGTCTGGTTTATTTCCCGTAGCAAATAGTCTGTTTTAGCTAATTTTGTAAAACACTGTATGTGTTTGCTGAGTAAATTTTTCAGCTACCCTCTGGCAGTGATGAGCTGACTCAAAACATTAGAGTTTCTGTTTTGAACATGTATCATCTGTAAGTAGCTAATACTTCTCTCCTAGATTGTCACAATGGCTTCATGTCTTTTTTGTGCAAATCTGCCATTTTAATTGCTTTGTCAGAGACCCCTCAGGTCACTTTGGTGGCTATGCCATTAACCCTGGGCTTATCTATCAATTACAGATTTCAAAAGGGTCTGTATATGGTTTTTGCTATCATACGAAGCAAGTCATGGAAAGCTTGACTCTGTGCAGCTCTTCAGCATTAGAGGCATGAGACCTTAAGATATTGAAAAACCTTCATATATTTCCTGTTTGGGGCTTCAGTGGGGGAAAAAAAAAAAAAAAAAAAAAAGATGATAATGCTGGATTATTAGCTTCCAGTGTCTGATCAAGGGCTGTTATGTGCCCTGTGTGTTACTGTCCTAAATCTTACCCAATTTCTTGGTGTATGAGAAGTTGAGCAGTTCTCATCCTGACAAAGACTTGAAATTACTATTTCCTGCAGTGACTTCTTGAATGTTTGCAGCAAGAAAAAGTAATCTTCCTAAGAAAGAAGCAATGATCTGTTTTGGGAATGTGGATATTCATGGTGGTGGTACAAATCTCATTTATCATCTGTTCCATGTATGCAGTAGCAAGTGAGAGGGGAACAATGTGCAAGTGCTTGCTAAAGTAGGAGCTGCTATTTATTAATCTCTGCTTTTGTATACTACAGAAACAAAAGTACACTTCTGTGCTGGAAAGTCTTTGTAGTTTTAAATATTTATTTCTGTCCAGGTGTGTTTCTTAGGCACTTATAATGTCTGTCTTGGGGGATTTAAATCTGTAAGCACCATCTGTTGCTGTTCAGTGTGGACACATATGGGTAAAGAATATGATATTAGTGGAGATAGGTGTGCTGTCTGGCTGCTGCAGCTCATGCTGTCCAGTCTCAGAGCAGAAGCGCCTGTTTCCATCACGTTGCTGACAGATTGCCATTTTGTGTCAACCTAACAGAATCATCAACTAAACGCAAATTGTCAGCAAAAAAAAAAACAACACCAAAAACAACACATTTAACCTGAATTTGTGCTTTGAAAAATGTGAAGAAGGGAAAGTCTCTACTCCTGCCAAAGTCTTCTATTATTTGTGCCTTGAGAAAAGGACCGATCCGTAAGGTCTTTTACTCGTGTAGCCTCTTCTGTAGTGTAGCCTCTGTCCTCAAATCAGCTGTTGGTTCAGACTTTCTAAACATAGGGGAAAACAAGATTACCCAGTAAAAGCACACCCTCAACAGGTTCCAGCAGTTCATCCCATTGTTGGAGGAAGAGTTCCAAAAAGATAGGTTTGCAGTCAGCTCCCTCCTGGCCATCCCTCCACATTGCTCTCTGTGAGTATTGCCTTCTGCAAGAGCCAGAGCCTCAGTCCAGCACTGAGCTCATCCCACTGGGCCTGGTGATAAATGAAGTGGGGACTGTGACTTCTCTGAGCCGTCACAACAAGAGGTTTCACTCTCCTGCAGTAATTTCCTTTGCCAACTTAATCACAAAAACATTTTTCTAACCAGCTTGCTCAGGGACATGATGATAAGTTATAGCGGAGGTTTAATGTTTATTATAATTTAATGTTTCATTCAAAATTAAGTAGCACACGCCTGTAGTCCCTGTGTAAATGGCTGTATCTTAAACATGCTTCTCACGTGGCAGGCTTTTTCTTCTATTTTGCCTTGCAGGCCAGCTGCCCTTCTACTTTGTTTTCACATCCCCCTCTTCCCTAAGCTGGCTTATCCAAAACTTTGCAGCACTCTGCTCAAAGTTTGCATCTGTTGGGCGCATTCATGCTCTTGTCTGTGCCTGATGTTTCCTCTTATCCAAAACTGACCATATATCTGCTGTTTTCGCACAAAAATCCAAGCCTGGATGCTGCCAGCCCTGACCCAAGTGATACCTAAACTTGTAATCAGTGGAAAGATCAAGGTGTTCTGGCCAAGCACGTGAATGAAATTAATACCGAAATGATCCTCCAAGTTGTCTTTCCACAGAAAGAGCCTGGGGTGACCATGCTTCTGATTTGCTTAGGCATTTAAAATCAAATGAGAGGGGAGGACCCATGGAGTCTCAACCTCAGCCCTAGGAATGGAGCACTAAAGCCCTTCCAGCCCGGGGAGAGGTGGGAAGTGAGAGCCTTCCACCTGTGCATTTCTCTTGTAGCTCTTTGGCTCCTCACTGCTACGTTCCTCAGTCTTCCAGCAGAAACCTGAATCCAGAGCGTAATCATTGTTCTGGCTTAAAGCCAGAGCCTGTATTTACTTTTGTGAGTGGCTGAGGAGTTGCGGTTTTTAAATAACTGTAAGCCTTCAGTAGCATGATACATTACTGTGTGAAATTACTGTTTTTAATATTAAGCATATTAAGCATATAAAGTCTGCTTGTGGCTTTCTGCTCTGGCCAGAGCAGATGAGCAGCTCATGCTGAGGGAAAGATGCCACTGAGCTTTTCCTGGGAAGAAGCACTGGACTGAATGGGCAGCAACTGGTCCTCCTTGCTCTTCCTTTCCTCTCAGAGATCTTTGTCCTCCTAAAAACCAGAATGGAAGGAACAAAAGTCAGGTTTAAATATAATAGCTGAAGGACTCGTCGCTGGATGCAGTTCAGCACATAAGGGATGTAGCAGAATTTAGTTTTCTCACTGCAGCATGCAGCCTCTGACTTTCAGGAAATGAGTCCAAATGAAATGTTGTTCCATAAATTGCCTTTATGTCGAGAAATTACACATTTTAATTGAGCTGCTGTTTTATTTTGATTTTTTAATGTTTCATTTTGTATTTCTGTGGGGTTTCTACAGGCATTTTCTCTACATTTTCTGGTTGGGTGCTTCCAAAAAAATCCTTATTATAAAAAGGAAAGATTCTACCCATGACAGGATAAGCCTGAATCCATGAGTAAATCAAGCTGTTCTGTAGCCTAAGAATACATATGGTAATTTTGATTAGTAGCTCTATATGGATAGTGTCAATGTCTTCTGCTTCCTTGAGTATGAAAAATTCCATGTTAAATCATATCTCCCATGTGTTTTACTGTTTATATGTATTACTGCTGTCATGTTTCTAGGACATCAATGTAAGAAAGGGAAAAAAATGAGATGGAAATTTATTGACCAACTTGTCTCAATCAAAAAACAGTATGAAAATTGGCTTCTTCCACATTTAGCAACATTTCCATTAGCTGTTCTAAGCATCAGCCTTGGGACTTTCAGCACAAGTTGTGGGGCTTTTTTCCCAAATAGGACAAAATTGTGAATAATGTAGAGCTGCCTTTCATTTATTTAATTGCACAATGGCTGCTGGTGGTTTTATATCTATCATCATACAAGCCTGATGTCATGTGCCTTTAGCTGCCTATACAACTGTCCTGAATGAAATATAGATTAATTCTGCTGTGCATTTTTTATCTTCCTTTCTCTTTTCCTTCACAGCGAGCTGCCTCATTCCCCTCAGAATCTTCTGGCCATCCTGAACTCCTCGTACAGCCGCAGTGTGGTGCTTTCCTGGGTGCGTCCTTTTGATGGAAACAGCCCTGTTCTCTACTACATGGTCGAGCTCTCTGAGAACAGTGAGTAAAGTCAGATATGTCCCAACCTCATATTTGTCTTAATTATTTAGCCTTGCAGACTTAGCTTTTACCAGAGCTGCCAACAAAATCTTACTGTTATTTGCTAAATGAGGGACAGTTAACAGGGAAGTCCTGGGTATTACACTCAACTGTTAACATCCTGACAGAGTTCAACTACAAAAAAAGAGCTGATTCGGTGGATTTGGTACACAGGAAATCCTGAGTTCCACTTCCAGCATTGCCAGCCTGACTTCAAGCACATCAGCTCATCCTTCCATGCTTCTATTTGACATCTGTAAAATAGCAGGAGTCACGTTTTATTTCTTTTCTTGTTGTCCTTTGCTCTGTGCTCATAGATACCCTGATGCATTCAGAGCCCCAGCTTCACCTGAAAAGTGCAGGCAGTCTGATAGCATAAGGAATTGATGGTCTGTCATAGGAACAAACTCAGATGTCAATAGGAGCTGCTGTTATGTCTGTATATGGTTTCGTACGTTTTCTCCAGTTTCCCTTGGTTGTTGTTTTACAACCTTCTTTCAGGTAGGTGGCTGAGGATACTGAACCGTGAAACATACAAATATTCTACCTTTGTTTGTAACCTTCATAGGTTGCAATCCTGATCACTGTGAATCGCCATTGCTCAAGGTTTGGCATGCTGCAAGGCTCGCCCTTTCTGGCTCTGTTTGCAAGGTTATTCAGGGACACTGCTAAACACTTCTTTCAGAGCTGATGGAAAGATGAGGTTATATGGAAATCGGTCACCTTGGCAATACTTTCTAATCTCTATCACACTAGGAGCTGGAAATCCAAGCCTAACAATTTCTTCTTGATGAAAAAATTAAGAGCATCACTTTTTCTGACATGTGGAAATTAGCCACTGCATTACTGAATGTGAAACAGTGCTGATTTCTTATTATCTAGAGAGTAGCGTTTTGTTTTGCCACACAGAGAGCTTGAGATGAAACTTGAGCTTCAGATCACATACAAGCCCTGTGCTTTGCAGGTTGGAGTGCATAGCTTTTCAGATACAGGGGCCCCAGAACTGATGATCTTGACATCTGTTGCAAGAAGTGCAGTTTTGTAGCGGAAATCCCAAATGGTGTCTGGGATTGCTGTCCTTAACACAGTTCTGGATTTATTTTTTATAACGAATGACTCAGAAAATTCACAGTGTTCCAAGCTCACACCCCACTACACCTTTTTATCACCATCTGTTTTATCATCCCTCTTCTCTCTCCTAATATTGACTGTAGGCCAGTAAGTGCATTTTCACTCCCTGTGCCCATTCTTTCACTCGGGGTTATTGCCCTGAGTGTTCCGTGTCTCCAGTGACTTTGACAGAGACAAGTTAATCAACTCTCAGTCTGGGGACATGATGCAAAGATTGCAGAGGCAGCACAGAGCTGGCCAGAGGTATGCATGTGAGTCCTGCACTGCGCTGCACTAACTGGGAAGCATCACAGAGCCCACTCAGCCTCCAGGTCAGATTTGGAAGGTCTGTAAGCGTCTTTGTAACAATGAGGCCTTGCAGGTCTAGTACAGACATAGAGTAGACATGCCATCGTTTCAAGAATGCTATTATTTGTTTCCTGAAATTGGTGGAAGGCTCAGCAAAAATGAACAGTAGTGCTCCAGAAATTATGCAGTCTCTCAGAGCTCCACAGGATCGTGTGAACCCTCGCTCGTTCCATGATAGATCAATAATTTTGGCTGATGGCATTGCAATCAACCACTGAGAGAGTCTCATTATCACAAATCATAGGTATATGTACTTCAGCAGACTTGCAGCTGCATAAACCAAACACAGACCAGGTTTGTTGTTGTCTGAGCATCTGAATTCCCAGAAGTATTCTGGACCTTGCTCTCCTTTGAGGTTTTTATCTCTGCATTTATTTACTTTGCTTTTATGCACAGTCTCTAACTGGTTACCCATAGCAGTAGGACTAGGAGGAATCCGAGCCCTTGAATATTCCACTCTTACTGTGCTCTCTCATTTTCTATATTATTGCTCAGCTTTACAGATGTCAGCAGAGTGGTGGAACAACGTCAACAGTGACTTCTCTTGGCAGAGCTGGCTGAAATGTCTGCATTTTGTCAGTGTCTCGTTTTGTTTTATATTCCTCACATGTTTGGTTTGGAGTCATTGCGATCTTGTTAGCGTGTGGTTAATATCTAGTTTTCAAACCTGCTACTCCTTGGTCCTGTCATGTTCCCCCCACCCCCTCGTTATGTTCACGAATGAAGCTGACATTTGATCTCATGAAGGTATAATTTTTGCCTGCTATGACTGTGCAGAATCTCTCTCTGCTTTCCAAAGAAAATCTTTCGTCAGGATTTCCTTTGGCCCATTTTGTGCTGCAGGAAGGGCAACTGTCAAGGACTCAGCATATGCCTTCCATGAGCTCATGTGCTCATGGCTGTCACGTTTCCACCATCAGCAGCAGTGCAATATGCTAAAAATCCTAATCCCAGTTTGTTTTCACACATGTAAAGCTTAGAGGGGGGCATCAGAATTATGATTTATTTTCCAGTTAGCAAAGCTGCATAGAAGGCACTGTTCTTCATTCTGTGGAGCTTTAACGCATGACTTTTGCTTTGCTGTTACAAATGCCAAAATGTAGTCTAGTTTTATTTGTTCTTACAGCAGTTTTGCTGCAAATAATTTTCTAATAGCTTTCTGGATCCATTGTGCATTTTGAAACACGCACTGTAAGTGAATGCATAATAACAGTATCTGTTTCAGAGGACTAGCTGAAGAGGGTTCAAAATAATGAGTGTAGATTTCAGAGGACTAATTACTAGCTACATTAGAGAGAGGCGTGTCACTCCACCTGGCATGGATTAGAAATCCTTTTCATTAATATCAATTCAGTAAAGAGATATAAAAACCTTATTTTAATTAGAGGAAAAAAACAGTGGCAGATCGCATGCATAAATTGCTGGAAATATGAACGACTCCAGTCACCAAGTCACCTAATTTTTAAAATGAATGTATTTGGCATAATGTAATAATTCTCAAATTACAAGTATTCACAGTAGACTGTGTCTGTGGGTGATTTGAGGCATATGGCCTTAAACATTTGGGGGCAAATTTATAATCTAATTTGAAAAGCACAGTTGCAGGGAAACACAGTCATTAACTATTCTGCCCACACGGAGCCAGGAATGTGAACCTTCATTTCAAATAAGATTTTCAAATAGCATGTGTTGCTGTTATTTGCACTAACGTGATTTTTGGATGTTTCATGACCTCTTTAACTGCTGTTGCAGAGTTCCTAGGAATCCCTATGAAGTATCCTCATGGAATTGGAGGGAGCTCCACTTACTTTACTCTGAAAAAAAGTTCAGATTTCAGAGATTAATCAAAAATTATTCTGACCAATTTTTTATCTGAACAAATTAATACTTAGAGAATTCTGTCAAGTGTGGTTAACATTAAAATACATTTCTGATTTATTATGTTCTGGGATGTCTGTGCAATGTAATCATACAACTCAAATTCATCACATCATGCCAGTGAGGAGATAATTAAAGCTCCTATAAACAGCATCTGCACATGCTTCACTTTGAGCTCATGAGTTGTCTTGCTGAACTTGGTACGAATATTGAAATGATAAAAATTGAACACAGGGATAAATCTTTGCAAAACAACGCTGTTTTCTACAAACATGACTCAGATCCATATATGATAGTGCTGAAAGATACTTTTTCCCAGGGCAGTGGAAGACTTCGTTGAAGTCCTACCAAAGGAAGGATGAAAAACTTTGTTTTTGTTTGAACTTTTTGCAATATCATGTTGTCATGAAAGATGGATTCCGTAAACTCCAGTAGTATGGTAAATTGCAGTGGTTCCATCTGTGCTAAACCCCTGGAGAAGAAAAGAGATGGAAATGTACTCCAAAGCTGCAAAAATTAGATTTCTGCAGTAGATGTGGTCTGCAATATCAAACAGAAATGATTTTTGAGGAACTTGCAATCAGTGCAAGAATTGTGAGGTAGACAGGGAAATTTAAAAGAAATGCCTCTTGGTGAATAACCAGTGCTATCAAACATGTGTATTGTGAGTGCATCCAAAACTCTTAACAGAACATGTCATTTCTCAAAGCCAAAAATTGCACTGTGTGCTCGAGAGTAGCCTGTGAGATTCTTGGTTTCCAAGAAATTAACTTGGAGAGGCAATTGGAATTAATTCAGAATACCCAATATCCTTAAGAAGATAGACAACTAGCCATGAGTTTTTCAAACAGTGGCAATTACAGCAGAAGAGCAAGCAAGCAAAGCCCAGAGTACACTCTGGGCAGCTTAAGTTAAATGAAGGATTAGTGTGGTCTGTTCAATTTATTTATTAGTTTGACCTGGCAAGTCTCTCACTGTGGAACTTGTCCAGGCTTCCTGGGACAGGCAGGTGACAGTCATCCCTGAAGGAGATGGGAGTCGGTGCTGAAAATCCTATGGAAGGTTTCCAACGTCAGAACTGCTTTTCTACGCAGTGAAAGGAACTGCTGTACTATGCTGGGCTCCCTTCTGTGTTTAAGGAGGGGAATGGCCTCTCAGAATGTTTAGTTTATTGACTGATTGTCCAAAAAAAAGACATTTAAATTTTGAAGGTACTCTGCACAGTTCCTGTATCCACTGCTACAGGAGCAAGCAAATCCCCCCCAAACCTCTTCCCTTTAGGAGTCAGAGTGCCCAAGAGATGGATAGGGTTCGTTTGTATTAGTTTTCAGTTTAATCTCTCTTCCTGCCAGATCTTTTATCTTCCACCAGGAGAAGAAAAAGAATAAATAAAGTATTCTACAGATGCAGCATATAAACAGAGCAGAGCCCCAAGGTGCTGAGGAGATTAATAGACCCTATTGTTGAATCAAACTGCTCACTGCATTGAACTGCTTGGGTTAAGCACTCTCAGGTGGTGTTTACACTAGCAGTTAACAAATGGAGCTGATTTGCTCTAGGAAATGGACCACTACCCAAGAGCTCATACAAAGGTATTTTGCTCTCTTAGTGTTGTCTGTTCTTCCCTTTTCCTCATGCAGCTGCTTCAGGCAACTGACTAAGTCAGCCATGGCTGAACATTGGCTTCTCTTGATTGGGTACTGTGCTCTCTGGATGTCACAGTGCAAGCAGTTGTTTGTAAAGCCTCAAGAGTAACTTGATTAAAAAGGATGGTGCACCAAACTAATGCAGGTATCCTTCCTCTGAGTGCTTTGTAAACAAAGCCCAGCACTGCACTCAGATCCATCGCCATCCAGACCTTGCAGCAGAAGCAGCTGATGGCAAATCATCAACAGCTGGCAGTGATGGAACCTGACTGCTGTGCAAATGTCCCTCTTCAGCGTTCCCAGTATTCTGCTGTGTCAGTTTTCTTGTTAAAAAAGACTTTGTTCTAAGAAAGCCATTACTGGAATACATATATTCCAAATAATTTGAAGATGCAGAGTGTATAGCCCAACAGGCATCACACCCCAGTAGACTTAAACTTGCTAAGGAATCTGCCAGAAAAACACTGAATTAGTGGTTTACATCTTGGTGCGAAGTTTTCCTTTCACATTTGGGACATCTCATCTTCATTTTCAGACAGACGTGGAGGTGACCTGCCAGGAGCTGCAGTGCACTTCTGATGAGCAGCATGCACAGATACATTGCCAAAATCTACAGCTAGCTCCTCAGTCACTTCCAGAAGTATTTGTAATTTTGAGCAGGGAGCCTGAAAACAGCTGGTATTATTTAAAAACTGAACAAATCTTTAAGTTGGCTGCTTCCATTGCTGTACTGTTGCAGCTCAAACCAAATGTCACGTCTCCTTCCCTGCTTCAGTCATGACTTTGGGGAGAATATATACCATCAGGCTGGGAAGAAAAGAAGTCAGGATATTTAATTTTCAACATGCTTAATTTCTGACCTCTTTGAAAACATGAAAATAACATTTTGGGCATCAGAGGAGCTCAGCGTGTGAAGTATCTGAACTGACAGCAAAGGTTTTATGGTACTGCTGGGGCTGTTTATACCAGGGAGCCTTCCTAGGAAATGATTAGACGGAATGCCATGTACTGGAAAAAGAATAAAACGTGGAGAATCCGAAGCAGAAGCTTTCTCAGGTCTTACAGTGAAGGACTGATTTGGCAGAGAACATCACGCTTCTACACCTGCTTGCAAGCTGGGTAGAAAGATATTCCAACCTGCCTGTGAATTTCATTACAGACCTTCCACCAGAGCCACTCACGGGTGTGGTGTTGTAATGGCCTGCCAAACAGATGGGTTGTGAAATACACAGCCCATCTGTCTTTATCATGCTTGTTTCCTCTTTTATTAAAATGTTAATGAATATAGTTTTTATTTATTATGCCATGACATGTGCAGCATCACTTTCCAGTAGACAAATGTGCAATCTGCATAACCGTGTGGGCTGACAAGAACGTTTCTTTTGCTGGAAAGAAACTTCTTGGTAAAGTTCCTCTGAGGAAAACAAGCACAAGAAGCTCCGTGCAGCCACAGACACGTCCTCCCTTCTGCAGAGCTTTCAACAAGCGCTTCCACCAATTTCAAATGTTCCTTATTCCAACAGATTCTCCCTGGAAGGTTCACCTATCAAATCTGGACCCGAAGATGACCAGTGTCACTGTGAGTGGACTCACCCCAGCCCGAACCTACCAGTTCAGGGTGTGTGCAGTTAACCAGGTGGGAAAAGGCCAGTACAGCTCCGAGACCAGCAGGTATGGCAAAAATAAACACCCGCATCCTGCGTACATATGGGAGAAAAAAATGCTGTTTGTGAGAGAATAAAATGAAGTTATCTTTTGCACAATAACCAAGGAGCAGTTATCATTACCCAGGTCTCTGGAGGGTGCTCTGCGTTTGTTAGTAATTGGTGATAATGGCAATTAGGTGATGCAGGAAAGCAGCACACAATGAGAGAGGTGCCCTCGTGTTTCCAGTGTATCAGTGAACAGAATCTTGGAAGGTGGTCAAATAGGTGTATGTGCAAGCAAAATATTTTTATTCCTATTGTGTTAAGTCACTGCAGTTAGCCCTGCAAGGAGTACAGCTTTCACCCAATCATTGCAATGTTACTTCTGGAATTCACCCAGATGTGACATAGAAGGATGGCTTCATCAAATTTAGTTTCAAATGCATCCCCCTTCCTCTGTGAACCAGAGCTTGCTGTGAGCTTGAATTGCAGAACAGCTGAACTCTAAATGGCTTTTTCAAAATGTAGGAATTTGATATGAAAAATATTGAAAGAGCTGAAAGAAACAATTTGGAAGGAGTCACAGACACTGGACCTGAGCTCTAACTCATTCAGGCTTGTAATCTTTTTAAAGAGTTGTAGCAGCCTGTGTGATTCAGAGAGAATAAGGTTACCTCAGCTGTCTGTCTTGCTACTTGCTTAACTGATTTCTTATTATGTTGATTTGCTGTAACTATTTCATGCATGTCTACAGCAGTCTGATCAGCATTGTATTTCTTTCAAGTCATCAGACTTTGATAAACGAAACTGTTTTGCTTGAAGTTGGATCCATGAAATAGAAATGTTGCACGTCCTTTTTCTTGACATCCACCTCCGCCACATTCTTTTGCATTCAGGTTGATGCTACCTGAGGAGCCACCCAGTGCCCCTCCTAAAAACATCGTGGCCAGCGGCCGCACCAATCAGTCCATCATGGTCCAGTGGCAGCCTCCTCCTGAAAGTGAACATAACGGAGTTCTTCATGGGTACATCCTAAGGTGAGTAATTTTCTTCCCTCTAAGGTCAAGAACTAGACTGGTGTGTGCATGAGGGAGCTCTGAATGGTGTGATTCAAGGATGTACGAAAAGCTGTTCCTAATGCCATCAAATGTATTATTAGTTATTCTTTACAAACGCCATGGCTGCATTGGTTTGTTACAGACAAGAAAATGCAGACATACAAATTCCAGCCTTTCTTGGTTAGTGAGCTCCAGTCTGCTTTTTGCTGCTAGGTGCTCTGGATGAGCCTGCTGTGTGGGCTAGTTTCCTATGGAGACTCTCAGCATCCAGATAACTTTTTTTCCATTTTCACATATTCTAATTATGATGAAGTGTTTACATGGGAAGTTGGTACAGTGCAGCCTGTGCATTGCAGATGTATTTCTGCTTATTACAACCTCAGCTTACTGCTTGAGAGTTTAACTACCTTACCAAAGACACAACAAACAAGGGACTCCTGCACTATGGAAGAGCGAGAATAGAATCAGTAACTATCAGTTTTGTGCCAAACAAAATGGAGAGGGGGGATGACAGGTCAAATGCTTTGTGGCAGACTTTGATTTGGTTTTGAAAATCGGTCAATCGAGTGAGATTCTTTCAGTCTCAGCTGTATTAAAGAGAAACAGATTCAGACATTAACTGGGAATCAGTAATTGATTCAATCTTTTGCTTACATGGGATTTATTTTTAGGAAAGGGTGCTGCCACACCAAGAGACGTTGCTGAGCACTTCCGTTTTCTTATTTTTTAGGACTCAGTTATTCACTCCTGCCCAATTCATCTACAGCTTACTGGATTATTTGGCTTCCTACATTTCCTGCTATGTTAGCAGGCAGCTGGGGCCATCCCTTTCATAAGGGAGGCACTATCTAAATCAGAATTTTTGTGGGAAACTCCTAAGCATTGCACCCCCACTGATGTATTTCTTGCTGATGCTTATAGCCTATTGCAGGCAGATTGCTGACATTTTTAACACAGGGTCTTCCAGACCTAGTAAAAGTTAACTAAATGCTACAGTATAAATGCCAGTCTCCTGTCTGTGCTATGCTCCTGCTTTTGCTGGCATGGGTGGAAATTGTTTTCTGGTGCTGGAATGTTGGTGAGTTATATATAGATAGAGCTGGAAAGTTCCTTCACTCTATAGGCAGAGCTGAAGATGGTTAATCTCCCTGTCACCTGTACTGAGCCTATGAAGTGGTGAGCCACTGGATGGAATGCTGTGGTTTTAAGAGCTGGGGCTCAGTTTGAAAGCAGTGCCAGTCATCACTGACAGGTGGGAAATGATGCTTCAGCTTCTGCCCTCAGCTAAATCTTACCATGAGAGCTGGGCACCCCTTCGCACAGGATACAACATTGTTTGTAGAGTTCTTTCCTTCAAACAAGCCTACTGGACGATGGGATTAACTCCTAAGCTACTCCTGGTGTGTCTGAAGCAATCTCAGCGTTAAGTCAAAAGCAATCCTGTAGCCTTCCACTTCTGGCAATCTGCTCCATTTCATCTGTATAGCATTTTTAGTCATGTTTAACTTAAGTGTTTTCTACAACTTTTATTAGCATAACTGATCCTGGTCCTCACTATAACATCTCTTTCCATTTTAATAGGGAGTGATCATATTCATTATGCTCAATCTGTGGACATTTTTGATGTCTACACACTTTGTCTAGACCACAGAGCAGCAAAAGCATTTATTCAAAAGGAATTTAAGATTATCATATAAAAGCACAGCTGTCCCAGGTAATAAACCAAGCTGTTCTCTCAAGTCAGAATGTGTGGCCGCAGCAATATGTGCACTGATGAAAGGTCTTCCTGCACTGATTTCTATAGAATGAGGGTACACCACCATGCATCCCAGAGACCTGATGCCGAAGACATGCAAGATACTAAATTGATGGAACACCTGATCTTTAAAAGTGAAGGTGCACTGCACAAGTCACACAGAGTATACATCAAAGTCCGCGGTGAGAAAAATCATGAAGACATGACATTTCTGAACTGGCCTTCTTTCTCTGCCCTTTTTCTCCCTGGCAGTATTGCATTTAGGGGAGTGCCATGCTAACAGCATAATAGATTAAATCACAGGAGCACTCTGCACCTTGTCTGCTAGGTGTGAGACAAAACAGCTCTGCGCCAACAATCGGCTTTGCCAAGATGCATACAGCCTCGGCAGGAGGCAAATAAAGGAATAGGTAGATGTCACGTAAAGTAGAAAGAAAGGCATTCAATAAACTCAGCTGAGAGCTGGTACTTTCTTATTTCCATTTGTATTTCTTAAAGGGAATTGTAGGATCACAGATGCTGAGTATGACAAAATACAGTCAGACGAGGAACTCCACAACAGAGGAGAAGGGGGTGGTTGGTGATTAAGAGCTGACCTGATTAGGGGAAGAGTTTAGAACAAAATCTGTTGCTGAAGTACTTGTGGAAGTTGTCTAGCTGTACAGATTTAACTCAGATAAATTTAAAATCAGTCCTTAGGATGTCAATGAAATTGTTCTGTGCCAATAAGATTTTGGTGCTCGTTGTGAGACAAAAGATGAATGAGAGTGAATAAAACTATTGTGGTGAATAAGAACCCAAACGTTCCTATATTTGTCTGTTTTGGTGGGACAGCAATGCCCCACCACCCTGACTTGGTCACTGTGTTTCTGATTTGGTGTGGGTTAGCACAGCACAAGCATCCATTGTACCATTTCAACAGAGGAAGGAAAACACACAGAGTTATTCACATTCAGAGATTTGTAAGGTTTGTTTGTTTTCCATAGCTTATTTATTCTCCGTATTTTCTTGGCCTAAAGAGACACATCAAAGGGGCTGTTTTATGCAATACAGTTTCTACAGGGGAAAATATATTCTGTTTTCCAGCTTCTTGTGCCTCAGCAAAGAGTTTGTCTGGTTGCTCACCCTAACCTGGTTCAGCCCTCCTGAAATCCCCGTGTTTAACCAATCCTTCCATCTCAAATTTATTCAGTCCTTATTTTAGTTACACCACGAAGTGAATCCAGGTGGGAGGCAGAGATGGCAGTGCCCACAGCTCCCGAAGGTCAGAGCCCTCTGAGTTCTCCTTCTCAGACTTCAGAGGAGGAAAAGAGCATTTCTCAAGCTGATTTACAGCAGCACCCTGATAAAAATCACATCTGGGCAATTTTTCCTACTAAATCACTGGTTTTACTAGACAAGCCACATTTAAAAAGCTGTAATTTTTCTGCAGCCATAAAATAGGATAAAGTACCCATTTTGTTTAGCCCTGTGCGTGTAATCTCAGTGAGATCAGATTATAAATACTATGGCAGTCAAACCAGACGTGATCTTATCAGGAGTTAGTCTGTTGTTTCTCATTAGTTTTCATTCTTCTTTGTATAATTCTACTGTAAAAGCAAGGATATTACCTGTTCACAAAAGAAGCTATTTTGTTAGTCAGGATATTTTCTGTAATTGATACCAACCAATTAACTGCAAGTTTTTCTTCCCATCTGATAGGTATCGTCTGGCTGGCCTCCCTGGAGAATACCAGTATAAAAACATTACCAGTGCAGAAATTAACTACTGCTTAGTGACAGACCTGATCATTTGGACCCAGTATGAAATCCAGGTGGCATCTTACAATGGAGCTGGGCTGGGAGCCTTCAGCAGACCTGTGACTGAGTACACTCTGCAGGGAGGTGAGCAAATCAGAACAAGACATTCTTTGTTGTTACAGTTTAATGCATCTTTTCCTCTGGAGAAGGAGGTAGTCTCAGCTAACAACTTGTAAATGAATGGTCAGTTCAGTCAAATCCAGTAGGCAGCTGTGGGGAGAAAGAAAGAAAGTAGGAAACACAAATTCGAGTGCCTAAGCAGAAACAAAATAAGACCCTACTGCTGTCCTTTTTTTAGAAAAAGCTGTGCATGAGCTCAGAATTCATCTACTTTTCCTGACCTTCATGGTGACATCTTGGCGCATTAGCAGGTCAGAATCATCTGCAGCTGAAGTTATAAATAGAGATGCTGGAGAGAGCTGGGGTCTGTGGAATGGATTTATAGGACACATGAGATGCAGGGGCAGAGGCTCCTCCTGTAGGAGTGGCATAAAGAATATGGCAGGGAATTGGGTTTGTGGTGGTCAAGATATGCAATATGCCACACAGGCAATACTTGAGACAAGCACAGAGCAAACTTATGCCATTAGTTCTGATGGTCACAGAACAGCTTGCTTTAGAAATATGGGATAAACTTTAAGGGAAGTGTAGAAAGAGAAATAGAGCCTGTGTAGAAAGCATGTTTTGTAGCACTTTGGGAACGGTGCAGACATTTGCAAAGGAAGATAAAATGATCTTTAAAGCCCTGATTTTTATGTTATGGCCCTTGCATACCTTTCTGGTAAGTGCCTTAAGAAGGGTATAAATTACATTCAAAATAGGATATGTAATTACTTTTTACAACCAGTGTAAGGCATGTTTACACCTCTAGATTGGTATAAAAATCTGTAGGATAATTAAGTACCAGGCATTTAAAGCTTTCTTATATTCCCATAATTAAGGGATTGTGCTGGATTCTGAGCACTGGACAGTACATGGTCCCTACATTATTGGTCATAAAACAATAAAACTATTTTAAAAGCTTGCAGTTTTACAGAACATCAGTTAATTTATAGTCAGTGAAGATTACGTAGTTGTTTGTTAATTGTTACTACGAGTTCATTATAACATGATTAGATGCAGCTTGAGTTGTAGCGAAATCTTTAAGAAAAGATTATTTGCATGCAATACTAATTAACCACAACAATTAAAATGGGAATCTATCTGTATTTTGTCTTAGGGCATCTAAACCCTCACAGTTTAGAGGAGTCTAGACACACTCAACATCTTTCTAGAAGTATTTATAGCAGACCTTGAAATGCTGTTTTAAAAATTCCTTCTCTTTACAGCCAGGATTAATGTTTTGTATCCCACCATTCTCCACTGAGAATTGGTTTGCACACAGAATTTGAATCTATGTTGTGAATATGCTTGCAACTCATTAGTTTGTTTATTTAGACATTTTAAGCTATCGTTTCACCTTAACCTTCCATCTGTTAAGATTCAGGTTTGGACTTCACACTCTCTTTTTCTTAAACCCTGCAGCTGATTCTGATTTCCCTTGATATTATGTGCTGTTATCATCATCCTTTATTGATTGGCTGTCCATTGTCATTTATAAGGGTATAAATCCTCTGTTATAAATTAAGAGAAATCAGTCCTGCATCCATATTAACTATTGGGAGTGTTTATGCTGCATGACTACATGCAGTGGCCTGGTTGTCTTGATATAGTGTCTAGCTATTCAGCATTGAGCAGACATAGATGAAAAACTTGTTATCTCTTATTTTTTTATAACTGCATTTAATAACAGCACTACATAATTACTTCATGGATGCTGGAAGCTGCCATCCCCTAATAGATGCCCTACTGGATTTCTGTACAAATCACTGAAGTCTGCTCTAAAAAGATCCTGAATTCTTTTTACGTTTAGAATCGAAAAGAAGGGAGGGTAGCTAGAATGGGTGTAGTTGGAAATTGGATTAATATAAAGACTCCATAAGTAACGCACTGCTGTCCAAACCCCTGCTCGTTTATCTTTCCTGCAGTTGGGAAATGACAGGAGAAACCAGTGTTTTCTTGCTCTAGAATGTCCTTCCCGAACCAAACCAGCAGGAGTACGGAAAGCCATGTGTGAAACTGCCCTGTAAATCACACTCTGATTTTAATATGAGCCGAGATAAATGTCAAAGACACACACTCCCATCTATCCCTCTCTCCTGCTATGACCACCACCACCTCTATTCTGACATGCATTAAACGATGTGAGCCGTGCTGGCAAGGACCTGTCTGTCTGCTGATGAAAAATACCTGAAATACCTCGTATTAATCAAATGTGCTCTGCAGTCAAAGCCTGGCAGGAAATGAGCACTGGGAGCTGATCACCCCATTGGCAGGAGCAGATCAGCACATTGGCATCTTTGTCGGGAAGAATATTGACTGGCCATACAAGCTGTGGATTTATACCACAACCCGCTCCATTAATCCCTTATTAGCCCTCTGGCATTGTGTTAGCCACTGATAACTAATCAACTAGCTCTTCAAATATTTCCAGCCTCTGCAATGCAGCCAAACTAGCAAGATGCTGAAAGATGATCTAAACTTGTAGTGAGACTGGCACGTAATGTCAGCTAGATAAAATGTCAGCAAGATTTACTGCCAAAGCACTGAACTGCCGAGCTCCGGGGTCAGGCAGTTTGACTGTCTCTAAATCTTGAAAGTCTTTTCAGAGTGATATTCAGCGTAATCCTTTGATGCTCTGTGTATATAGGTCTTCCTTCATCAGAGCTTCTCCAGCTGTTCCTTACTTTGATGTTACTTTTCACAGGGATTTGGGCCAGCCTTCCGCATAGGGCAAATTTTACTTATTTAAACAGTGTCCCGCAGGACTTTTCATTGCCATATGAAAAACTGAAGTTTTCCAATATCTTTTCATATGAGTGGCTTTGTGAGGTGTACAAATGTCTTTCTGTATGGCAGTGATGTTGTTTCTGCTCAGTACTGTTGGCCCTGTTTAGCATTTTCTACAGGCTGCTTTGAGAAAGCAATCTTCCAGCTTTTACTTTGGGGCTATCCCTTTCATCTCAGTAGCATGAATACTTTTGAGCTTCTCTTTCCATAAAAACCTCTCAGATTTAGCCAAGGCAACGTGTGTAATTAGAGCTTTCATTAAACTCCTTGCATTGGAATTAACCTTTTTTTGTCTACTTTAGCTGATACACTTTTCTGTCGATGCACATTCCAAAGCCAGTCTTGTGTCCTTATTATGTTTATAAGCTTAATGTGTCCTTTGACGTTGTTTTATGTCAATAGCATGCTGTGCATGGACACCTTGAAAGGCCAGGAAAGTCTCAGCAAAAGTTAATAGACTTTTCCCTAAGTTTTTCCTTTGTTTTCCCTTAGGCTTTTTCACCGAAAGTCTTCATGTGGCAAACTTCCCTCCCAACAGCCTGAAGCATCCAAGGATGCTGGTTTGGGTCTGGCTGCTGCTGTGCAGAAGGTCGGAGCTGTAGCATCAGGATTTTGTAGCTCCAGGTTTTATCACAGTTAGGTGTCATTTGCCATCTCCTGCTTTGCGTTGCTTTTAATGGCTTTACAATGAAATTAGCGGTTGTCTCAGTGAGACCCCTCACTCCCTGTTCTTAATAAAGAAGTGAAATTTTGGCCTTGTGAGAAAGGAACAGAGGCATTTTCCAGCTGCAGGAAGCAGAACTCAACGGTTAGTGCCAAACCTTGTACTTCTGAATTTCACACTTCGACACGTGTAGAAGAGCAGAGAGCCCTGTGTCCATGCACCTGCTGCTGCTCAGAACACAGTACAGCTTGGTGGCAGGTGGGCAGAGGAAGAGGCTTTGCAGGAAGAACTCTCCCCACAGCTCCCAGTGCATTGAACGAGCCAAATCCTCACACTGAGAGAACCTGCAGCTCCCTGAGCCTGCCGTGCTGAGACATGGAAGCTGCCAGCCCAGAATTCGGGAGGCTGGGAGAAGCAGGAGACTTCTCCAGGCCTCCGTCAGAGATTTATATTTTAGACCTGCAGTCTGGCTGTGGGAATCTGTGCAGAGTTTACATGCTACTTGCACATAGCTACAGACAGAATAATTGCATGTACACATGCTTAACCTGATTGCCTTCTCTTCTCTCAATTATCCCATCAGCCAAACCCTTTTAATGCCTTTTATCTAGAGTGCTTCCATGACCTTTTCTGCTTAGAATGCTGCACATTAACTTGCAGTCCCCAGAGCTGAGCTCTTAACAGATTTCCAACAGTATGAACTTTGTAGGGAAGAAAGTAACAGTTGGTTTTGTCTGACCAATTTGATCTGCAGTTCCAAGATGACTCCCAGGTGGGTCTCCGGTGTGAGATGGTTTAGGAATGCTTGCAAAAATCGTGAAGGACAGATTTAAAAACCAAGCACGTAAACGCTTGGGGATTACTTTTGAAACAGCTATTTGACATCAGTAGCTCCTGCACTGCTTGACAACAAGAAACTTGTAGGAAGAGGACAGCTATCCACTGCCAAGTCAGGAAATGTTTTATGGGGACAGCTGCAGCTTCAGCAAGGTGCTGGCTGTGACCTGGGGAAGGTATCTGAGTTCTGAACTGATCGGAAGGTCGGCTCTGGTTTAGCTTCCCTCAAACTTTTTCCTTTTTTAATGCAAAACTGTTCAGATACCCAAGGAAGCCTTGAAGATCAGAACATAAAAGGAGAACTTTATACCGTCACTTTGAAGTAAATTTGAGGTCACAATGCCAATATTTTACTGATTAAAATATAAAAATGTATTATATCACATCTGCAGTATAATTAAGCTTATGCATATTAGATAGACCATGTTCTTTCCATCTTTTAAATACATTCATTGTGATGCAGATGTTGATACTTCAATGAAGATTCTGAAGATGAATTGTAATATAAATCATGGTTTCCAGCATTCTGAAGCGTTCAGGTTTTCTGCTCATGATTTTTACCCTTTCTCTTATCATAGCAGGTTCTCTTTGTGCTGTGATGATTTATTCTTATTTCAGAGAATTACCTCCTAATGAAAGAAAAATATTTCACTCATTAAAAGAAATAATTAACTCATGTGGTTATCCACGTTTCCAAAAGTGCAGTAAACCTATCCTAAGGTGCTTACCTGGCTTTTTGCATGGCGTGCTACATTGAGGGCTGTCAGTGAATCTTCCTCCCATTGCCAAGTTCTGTATTTCTTTGAGTGGGGCTGTTGGTTTATGGCGTGAGGTATAAACTACAGTTTTTCTGTATCACAAGATCAGCGTAGCCAAATAGAGTGGTCATGTTTAACAGAAGGAAGAGGAGTGAGTTGAGGGGAGAATCCTCAGCTGATTTACCCTTCAGGACAGAATGGATGAAATTAGCAATGACATCCAGATGATTTTCTGATAACTAGCTAATTTAGAGGTTTCTTATACTATTTTCTCCTTCAATAACAAATCTCTGGTGGCTACACAATCAGAATATTCCAATATGTCGGAAAGAATGAATTTTGATTTTTAAAAATTCTTATACTATCAGTTATACAAAGTATTGAACGTGAGCAAGTTGAAGCACATTTAGTGGCTCTCATAATAAGCAGGTTCATCAAAGAACATGAATAAGTGAAAATACGAGAATGAAGCCAAAGCAACCCATTATGACTTTATATTGACTTGAATATAGATGGCTGTATTTCTGGAGGATTGGATGGGTAACTTAAGTACAAAAACATTGTCATGTCCACGGGTTGATAAGATTATTATAACCTTCCAAAGGCATATAAGGAATTACATAAGGATAGATGGCAAAAAAGGAAATAGGGCCTACATTTTAATGAAAAATTAGAGCAGTATCAGATCAATTTGTTTTTTAGAGCTCAATAATTAAGCATAGTTCATAAAGTGTGACACCAAGCTTTACATTAGGGCAAAACAGTTCCAAATAATATGCCATTTCTGAGGTCAAAAAAACAAATGTGCAGGGCTAAATTTCCAAACCACTTGTCATCGGGGAGTTGTAGTGTCATAGGGCATGGAAGTGGATGTTCTTGGCTTCTTTCAAACCTGAAATCTTCAAGGATTTCTCCAGGTTTCTGAGTTGATATTTCTAAGCTGTGGATGTCTTTGATAGTGGTACACTGTGCCAGCTCTATTGGCTGCACTCTTCCTATACCTTGTGCACCAGTTAAGAATAACAGCCCTTTATGTCTCCTTCAAACAAGTATAGCTTTTGGTGGACAAAGGGACATTTTTACATTTTTGAAGTTAATGTCTTCATTCCTCCTCCATACAAAGACATATCTTCCAAAAGCACTTTGAAGCTTTAAAAGTTTGTGACCTGTTTTTGAGAAGTATGGGGCAAACTAGCATTTCTCAGTGGGAATTATAGATACTTTCGAGAAGCGTGGGTCATTGGGCTTTAGTAGAATTTCTCCCTTGGAAACAAAAGGAACAAAGTTTTCAAGCTTCAAAACCACTTGTGGATAGTTCCTCTTTCATAGAATACAAAGGTACATGGCTGTCAATATCCATGTTTTTGAAGCTTTATTAAACTTATTTTTTTAGGATTCAAAGGATACTAAGGATATTAGTACTTTTTTTTTTTTTTTAATATACTCAAATAGCAGCTTATTAAACTTACTACAAGCTTGATAGTTTCAGCAAAATAGACCCGACTTAGTATTCCTTCCTCTGAGAACTACAGAAATGGCCTCAGAAAGTAATGAGTTGAAGAAATGGGCTGGAAGATATTTAAAGAGATGCTGTGTTAAATGGCAAAATACGTGGTAGGTTTATTATGGGTTTTTTTGAAGCCAGTATGCCTCTGTGTTCCATGCTTTTTGTTTTATGTTGGAGAGACGTGCTCATTATCTACTTGATATGAAATGCTTACACAACTTTGAGCGGATTTGAGGCTGCATTGGTTCAGATTATACGCAATAAATTCAATATAATGAATGATTATCTTACCAAGATAAAATGAAAACATCTTCAGTTCCCAAGAAAAATCTTTGTGCATGTGATGTGACTTGTCTTAATTTTTTAAGCAGCAAAAAATAATAAACAGATGCTGTCACCAGATTATAATTCAGAATTAGAATTTTGATTGTGCTGATTCCATGTTTGCTAGTTTGAGCCTGGCAACTGCATGATATTAAAAGACAAGAAATTTCTTGGTGAAGCTTCATTTCTCTGTGCAGTCATGGATAATTGAAAGAGAGATGTTCACCTATCATTACCTAGCTTCTGTCTCAAGTCTTTATGCGAAACTCATTGTGGAGTAATAAGCTCAGAAATCATTTCAACCCCTCCCCTTGAACAAATTTCTGAGAGAACATGAGAAATAACTCAATTACCACTCTTTCCAAATCGTTGCTGGTTTCCCTATCACAAGAAGTGCATCCTTTTCTCTAGGTTGTTATTACTTTGTGACTCATAAGTGGCACTGAATAGGTTCTGTGCTCATCTTTCTCTTTTGCTCCCTCACCCCACTGCCATTCTGTTTGATTTACTTTTCCTGTCTGCTGATGGGAGCAGTGCCGACAGCTCCGCCACAGAACGTGCAGGTGGAAGCCGTGAACTCCACCACCATCCAGTTCCTCTGGAGCCCTCCACCCCAGCAGTTCATCAATGGTATTAACCAAGGATACAAGGTAAATAGAAGGAAGATTTCTTTAACTTTGTTTGCTTTAACAGTCGCGGTATGTAACAATTAGAAATTGAATCCAATAATCTATGAATGTCCTAGAGGATGGTATATATGAAGGGATATCTTACAGAAGCAAAATGAAGAGAGAACTGGGCAGTTGTTTCTCCTAATATAACTTCCACCAGTTTATGTGAGTTCTGAGAAGGAAGTAGGTCGTAGGCTGGACATTCTGATACCTTTGTCATTTACCTGGAGAATTTCCAAAACCAAAAAACAGTTTGATGTCAAACAGCAAAAGATGCACATCTCTGTGCCACGGAAAATCAGCCCTGAGATTCCTATCTACTCTAATGCAAAACTCCCATTCATTTAATTAGGCACCAAGATGTCACACCAAATATTTGTCTTAACTTTCCCACTGTGATGATTTTGGAGATGTAGAAATGTAAAATTTTTAATCACGCTTGATGGAGCGGCGTTGACGCGGCGCGTCCTTGTTGATGGGGCAGCTGGCAATATCTATTAGCAGCGCACAGCAGAGAGTGCTTCACGGAGCACTTGTGGGTCCTTTCACCAGTGGAGTGTTTGCTAAGGAGGGAGCTGAGTGCTTTATTTCTGTCTCTCAGGAAGGACTGCTTAATAGAAACTCCTCCAGCAGTTCAGCAGCAGGGATATAATTTAGGAAGTATTTAAAAACATTCTTAGAAAGAACCAAGAGAAATCTTGCAGTGATCGCAGAGCAGGACAAGGGGAGATGGGCACATTTTGTTAGCAGGAGAAGGAAGCTTGGCGTAGCTGTTGGGTGAGGGAATGTTCACCGAGCTGAGGAGGATGTGCAGTTCAGAAGATAGGCTGTGAACTGTGGGTGCATTTTTGGAGTTTGAGAATCGATGATGAGAATTGATTTTCCAAGTGAAGGGTTTGGGAAATCAGCCCTATGAGGAGAGGCTGAGGGAGCTGGGGCTGTTTAGTCTGGGGAAGAGGTGGCTGAGGGGAGACCTTATTGCTCTCTTCCAGTACCTGAAAGGTGCTTACAGTGAGAGCGGGGTAGGTCTCTTCTCACTGGTGACAGGTGACAAGACGAGGGGAAATGTCCTCAAGTTGCGCCAAGGTAAGTTTAGGTTGGACCTTAGGAAACACTTCTTTACAGAAAGGGTGGTTAAACATTGGAATAGGCTCCCCAGGGAGGTGGTTGAGTCACCGTCCATGGATGTGTTTAAGAGCCATTTGGATGTGGTGCTTGGAGATATGATTTAGCAGAGGGTTGTTAGAGTTAAGGTACTGCGGTTGGACTTGATGATCCTTGAGGTCCCTTCCAACCTGAGTAATTCTATGATTCTATGACTAAATGAATCATAGAATCATAGAACCATAGAATGGCTTGGGTTGGAAGGGACCTCAAGGATTGTGAAGCTCCAAACTCCCGACACATGCAGGGCCACAAACCTCCATCTCTAATACTAGACCAGGCTGCCCAGGACCCCATCCAACCTGGCCTTGAACACTTCCAGGAATGGGGCATCCACAACCTCTTTGGGCAGCCTGACAAGACTTGATCCTCCTCTGATGTTTCAAAGTGATGGAGAAACCAAGGTAGATGTATGCAGGTGTGTTTTAACATTCTTTTTCCCATTTCTCATAAGGAACTTATTTCTCATACAGAACAGTGATGGTTGCACAATCCCCAGTTGAGACAGCATGTGTGTGTAGAAGTGTATGTCTTTTTTCCCAAGAAAGCATCAGCTCTCAGGACTAGGTTACTGGCAGGGTATTTAGGCTACAGAAGTATATCCTGAAATAGAAGCAGCTGGCTTCTGCTTGGGCTGTAGAGAATGAACGAACACACTTTGGGGGTCAGTGGACTGCAGCACACTGTAATTATCTGGTGCCAATCCAAACGTGGTGAGCTCAGTCAGATTTGGAGAAGCCATCTTTTAGATTTTTATTCTTTGTTTTATTCAAACACATCTTCAGTACAAAGAGCTTTAATCTCATCGCCTGGGTATCTCCAATTTAAATTTAGATTTAATTATCAATTTTATAAAATAACCAAAATCATGGTTTGTATCTGTCAGCATTCAGTAAAAGTTTCTGAGGTTATCACAATTTCTCTTTACTTGGAGTTCTTTGATTGCATTAAATTGCAATAGCTTTATAATTTCTCATGGGGTTTGTGAATTGCAGCACAAAGACTGTGAGAACAGTTCTGTGACAGTGTTTTCTGCATAGTTTATTTTGTATAATTTATACATACCAGTACCAAAGCTAGGCCTTTGCTTTACTTCAGGGTTAAACCCATTTTGTCCTTTAATGGACAAAATTGTTCACTTTTATTTCCTGCACATGTCTTCTATAGAATGTGCAATGATATTCAGTCTAATGTTCAGTCCCTCAAAGTTATTAATGCCAATTGTAATCCACAAAGGTGATTTAGAAAAGAAAATAAAACTTACAATTCCATCAACCATTATCCAGTTTTTATCTTTTCTTTGAAATTTATTTGCATTTCAAGAAGTAGTAAAGTGCACCTTTCAAATATGAAATATTTCTAACGAAATGACTCCTTATAGTGCTTTAACTGTGCTTTCTGACTATAAGGAGTATAGTCTCATTATCAGCCAATAGATGTTGGCGAAATGTGTTAAATATGGCTCAATAATTTCAGGCATCTATTCATGTTTATGAGCCTGAAATCAATACAAGTAGCATGATTTACACAGATACTGAGTAAGGCATAGAGTTTTAGCATGCTTATATAAGCCACAAGATAAGGATTTTTGGACATAATAGAAATTTCTGAAGCACTTTAAAGCTTTAGGCCTTGAAGTTGTTAAGGTGATTTCAAAAATTGTTTTAACATTTTGAAGTCATTTGCAAAAAATCAACTTCTGAAGTCCTCATTTAGGTAGTTACAGACAAGGTATTCTACCCTAAGAAACACTGATCTCCCAGCAGGGCCACTGAGATGACTGAAACCTGGAAGAACTATGGCTTGCCAAGCACGTTACTTTAAATGCATAAAGATTTCGTCAGGAGCCTCACTTTTGGGACTTAGGAGCTAAAAACTGTGCTAATCCTTCTTAAAGCCACGTTCTATTCTTTCTGTAGTTCCAAAACTTTTTGTGGCTGTCCTCACATCATCAGGCACTGAAACATTACTTGGCTCTTAGCAGTGCTGGTCTATGGGATGCTGAAGGCTGTGGGAGGGGAAGGAGGATTTCTCCCCCTAGTGGGATCTTCCAAGGAACCCCATGTTGAGATGAAGCTTTTATCTCAGAGTAGCACTGAAGTTCCCTTTCTTACTGCATCTTTCTTTCAGCAGCAGGGATTGTCCAGCTCGGAGGGACACAAAAGACTCATGCCATACAAACAGGCAATTGCAATAATTTTGGCCTTGTTCAGTAGCAGAAATTGAGAGCTGTAATACCTCTATAGTATCGATATGTCCCCTATTGCTAGTAAGCATTACACACATCCCTCCAGTTATCGTGGTAACAGTGTTCTGTCCATCTGTTCAGCGTCAGAGCTGACAGTAGTTGAACAGCATTGCTTGTTTTTCACAATCAGATTAAGATGGTTTTGGCAGCCTAGCGTGCTCCAGTTCTCTAGTTCTGAATGGACACATCTCCTAATGACAGCTCATCCACGTTCACATTCCCTAGCTCCTCGCGTGGCCAGTGGATGCTCCAGGGACTGTGACAGTGGTCACAATTGCTCCAGATTTCCACGGTGTTCACAGTGGCTGCATCACCAACCTGAAGAAGTACACCACTTACTACACATCAGTTCTGTGCTTCACCACCCCTGGCGATGGGCCGCGCAGCGCACCGCAGCTCCTGCGCACGCTGGAAGACAGTGAGTATTCAGCACTGGTAGAGAATCTCAGTGCTCATGTTTGGCTTGGTTGGAGAGAAAAGCAAGAATTGTGACATCTGGGTGCTTAAAATCAGGCCTGAAGTTGACAAAGCGGCTTGTAGTCTCTTGTCAAGTTAGTCTCCATCAGACAGTGAGCTCAGCTGGTTGGCCACACGTGTTCTTTTTGCTGCTGGGAAATGAAAGGCTGGAGCTGAAGTCTCCATGGTGTGGTTCAGCTAACGCAATGCATCGTTTGTCTGTGAACCCTTATGTTCTTAAATCTGTGTTCAGGTATCCAGATAAATATGAATTGATCTGAGGAATTGAGCACCAGGGTTTCCTGTAGAAATCAATGATTTATTTAAGTTTGTTTCCTTCTGCTATTCAGTATATTGAAAATGCCTATATCTGTACTATATTGCAAGTATTTGTATAAAGTGAAACAACCAGCATCATGATGATTTACCAGCTTCCTCTCTGCAAACTGAAGTCACATCCATGGACTGAAATACAAGCTAAATAGTTTTGTATACAGATTGTTTCCTGCATCAGAAAATATCTTGGCCTCTGTGGCTTCCTGGAAGTGTTTGCTCAAGACACGTCTGTGGCTAACACATCCAGCGTGTCTGTTCAGATGACAGCTGAGTTGCAGTGGCACTCATAGCTAGCTATGTGTCCACAGTGATCTTGGTTCTCAACAGGGTTTCTTCTCACAGAGCATCTCAAACAACTGCTGCACATTTACAGATCCAAATAAGAATTTAAAAATGTCTGCCACAGCCATGAAGATATTGTTTTTAGAAATACTACTTCTCCTTAACAGGGATCTTTTAGGTTAGTCAGTGTTCCCGTAAAGAAAATTCTGATTAACAACAGCATTCACAGAAGTGAGGCTCAGAGTGCTAATCCATTTTTTCTTTAGATACTCTTGAAAGTTTATGAAGAAAATTAAGTACTTTCCTATAGATTTTGATTTTGTGGTTCACCTCCTCCATATGCCCCAGGAACAGATGCTAGACTAAAGCCTTTGCTTGTTAGAAGGTTGCACAGATAGCAATGCAACCAGCAGAAATCTTATGAGCTATTAATATGAACTGATATGTTCTTAACTGGAGTCAAAGCAAAAGGCACGGAGGAAAGAAAAACATGTGTTAGGTTCTTATGTGTAGTATGAACATTTTGCCTGTTTTCTTAAGGAAATGAGGCCATTGGCAGTGTTGATGTGTTGGTTGTCTGTCTCAGATCCATCTGTCTTTCTGCCTCCAAAAACGTTTTGATCCCATGGCTAATTGCAGGAAGCCAAAGATGGGCGGCTCCTAGAATTTCATGGGAATTAAGCAGCTGGGAAGAGGAAAGAAACTATTAATATTTCTGCTAAAGGAGAAATGAGCCTTAGAAACTTTATGGAATTATGAGAAGGGCACAGTCAGACACATGGAATATTTCAGGGAGATGCACTAGAAATTTCCATCATGATACATGAAACGACAGAAAGTCAAACTGGTGTATATTTGTTGTGTATGCAGACGTGCAGCACAGAGCTTCTGCACGAGAGATGAGCAGCATTTTTTGATTCTGAGTCCTTCAGAAATGTTTTTGTGATGACTGAGAACTTCAGTGTAGCACGGTGTAATGCATCTTTGTGGAGGACTCGTTGAATCTAACTTGTTCCAGGATTTATGTGGTGGGTAAAAAGGTTTGAAAGGACTGTCATTCACGGTCTCAGGTGATCATTTTCTGTGTGTCTGTAAAGCCAAGTTGGGCAATCCTTTATAAAACAGCGCAAGTAAATCTGTTTGCTGATGAACTGTAGGTCAAATAAAATGTGACATCTAGTCAGAAGCGATGCGTCCTGGCTTGGTGTAACCTGCACCTGCTTTTCATTATGGCATTAAAACTGGAACGCGATGGCAGGAGCTAATTGGAGTAAAGCTTTGTGAGTTTGTGGCTTGCATGTGTGCAGATACGTGTTCCTGAATAGTGCATAATTGCTGTGCTCTCGTCGGGTATTCCCGAGATCACTACCAGATCAGCACTTTTCTTTACTGCTTTGACTACTACACATTGCAGAATGGGTTTGGAAATTTTCCTCCCTAGGATTGCAGAATTGCAAATGTGGTCGCAGCCGACCTACTGGCAGGCTTCTTTCTTTATCGTAGCTGGAGGGGAATGAGAAACTGGACTAAAGCACAGAGGAAACAAAATATGAAATTGCAGACGAGAAATTGCCAACTGATGTCAGCAGAGCTGGAGGATACTCAGGCAGGGATCCAATGACAGAAGCAGAGCGAATATAAAGTGAACAAAAACTCCTTTTTCCAGTACATCGATTGAAGACAGAACAGCAGTTGGATCAAAAATCAGTCAGGATGTCTTCCTTGAAGATCAAAATTGAGGGAGGATGGCATATTCTTGACAGTCATTCCATTTTATGCTCTTTCATTGCACACTAGGGAGCTGAAATTTTTAAGAGCTCTTGAGCTACATCATAAAAATCCTTTAAAAGTTTCACACACTTGTATTCATTTTGCAGAAGATAGTTGCCATTATGCTGGACATTTTTAGAGATGTTTTGAGAGACTCTGTCCAAGTTTTGAGGCTACCCTTGCTCTGACCTTCGCCTGCTGAAGGCTCCTTGCAGGCAAAGGGAGCACAGCCCCAAGGAAGCTGCACAGAGCAGCCTGGGTCCCCACATGCTGTCGGGGTGAAACAACAAACACAATCACTTCCAACATTGCCAGCTTGATTGTTCTAATTAGATTAGATCAAGAAAGACAGAGAACACATTGCATGCAGGTCCCCTGCTGCTGCTCTCTTCAGTTCTCTGCACAGTTGGGATGATGACTAGATAAAATAATTTATGTGATGATAGCCAGAGTGCTTCTTAACACCTTCCATCCTCCCCTCTCCCCTGCAGCTCTCACTGATGTTTCCAGCAGGCTTCCCTTGGTCCCAGCTCCATGTTGCAGTCCTCCAGCCCTAACCTTGCCACATGAATCACATCAGAAGTAAGTGGGCTTCTCATGTTAACAGATTTCCTTTTCTGATTGCCAGAGCCGGGAGCTGTGGGACACCTGAGTTTCACTGAGATTCTGGACACGTCTCTCAAGGTCAGCTGGCAAGAACCTGTAGAGAAAAATGGCATCATTACAGGCAAGTATCAGCTGCTTTTTTTTTGTTTTTTTTTTACTTTTTTTTTTTTTTTCCTCCAGTGTGTGGGGTAGAATGTATCACTGCAATGAGAAAATGTTTGCATAATAGAACATTTAGGGAGAACTGGCTGCTGCGAGTACTGGTTTCCTGGTTCATCTTTTGGGTAATTGAAATGTCAGCTAGGGCACATTATAGAAAGTACGGGTCCAATTACTGGCAGCTCATGATTGTGGTCACTGAAAAGGCAGTCTTTATTAGAAATCAGCTCCCCATGGAGTCGATGATCTTGTTAAATCTTCTGTGACCTCCACCTCTGCCACTTTAAAGTCTGAAACTTTGCAAGTTGGGATTTCCTACGTTGAATTTACAGCTGCAAAATCTGAATTGGCATTGCTAAGATTTGCAATCAAGACCAACCCTGAAATCAGCAGTATCCTTCATCTGTCATCAAGTGGCCTGGCTGCGGACTGCAGGACAGAAAATTTGCATGTCATTACTTAATTCTGTATAAACCATCACAGCAGTTCAGAATTCTTGTTTCTTTGATGAGCTGGCCATCTGACTGCTCCCTGCTATTTATCTATTTATTCCATGCCAAAGTAGATGTAACATCAGCAACTTCATTATTTTTCATAAAGGCAGCTATTAATAGTGGAGAAAATCTCTAGCTGTTATCGAGAGAGGCAATATTGTTTTCAAATGGAAAACTATTACTTCTGCACAGGATGGACATTCCATCTAACAAAGGATTTCAAGGTTGTGAATTGCAAGAAAACTCTCAGGTTTTAAATGAGCTAAAATCGTAGTTGGGAAGGGATCACTTTGCATGGATCCAAATATTCTGTTTTGACAGCATTGACCTTTAGTTTTTAATTTAATAAATGTGTATATATATATATATATATTTTAAGTAAATGCTTTTGGGGATTACAAAGAAAAGAAAAGCAAACAGACTCTTTGGCCCCTCCGCATTGCACCAGCCCAATTTCATGAAACATTTCCACTTTGGCAGGGCTGGTTATTTGGATCGGACTTGCTTCTGTCTGTGTTTGCTCTGTGAATCTCTAAGGCACTGTTTATATATGTTACTTCCATGATGTTTATGTTATCCATGAGTTTTTTATGCACGTATTCTTATGCCTTCTACCTCAGTAGCCTTCCTGGAATATGCATTGATTTAAGTGGGTCAGGATCAAAAACTAATAACCTCTGATAGCAGAGCAGTATTGATTCAGTGAGGATGTCCAAAGCCTTCAAGCCCGAGTGCTTAAATTTAGGTACCTAAATCCAAACCTAGTTATCTAAGCAGTACGGTGCAATATCCATCCATGCAAAGCTGCAGTTTGCAGCACTCTTAGTGCTGCAGAACTGTGCTCCTAGAAACGATCTGCAACCAGAATGGGTTGAAACTTGGTGGAGCAAATTGATAGTCTGCATTATACTTGTGGCAAATTCTTTTAGAAAGAAGGAACTCAAAAAGAGTTCACAAGGAAATGCTGATGTAAAAAAAGCCCAGCAAAGTTTATACGGAAACAGAAATGTCCTTAATGTCACAAACTACATTTAGACTGGAAAAGCAGCAGAAGTGTTCATGGCCCTGAGCGCCTCGGGGGGGTTGCAGAGGGCCACGTGGAGTTCTGAGAGCTTTTCCTCTTCATTTCTGCTCATTGAAACCTTTACAGGCACTTCTTGTTGCGTGCAGCGGCGCTGGGAGGAGGAGTGCACAGAGGAGGGGGCTGGCAGTCACCATGCTCTGGGAAATTGCCCATTACTCTTGCTGTAAATTTGAGTATCTTCCCCTTTCCCTCAGCAAACCCTGATTTATGAGGACCTGGATGCAGACGGACAGTTTGTGATTGGGTGTTCTGCTCACTGGTAGAGAATTTACTCCAGATCAACGAAAAATTATTTCTGAAACTCCTCCGGCCATTAGTTTCTGTTAGGCAGCTTTTCATGGCTTTGATGGGCGCGATGGCAAAGTGCAGGGCAGCTCCATGGCACCGTGCTGCTCCTGGTGTGTGGGCACCAAGGGAAGCACTGGGCTCCCCATGCGTGCTGCTGGCAGAGCAGAGAGCACGTTGTTACCAACCACATGTCCCAAAGTCCTGCCCATCTGTCTGTCATCGTGGCTTAAATGCCACTTGGGGGGATGCTCGATGTTGTTTCTTTCCTTCAGCATTGTTTCATCTGTTTTAGTTATGCATGATTACATCAGGCTTTGTGTCAGCTCGGCATATATGTGTGTATTTTCTGTTTTTATACAACCAGAATTTATCCATACTTCAGGACTGAAATATCTGCAGTAAATGCTGCCTCTTTGTCTTTTCTTCAATTTGCATGTGAGCTGAAAAATATTTCCCAGCGAACATCTTTTCAGCAAATAAATACATAGAGACTGTGTGCCTAATGGGCAGGAAAGCTGGGGCTCATCCCTGCAGTCACAGGGGAGAAAACAAAATGTTCAAAGAATAATCACCAACATTTGATGTATATGCAAAGTTCATTGAGATGGGAGGGAAGATGTCTCAATCATTCACGACTGCCTTGTATGCAGTGCAGGAAACTTCTTGCTGCTTGTAAGCAACAAATGGATGGGGAGAGCATGAGAAGTCCCCCGCTCATTGCTTATTCTGTTTCTTTCTTTGAAAAATGCATTCTGTTTTATTCTAGGATGATTCCCCTTGATTCCTTCTGCTGGTCCTTGTGCAGGGTTCAACACATAAAGTCAACAGAGTCCTTCAGATTTGTCAAAGTCTTCATGCACTTTATAATCTTGCCTGTACTATACACATTCTGATCACTGCAAATGATTCTCAAGCTAAGGGCATCAGGTCATTCTAGTGTCTCTGAGATACGGGTAAATTACTGACTTAATTGAATCCCATCTAACAGATGGGACGTTTCAGACACTTGCTTGAAGCTTGCTCCAGGTGAGCTTTCAGGAGTTTTCCTCCTTCCCCCAGGTAGCATGTTGTCAGGCAGGTGGTTGCAATGTAGCTCAAATGGTTGAAGTATCACCTCTCTGCTGTTTATCACTGCCCTTTCACCTGAAACATAATTAATGACGATGTGAGTAGTCTGAGTCCATTTTCATACAAATATGTTAATGAGAAATTCTGTCAGTGATGGCAGCTAGCACCCGAGGGAGGATAACATCTCACACCTTTCAAACTCTCTCACAAATGAGTGCCTCACCATGCTTGTAGTTCATGAGATGATGTTTCCTTGTTGATCAAAACCATAAGGTATTTTGCTATTTCAATGTGTTAATCAGCTTAGGTTTAAAAAAAATAAAAATTAAAATAAAAAAAAAAGCCAACAACTCCAACTGGTCTAAATTCTTCATCTTATCTGATGGGAACAGGAACCCAGTGGGGAGTTTCTCTATCCAGCTTGCCTCGTGCATGGTTCTCTCAGTGGGGTTCCTTTCTGTTAGCCCTTTTCATTCACTTCCATTTCACAGGCATTCAAGAGCTATGGGTATTTTTTTCCCCTTTTTTTCCCCTGAGTCAAATCACAAAGAAAGCTGCAATCAAGCAAACTTTTCAGACACACTCTCTGGAGACTGGTGCAGCAAGGTTCAAGTGGGTTCAACTGAGAATAAAGTGGGACTGGGCAGGAGGAGGACAAGCAGATTTGGAGATAAAATTGAGCAAATCAGACAGTAGAAAGTTTCAAAAGTTCTTGGAAGGCAAATGGTTATAAAAGCGATAAAAAGAAATGAGTTTTAGAGCCTGGTTATGATATAAGAATAATGTGGGGGTCAGGTGAGTGCAGTCCTGGACAATAGATTGGCTACGCTACGGTTTTGAAAGAAAGGATAATGATTCACCCTGCTAAAGGATTTGTGTGAGGAACAAGCAGTGGGGAGTAAGGGTTTTTCTGGTTCCTAGAGGATTCCCACCATGTTTCTTCATGATCATCATTGTTAGGTTTGTAAGTATTTCCAGATACGCAGCAGCGAAGGTGGCTTCAGCCTGGAAAAGAAGTGTCCCTGCTCAGCGTATATAGATTTTTAATGAGGTGTTCTAGATGGTGAGAAAATGTTTTATTTTCCAGTGTTTCTTCCTATTCATTGTGCAGAGTTCACAGAATGAAAGTCTGCCTTTCTGTGAGATTATCCTCGGGTTTCCTAATCATTGCACAGCAAGCACTGTCCATTCATAGAAAAACGGAGAGACTCCAGTGCGACTCCGTGCCCCCATGAGTAATCTGATGGGCAGAGCTTATCAGAAATAACAGTATTACAGAATACTTGATTATTTAAGTCAATGTTTATTTTAACTTTTTTTTTTTTCCTTTTTTTTTTTTTCCTGTCAATAAAAGGTTTCCAGAATCATAAAATCATAGAATTGCTCAGGTTGGAGAAGACCTTAAAGATCATCAAGTCCAATCACAACCTCACCGTACTACCTTAACAACCCTCCACTAAATCATATCCCCGAGCACCACATCGAAATGGTTTTTAAACACATCCAGAGATGGTGACCCAACCACCTCCCTGGGGAGCCTATTTCAGGTTGGAAAAGACCACTAAGATCATCTACTCCAACCATCCATAGTACCACTCCATAGCTGTCCAACCAAAGCACCAGTGACCACAAGCATGCCTTACAGAGGCATTCATTTGCCAATCTCTGGGTTATTGCACAACAGTGCTTTAGGAGAAAAGCCAGACCCCAGCACTGCCACAGCCTCTGACTGCTGTGTCATTGCTTTCCAGGCTACCAGCTCTCCTGGGAGGTGTATGGCAGGAACGAATCCCGGCTCAGCCGCACGCTCACCAACACGACTCTGGAGTACAAGATCACGGGGCTGTCGTCTCTCACCACGTACACCATCGAGGTGGCAGCTGTGACTGCGAAAGGGAGCGGGTGGGTCACGTCCTCCACCATCTCATCTGGGGTGCCTCCAGGTTGGTGAAACTTCATGGAAGGGGTTAAAAAGGGCTGATTTACACGTACACCGAGGGTCACAAGGGATTTTGATTGGGTTATAATAAGTATGGGTTTGTTTATGCAGCATCAGAAGTCTTCACCGCATCATTTAAAGCTAATTCTTAGAAGGCATTAAAACATTAAAATGAAGATTTGCAATTACCAGAAAGTTGGGTTTTGTGATAGAAGTTTAAAAAAAAAAAAAGTTGTAGAGATTGCAGAAGGAACAGACAAAGCAATAAAGTGGATAAAGTTAGGAAGCTCTTGATATTTACAAAGTAACATAAGAAGCAAGCCTGAATTAAATAAAAATTGGTGCTTTTGGGGAAAAGTAGAGTTTGGATGCTGTTAAATGAGACAGGTTTTTCTATTTTAAGTAGTATAACTTATGTCACCTGTGAGAGGGTATTTGCATAATGAAACTGAAATCTTATTTGCAACATTTGGCATCTGTGGCCTGAGAAAGATTTGGAAAGTAGTCCTCTGCTGCATTGTCTGAGTTTCCACTTGGGCCCCTGTGCATTATTTGATTTAGCATTTTGCATTTGGATTTTAAAACTCAGCACTCTCCTTCATCCTGTACACAAAGCAAACTAAAAAGCCGTTTCAAACCTCCAACCAGCAGTTTCTGTTAATTTATAGGCTATACAAGTAGAACTTTCCAAAGTGGAGCAGTTAATGTACATCACTGATGGTAATCCATATTTTTCCCTTTTCTGGTGTTTTTGAACTTTTCTGTGTGTCTTGAAGTATGCTTGCCTTTCTTTCCCCTAATCACAGGTAATTGTGACAAGTTGCAGGCTGGATCAATGCCATGCTGCCTGTCGTTACCCAGATAACAGCATTATCCTGTTTGGTCAGAGTTGGTTTATCGATCATAGCTCCCACAAATGTGAAGTAAATATCAAGAAATATTGTGCATTCATGCATACTCAAAAATACATGCCAAAAATCTGCCCATTTTTGCCTGCTGCATTTGCACATAGTAAAACATTACAAATGATTACTGATTATTGTCCTAATTTCCATTGCTTATGAATGCAGGTACTATTGGAAATTTATTCTGAACAATCTATATTTAATCCCTTTCCTGGGCTTGTTTTTGTTGATAATTCAGGCAGTATTAAAAATGTAAATGCTGCTGTAAGCTTGACTGATGTGAGGCAGCAATCTGATTGGAGCTACAGATTTTTCCCCATAGAAGGTCACCCTCTTTATTTACAGCAGAAATTAAAAAAAAAAAAAAAATCATTTTGCTTTATGCAGCCATCAGAAATGGCTTATAAAACCCATCTATTGTAGATCAATATGAGAAGCATAAAACCCTTCCACTGCCCAAAAACCTGGGAGTCTTTTTCCGTTGTTAATATATTAAAGCTGTATATACCATAAGTAAAATAATTATAATTGTAGACAAAAAGCAGTGCAGCAGAACTAGATGCCTTGGGAAGTGCCTTCCCCCAGCCACCAGGCTTTGTCTGTTACTCCACCTCCCCAAAATTGTAGCTGCAGTTCTATAGAGGGACTCTCTTCATTTTTGATCTGTAAAATGCAGTGCATGCTCAGAGCAGCAGAAATTGTAATGTTGTATTTAATACTTAGCCAAAAAAAAAAAATCCCAACAATAAAACCAACCCTATTTTCTCTATAGCAATTGTTATAAAGGTATTTTCAATGCTGAAACGCTGGCAGCCTGTGCTTCAGTGCTTTATACCAGGAACATTTCCATCTCTCATGTGTTGTTTCTCTCTCTACAGAACTTCCAGGCGCTCCATCCAACCTGGTGATCTCCAACATCAGCCCTCGCTCTGCCACACTTCAGTTCCGTCCAGGCTATGATGGCAAGACCTCCATCTGCAAGTGGATAGTGGAAGGCCAGGTATGGCCCTGATGGGGAGCTCTCACTGAGTCAAAAAAGGATCATCACAAGCAACTCATTCACCAGAGTTTGGTCCATTTATTTTAGAAATGGTTTCAAACCTGAGTTTGTGTCCTGATAGGTTCACATTCAGACCAGGTGCTAACCTGAAATTATCTCATAGAGCAGAAGTATGAGGAGAATTGCAGTGAACGGTTAAGATGCCATTGTTTGAGACACTGGGTGTATTTGTGCCATTTTGTAAGGAAAAATCCTGAGGTTTTCTGTCCAGGCTTCTAGATTTGAGTAGGCTGAATTCTCACCTTCATCAGCCTTAAACGATATTCCTCCTTCTGCTGCCATTATGCCTTGGAGGGCTTACATATTCCTCATTTGTTTTCCTGACAGATGAGCTTTGCTTCTTCCTTTCCACCCACAGATGTTTATAAATAATATAATCTGTTTTTAAGACCAAATGTTGGACTTCTTAAATCACCATCACCACTTAGGCATGTTGATACAATCACTTCACTTGATAACGAAACTGTTGTGAACAAGTTGGTACATTTTGTACAATTTACATCCACATTAGTGCATATTGCAGAATTAAATGCTGAATTTTTACGATTTGGTGGCTTGGCACACCTTGGGAATCATGTGCTGGAGCTTGCATTGGTGTTGGTAGGAATTCAATTCTGTGATCAAGAATTACAAAAAGCCACTGAAATTAAGCAAATTTGAATGCTTTAAAATGGCAGTAATTATTGCCACAGTGTTTGTCCACATCCTTGAAGAGCCGTGGGTACCAGTAGCAGTTGGAGGGTTCTTGGTGTGCAGGGAAGGAGGGGAGAGATGGGTGTTCACAAAGACCTGTCAGCATCTTATGCACTGCTGGTAAAGTCAAGGGACTGATGGTTCTGGTAGATCCTGGATCTGCTTATATTTGCTCCAACAGCCAGAATTACAGCAGAATCTGTCATGCTGAGTCTGAGCATTTCTTTGCACCACACCACACTGTTCAGCTTTGGCACAGCAAGAAACATTATTCCAAATGGATTTAATACTTGGAAAAAAAAATCTCACTCACATGATTAACAAGAAATCTTTTCAGTTATGCAAAGAAATTGATGATTTCTTACTGATACAGTAAATCCTGTTTCCAGGATGACAGCTGCCTATAATCCTTTGTTCACAGCCCCTTTCTGCCAGCACTTTATTCAAACTTTTCTACTCTGTTGAAGTGCAATCTCACAGCGCCTTTAGCCAGGCTAAACCAGGAGGTCAGGTTGTCCTATCCTCTCTCTTCATCCCCATCACTCCCAGCAAGACTTTCTTGCTCCTATCTTCTCTATGCTGTCATATCTGGAGCTGTAGGGGTTGGCCTAGCCAAGAACAAATGGGGTTCAGACAGATCAAGTCTCTGTACAGGCTGTGTGCAATTAGAAGATCCCCACTGCAGAGCAGGAGATGAGAACGTGGTGATGTGAGCAGGAGTTGAGGGCAGGAATGTCTCCATCCTGGCTTGGAGCTAAGCTGCCCTGGACCTGCCCCGCTGGGTTCCAAGGGTTTTTATGTCTACCTGTCCAGGACGTACAGACTTTTACATAACAGTTATGGCATGATGAAGAGCCGTCCTGCATGTCAGTCCATGTTCCCCTCTGTACAGCTGGGTGGTAGTTTTGCATTGGACACCCCATTTATATTGTACTACTCATTCATCTCTCTTGGGGCTACACTCTTTCTCTAGTTTTCTGTGTCCTCACAAGCGTGTTTTTATTCCTTCTTCCTTTGTGGCATAAAACTTTATTGATGAGGGCAGGTCTAGAAAATCTTCCAAATGTTCCATTTTGGCCAAGTGCCATTTTTGAAGTCTGATACTTTATGAACAGTCTGAATGAAAACACAGCTGGGAATTCCAGTTTATGTGAAATTTTTTACATCTGGCCTTGGCTTCTGCTTTTTGTGCTGGGATGTAAATTGACGGGATCCACTGTGGAACTAATTCTCAATTATGTCAGTGAACATGAGAGGAGACTCAGGTCTTTAAGATGTTAGTGCTGGTAGATACTGAAATATCAAGCGTTGAAAATCCCATTTCTGTGTTTCTAGTAAAGCCACTTTCTGTACTTCTGAAAGGATTTCTTAAATCTTTTTTCAGCAGTTTCTCTTCTGTGGTCACATTTAGAACTGAGAGGACTGGAGCAAACTGGATTTCCAAACCAAAAGCTGCAAAAAAGTACCATGCCATTTAAAAAGTATTTCTAAAATTGCTTTTCCATTACATGCAGTATAATCTAAAGAGAAGAGAGTCAAATGTGATATAAAGGTTTTGCAGACACTTGTTCAGAAGGTCCAAAAGTAATGGTCTTGTGGCATTGACACTCAGACTACATGTTCATCCCCAAAGAGTTTCAGTAAATCCTTCCTATTACCAGCAATCATCCTGTACTCTCAGATTCAGAATATATATTGCAGACATATTTTTCTGGCAATTTGCAATGACGGATGTCTATGAATCCCTTAATATTCTTTCGTGTTTGCACACTCTCTATGCTGCAGCAGATTCCATTTATTTTGCTCTTATTTTTCTTGAGGTTTTGTTGGAAGAAGAACATAAATGGCAGTGTCATGGCTGTTCCTTGGTATGAGTACAGGCCACCACACTGATCTTTCCATGGGCTGATGAGAGAAGCCAGGTTGACCTCTGTTGCGCCTTATTTGTTTTCTGGTGATTAATGTTATTGTGCAGACAGCAGAAGATTTGCAGAACCTCTTCACAAGTGGCATTCAGGTGTTGCACAGGTCAGAGAGCCACGAGTGCATGGGCTTACTTAGAGGATTTTCTTAGCACCTTTCTGCTGTTTGAATAGAGATTTCCTTATAATATTATCACGAGCAACAGCAGAACTGGAAAAGGGAGTTTCAAAGTACAAAAACCTTAAAAGCATCCTCACTGTGTTCTCTTGTAAGGCTGTGAGTTGGCATGGACCTCACTTTCGCCATGAATTTGTTGGGTTTTGTAGGTTGTCAGTGACCCAGATAGGACTCATCCATTGTACGAGGTGATTCTCTTGGTGTCATTTTCTCTTCAGAGCTGGTAAATAAAGTGTCTGAAGCCCTGACAATATTATGACTTCGCCAATCTTTAAATCAAAAATGGGTGAATCGATTTAAGGATTTTGTAGGAAAAAAATGGCACCCAGGCTGACATCCTGTGCACCAAATTTCTCCCAAAGTGATTTCAAATGCCTGAGTTATAGACCTCTATAATGAAAACTCTGACATATCTTGAACTATAGCAGAACACAGGGTACTTCTGTAACGCACAGAAACATCGTGTTTCCCTATCCTGCTGTTAGTGCTTAATAACTGTTCACAATTTTGGAAGCATTACTGTCTTAAAAGAAAAACTGCAGCAAATGATTTGACATTCCAAAGTTAATTTTTTGTTGTTGAATTTTTTTTTTTAAGTGGAAATTCACTTACATAGTGCATCCCAACTGACAACGTTAAGTCAATTGATAAAATTTGTAAAAATTACCAGTTTTAGAAATGGAGAAACTAGTCCGTAGAGAAGTAAAAAGTTCTGACATCATTTCCAATATTGCTTTATACCATCTCATTTCTGTAATAATAAATGAATGTGATCTTTTATTGAACATAATGCCTTGGTAACAGCCTAGAGATGGGGATTTATACGTGGCTGATAGTTATGGGGAATCATATGAAGCGATGCGGTGGAGATAGGTATTTTAATTGTGGCAGTTCCTGCTGATCTCCTGGGGCTCGTGGCCCTATTGTACTGAGAACTGTTAAGATGCAGAGTACATTTCTTAAAGAGTTTTTATGCCGATGGCAACAGCAAAACAGTTGGTGTTCTCATCTGCCTCCTAAAACAATGCACACATGAATACGTGTGCATCTGCCACAAGCATAATCCTTTTCTGAAGTTTGAGGATACTGCTATCCAAAAACCAACAATAAGAAATAAGCCTGCAAATTAACTTTATTTAATGCAGCCTGGCTCACAGGGGACTCTGCGGCCCCCCATAGGACTCTCTTATCCTAACCACTGCCCATAGTTCTTTTTTGCCTTGTGGGAATCCCTTTGTACTCTGATTTTTGAAACAGAAATGTTTCCTCTGATCTAACATCAGAGTTCTTCAGCAAAAAATAATTTTCTTTTCTTTCAAAAGCCTGAAACTTGGAACCTGCTAAATGCCTTGCAGAAGTTAAAAATATAGGAGCCCATCGGTGAAGATTTTCTTCCAAGGCTCATTTCTGAGATAACTGCTAAATAAGTGAAACTTGTACTGAGTAACAGTCACCTAGGATTGCTTGGCTGCACGATCAGAAATCACGCAGCAGTCCCCATGTTGCTTACCATGCTACCCTCGAGCTGAGTGCCCTCCTGCTTTGGAAAAGCTCCCCACAAAGGCAGCACACTCTTAAATGTGCTACTGACTGCAGCAGCAGATCAAACTCTTGAAGTTGCCCAGGTGCTGGCACCAGATCCTGGCACATTGCAAGGTATTATTCTAACTAAAGCAAGTTCCTCATCTCTTTGTTTTAAGAAGTTTTACTGAATTACAGAACTCTGCCTGTGCTTGATGTCTTCTACTACTTCTCCATCACAGCCTTTCAGCAGAGAATGAGCCTGAAAGAGGTGTACTGGGACTGTCTGTGCCCCAGGTCCCCACACTCCTGAACCAGGTAGCAGCCACCTGTTACCTGCTGGCTCCTGAGCCTCAGGGCAGCCAGTAGAAGCAACTTGGTTGTCACTTTCTATTTCCTTATAGGATGTACCCATCATTCCTAGCAGGGAACGCATTTAAAATTAGAAAGATGTGTCCTGGGATGGCTTCTGAGGGACTTGCCTTGGTCCTGGGCACATAAGAGCTTTCACCAGCTCTCAATCAGTAAAAGATCCTTAATATTTCCCTCTTTGCAGCCAGCTGGTGAATGCACGTCTGCAGAACAGGCAGAGGTTTTGGACACCTCTCAAGCTCGAGTCAGTGCTGATTGTTTACAGCCCTTTGGGCCTATGGGTCTGAACCATGTGGTCCTTAATGTGGATTAATGATCTGCCTGCTGCTGCATAACGATTGAAACCTGCAGTCTTTTTTTTTTTTTTTTTTTTTTTTTCCTATGCAAGTAATATTTTTACAAGGGTTTATTGTTCTTAGAATATAAAAAGAAAACTCTAATGCACTCCTGGAGATTATTTGCAGCCTCCAAAACACTGTGGATGGTTGCTGTACAATTACTGCAGCACTTTGAATTGATGCTGTTAAGAGCAAGGAATTTCATTAAAATAAGCATTCTACAAAGTCTTTTCTACAGAATTAATCACAAATGTTTTATTAAAAGTTTTCAGTGTTTCTGTGACTGAAATCCATCCTCTCCTTCTTTCTTTCCTCATGTAGTTTTTTTATAAGGACATTTGTATAATCTATATCTATAGCATCTCTTTGTTCTCTGTGTTGGTTTTAGGGCAGTTCTGTGTTCCCAGGCAGACCTGCATTGAGCTGCTTCATTAAGCTTCTCTATCTAGGAACTTCACATTTTCTGGAGCACTGTTGGGTCTGGGAATTTCAAAAGATCCATAATTTACACTGACATCTTTTTAATAAGATCTTTGGTGTGTATCAGTGTATTTGATTCCCATCAGTACTCAAAGACCAATCAACACCTTTGCAAGCACCTTCCTCCATGGAAGCAGTCCTCTGCTAGAAAGATCACCGAGGCTTCCTCTCACAATGCAATGCAGAACTTATTTCTTTGGCCTAATTTTCCTTGTGTCATTTCTTCATGCACAAACATAAATATGCAGCACATTGACTCCTGAGTGAGCAAAGAACTAAAACATCTATAAATAAATCAGGCTTCTTCTCCTGGAGGGAAAAAAAAAAAAAATGGAAGTGAATGAAACCTAATTTTCTGTTTGAAATACTTGGGATTTGCTAGATAGTTTGGGCTGTGTTGCCTATCAACTGCCTTGATAATGTCTATGGCTGTAACTAGTATGCAGAAGTCGTAAGAGATCTATTTTCAAAAGATTAAAGCAGGTTACTCTTTTCACAGTAGGTTGTGAGCTTCTGAAATTTGTTGCCAGAGCAGTGAGTGGAAGTAGGTAGTGTCAGTAGGTTTCAAAAAGGATTAGTCACCATCATGGACATCAAGGCCATAAATAGATGCTGAAGGGAGTAGCTGCTTTTGTCCCTCCAGTATCCCTCAATACAGAATTGTGGACACCAAGATAGGGTGAGGGAACTGACTTCAAATATGGCCAGGCTCATGGCTCTCACTAAATGGTATTTTCTGTTGTTGGGGCTGGAATGCCAGCTGACTGGAGTGTTTGTCCATCCCTGAAGGATATTTGATGAAGTGGGATCTTTCCAGAGCTGCAGTGAAAGAACAGAGTGACAACAACATTTCATTGAAGCACTGACCCTCTTTCTTTATGGCAGGCTTGAAGCACTGGAGTAAAAGTGCTAAGGAATTATAGCAGGAAGCCTTGTCTAAGATCCCATCTCTCTGCTCTTGTGACACTCCAAAGTGACACTCAGCCATCCACCAGCTCTCATCTCTCTCCCTTCCCACACTGTTCAGCACACAGCCCTGCACACCAGCACTGCTGTCTCCCAGGGTCTCACATCTCACTGGCCTTCTTCTCACGCCTTGTTGGCTTCCTCCTTAAGCCCCCGTTCAACTCCATTGCATCTCCAGCAATCTATATGGAAAGCAGTGCTCTCAGTTCCCATCACCCTTCTGTCCCTTCTAACAGCGCTGTGGCTGAGGGACTGTGTTGGGCTGACTTTCAGCAGAGTGCTGGGATTAATTAATACAAAGCACTTCACGTGGATGAGCCTGGTCTAAGTGCATCCCGGCAGCTGAGGTTAAAACACTTCTGTACTTTGACTTTGTTCTTGTTTCTCTGTCTTCATTTCTGTGGCATTTGTCTCCATTGAGACTTATTTAGTATGCATCAGTTCATGTGAGTTATTATCAAGGCTATTCTTCATTTTGTTATATTACTCCTTGATACTTTCATATTGTTGCAGTGAGATTGAATTGGGTAATAGCTCTCCCATGGTGTTCTTCTGGAATAGATCCTCTCAGAGAATCCCAGTGAAGTCCCAACAGTACAAGGAAAATTGGCTAATGTGGCCACGCTCTTACTAGAGCTTTGTCATATGAAAATAAATACTAACTGGATGTTGTGTGTTCAGAAGTAGTTTTCCTTCCTCAGTAGTGGAGGCACACATTGTAAAAAAATGAGTGTATGTAATTATCTACGTATATATGCATAAACACAGACATCCTTGTGTTTTATATTGATCTTTCCCATGTGTAGGTGGGCGTACTGGGTGATGAAGAGGAGTGGGTGAGTCTCCACGAGGTGGACAATGAACCTGATGCTCAGATGCTGGAGGTACCAAACCTTACTCCTTACACTCATTACAGGTAAGAACAGCAGGTAATTAGCTGCAGTATGATTAAAAAAAAATAGCAAGTTGCAGCGTGGAACAGCTTTCCTAATCAAGAACAGCTGGTTGTATTTTGTTATCTGAACAAAAGGGAAAAAGGTTCACTGTTTCCACAGTTTATACTTAAAATTACTTGTCTGATACTGTTAATTGTAATTTACATGCAATACAGTTCCTCACGTTAAAAGGGAAGCCAAGTGCACAGTGAGGAGTACTGTGGGTTACTGATATCCTGTGACTTCCCTCATCTGAAGAGTGCACCACCACTGTAACATCAGTCAGTGACAAATCAATTGTAGCTAAACTGGTGCAAACTTGTAATTACATATTTACACCAGCTTAAACATTTTATTGATTTAGCTTAATTTGGTAGCATCAATTAGGTGAAATCTTTGTTTATAAGAATTTCCCGAATTAAACTTAATAGATATATGCAAGGTTTAGGCTGATTGAGGTGAATCTACATCCTGGGTGCACCCCAGTTAAATGAGATGGATTTTTAAAATCAATCAATGCAAATGATGTGTTGATTTAGCACAGGCAAGATCTGAGAATTTGAGATATTCAGTCCTAGCAGAAAAATGCTTTATAAAATAGCTTGCTAGGGTCTCTACCAAAAAAAAAAAAAAGCCAATCCTTAAAGATGGAGAGAGTCGTATGTGAAGTGCAGGTTGTACCACAACTCAGTGTTCAGAGTCCATGTGAAGTAGGCATCACTTGCACGCCTAGGATCTGCATAGAGAAATTCCATAGAGATAACAAACAATAAGGAAGTATATGATGAGTTTGGGATTTATTTTGTAAACATTGAACTTTTTGGTTTGTTTGACTGCTGCATTTGTCTCTGGAGTATCGTGCTTATATTCCTTCTGTACCTATTAAATACTGGAGTGACCCCCTCTGATTTTTTTCATCATCATTCACACGCTAGTGCCGTTCCTTGAATTTTGGCTGGCTGTTTCCTCTCAGGCATGCACCAACACAGGGATGAGCTTTTGAGTTTTGTTTACACAGAACAATTTTATTTTGCTTTTGGAAATCCAAAAGGTTGGTGCCAAATGTATTCATTGTTCTATAATCAGCTTTAATCATTACACGTCAAGGAAATAAATAATGAGAGCTAATTACGAGAACCCATCTTTATTGGCCAGCTTCTTTTCTACGTTTTGTGCCAATGCTTTGAGAGTAGAATCAAGGACAATATTTGTTCAGTGCATTTGTTCAATGTGTTTCCTGTAGTGCCTTTTCTAGGGTTGAGCAGAGTAGATAAACAAACACAGCCGTGTTGACTAGCTCACTCTTATCCCAAATTCAGCCATTAGGTCCAAAAATGGCAGTGTTTCATATGAGCAGGTCATGTGCTGGGTACCTCTGATGGACGTACTTGTGCCCATGAAGTGTGAGAGCATCTGAAATGAACAGCACGTCTTAATTATTTGGTGCTTCCTGCAAAAAGATTTCTCTGAGTCTTCTGTGACCCAATGGGGATTTCTATTGTGGAAGAGATGGTTTCAAGCAGACAGGTTATTTTTTAAAGAGCCATATCCATATTAAATAACTTAATCTTTCTTGTGCAGGAAGGCTGAAAACGCAGCGCAAGGATAAATCAGCTTCTTTCAACCAGTAATTGAGGGGAAATGTTATCACTGGTATATTTTTTATATTGACAGGGAATGAGAATATCTGAAGTTTGATATTTTAATACCTTTCTGGATGTATTGTATAAACACTGCAAAAGAAAATCACTTACTGCCAGCATAAGCTCATCAGACTTGGCATAATTAACATAAATTTCTCACACAAATACCTAAGTTTCTAATCGACCCTAAGCTAATCTCATTTTCATTTTCATTTTTTCTAATACCTGAGAGGATCTGAGCACAGTTACCGCAAACCATTCAGCCGTGAATACAAAGGGGACCTGCACACAACCACCTTTGCAGGCTGTTGAGTTGTACCCGCCCTGTCGCTCCCCATCCCTCCCACTCCAGGGGGCTCTCGGGTTGATCCCACACTCTGCCTCTCCCTTCCACCTCAGGTTCCGGATGCGGCAGGTGAACGTGGTGGGTGCCAGCCCACTGAGCCAGCCCTCACGTGTCATCCAGACCCTGCAAGCCCCTCCAGACGTGGCCCCCAGCAGCGTGAGCGTGCGCACGGCCAGCGAGAGCAGCCTGCGGATGCGCTGGGTGGTGAGATGGGGATGGATGGGTGCAGGGGTGGGGTGCTGGCAGCTGGGGTGCAGCTCGGTTCCTAGGAGCTGCCTGCAGCTCGGGAATGCTTTTCCCTCGCGTTCAGCATGAGGCTGACGGCAAAATTATTTCCTTTTTTCAGAATAGTCGGAAATCTGAGACTTACCTTAAGTGCCTTATTAATCACTTAAATTGCCTACTGCCACTGCCTCTGCCACTTCATCAGGGGAATATATGCCTGTGTGTAAAACCTTGGCTTCTGAGACTCCAGTTCCACCGTCTGGGTCAACGTGTGGGACAGAAATATAATGCTGGAGCCAATTTGCAGTTTCCTGGGGCTCAGTTGTTTGTGCTGAGTAAAACTGTCCCCAGGAGGTACACAGGGGCCATTGACAGCCATTCTGCAGGTACCGAGCGGTTCAAAGATGGCAAAGTTTGCACATTACACTCCTGTAGGAAGATAGATATGGGAAAGGCTGTGGGGTTATGTGATAAAATCTAGAAACAAAGAATTAATTGCAAAGATGCAGTGGTTGGTGACACCGTTGTGCTCCTTTGACTGTCTCACTTACCACACACAGGGGGACTTGTTTGGCAATAAGTTTGCTCCAGAATGGTTTTATTTCTCCCTGGGTAGGATTTTCTGGGGGTTACTGTGGTGTGAAGCTGATGAAGCACACGTTTTCTTTTGCCCACATGTTACCTTTTCCATGCATAACCTCCTTACAGCTGGGAGACAAAATCTGGCTATGGAGACAAGAGAGGGTCGCTCCCATCATCGGGGAATAATTCCAATTTGCTATTGAAGAGCACAATTGAGTTCTGAACTCTGAAAGACTGACAGATCTGACCTGTAGACACTCATGAGATGTCTCAGGGTCCCACCAAATGAACAGTGGTGTCTATAGGAGAGCTTTGACATTATCTGGTAGGACCCACGTAACTCATTCATGGCTTCACCATGCCCACATTTTTAGACCTTTGGTTCTATGACCACATATCTTACATCAAAATCAACTCCGAGTTGTTTTCAAAAACTTTTAGACTTGTGTTTCCCTGCTGTACTATCTAGGAAGCGTGGTTTTCATGAGTCCAACTGTGCAGGGTTCAGGAGGAGCCAACAGCACAGCTAAAAATGCTGCAGCGTACCTTTTTCATGCTTGATAACATCAGCATTTGAAAGCATTTAATCTCTCTTTCTCAAGACCTACAGGTGAATCTGTGTCCCTCTGGGAGCTGGGAATTCCTTCCTTCCAACAGAACAGGGGTCACATTTTTAGCCCCGCTTGCCTGCAGGGTATAGTCTTCTGCGCTGTGAAATGTTAATGGATATCAAACTTTGCCAGTGAGTCAGAACTGAATCTCAGCCATCTGTAGCATCGTGTAGTTAGTTTTATGAGGAAAAACTTGAAACTTCATGAAGTAGGCTAATTATTTCATATTTTAATCTCTGAAATTGCTTGGGGAGTTGGAATACTGGAATAAATCTCTGCTGATAAATGAGCAGGGAGAGAGTCAGTAAAAAAAAAAAAATATTTTAAAAAAAGTACGATAAATGAATTTGTCACATGCTTCAGCAATTTATCATTCATTTCCATATTTAATCACAAAGTCCTGAGTATATTGCATTGGTTTCATCTCTGTTGATGCACCCACAGCAAGAGGCATAGTTCTGTCTGCGTATCAATGTGGCACGAAATTAAAGTTAAAATTGAAATCTCAAACAACACAGAAATCAGAGGCCATGAAATGTAAATTAGCCCTTCCATCTCTTTTGCCATCTTGTGGCCTTACACGAGTTCAGACCGCCCTGGTATGTCATTTGCAAAGCTCTGGCACCGTGCTCTGAGCTGTAATATTGGGCTTCTCTTTGGATTTCTCCCCCAGCCCCTGCCCGACACGCAGTACAATGGCAACCCAGAGTCTGTGGGGTACCGCATCAAGTTCTGGCGCGTGGATCTGCAGCCTTCCGCCCTGCTGAAGGTCATCAACGACCGGCTGGAAAGGGAGTGCACCATCGAGGAGCTGGAGGAGTGGACGGAGTACGAGCTGCAGATCCAGGCCTTCAACGCCATTGGGGCAGGACCGTGGAGCGAAGTGGTGCGAGGTCGGACGCGGGAGTCCGGTGAGTCAGAGCCCCACGTCGGCTGGGAAGGACAAATCAGAGGATTTTCAGCATGTGATGCCTTTTGTTGTTCAGTTTTTTTTTTTTCTTGTTGAGCCATGAAATCAAAAACAGAAGGAAAACGAATGATCTCTGGGTGCAGTGAAGGTGAAAAGATATGGAGACGTTTGAGGGAGCTTATTTATAAATTTAAGAATTTTACTCCTCTCATGTTCTCATACATAAACCTATAAACCTGCATGAAAGGTTTGTTTAAACCTTGTTTATTTAAAGCAAATAAAACAACCTCTTCCTGCTCCTGCCACAGTTTGGCAGCAGCACAGGCAGCACAAGGAGCTCACGTCCATCCTTCTCTGCCTCTTCTTCCTCCTTAACAGCTTCATTGCCCCTCATTCTCCCCTTCCCCCGTCCACTCCTGGCCTGAGGCAGGTTTTCTGGCAGTCGTGGTTATTTGAAATTTAATTTCAAGCACTCCGTATTTCTAAAAGGGCACAAATTATTTTAGAGGGCTAATGAGCCACATGGAAGTGAGATAATTATTTGAGCTTTTGACGACACGTTTTCAAAACTACCATCTAAAACTGTGTACGGAAGGTTATACAGACATAACCTTCATGTAGACATAACCTTTATGTAGACATAACCTTCATGTAGACATGGAGCACAGGTACTGTGTTGTCTGATTCATCCATAGGATCATAGAGACTTCAGACAGTGTCAGCAAACTCACAACTTTGGGCAGCAGTAAATTATTGTCAGCACAGCAGCAACAGTAAAGACAGATCTTGAAAAGCTGCTCTGTGGCTGTTAGCTTCCACATCACCTATTCCCAAACCTGCCCTGCATGCACCTGATAAATTAAAATTTATGTTGCAGATGAATAAAAGAATAGATGACACACATGGTTTAAAAGTTAACTACTAAAAGCTCTTTGTGACTTGTATTTATGCAAAGCCCAATGCTGATATTTTTTCTTACTTTTTTTTTTTTTTTCCATTTTTCTTCATGAAAATGTTTCGGAATTCAATCATATCCATGCCCCAGCTTGATAGCTACGTATGTGCATGCGTGTGCACTCTGCACCATGCAGCAACATTTGGCATGAAGCGTGAGAGCTGTGCAGAGTGCACAATTTGCTCTGCTGCCTCACGTAACTGTCCTTTGAACTGCTGAGAAGGCGGCTAGACAAAGTCATCCCACTCCATTAAAGTGGTGCTTTTTGGGAAGGAGTAATTGGAAAGCTATTGCCAGAGGTATTTTAAGCAGGGCATGTTTGTACTGGAGTTAGAGATAGCGTGACCTAGACAAAGTAGTTTTGAAGTGTTTTGTGTCATAATAAAAAGATACCGCGTTCTCCATTTTCTCCTTCCCACTGCTCTTCAAACACTTCTTTTGAAAGGAAGTAAATACTAAGATTAAGCAATTTCATAAAACCTTAGGATTACAGTGCTCTTGCTCAGCATCTAAAGATCAGAGGTTACACGTGTGTGTTTGGCATTTCCTCTTGCAGTATTCAAAGAGGGTTGACTTGAAACTGATTATAGGAGGCACGCTGAAACCAGGATCAGAATAATACAAAGCTGTGATCTGGGCCGTAAGGACTCATTTGTGTGTGTGGTTTTTTTTTCTCATGTACTTTCTTTGATACTAACATCTGATTTCTTGAATAGAGCAAGTCAAGACTCAGACTTCTGGTTGCATCTTTTTAGGTTTGCAGTACACAAAAAAGCACTGGCATAGCAGCAAGCTGCGTGAGAGGGAATCTGCACTTAACCTGTGTGCACCTCCAAATGGAGTTAAAATATGGAAAAAAGTTACCTATACTCAGAGAAAGAGGTCAAAGCACTTTTTTGGAATTGGCTTTTGAATTATGAGAGAAATCGCATACACGTATGCTTTCAAAGTACTTTAGGTCTCCTAAACATTCTGGTGTTAACTGCAGAGTAACAAGCTCAGTTTCCACTCTATACACTGTAAATGATAGTGGGCATGATAAAGAGAAAGCAAAAAAGTGTGAAGAATTGTAACGTGTAGAGAAACTTTGATGGGGCTGATTTGTTTTAAACATAAACCCTCTTATTTTCAAACAGTTCATCCCAAACACACCTCACTCAGTGCCTTGATATCTTCAGGCGTTCAGTTACACGAGTGCGTGTGCTTGCCTCACAAAATGAGCTCCTACATGAGCATGGGCACACGCACATGGCAAGGATCAGTCCCTTGATTTGTCAGAGCCTGACCTTCACGAAGCAGTTACCATGTGATAAAGCATGGCTGGGTAATTCAGATGTGGCCCAGTGTCACTGCAGAAATTTGTCAGTCTGTGCAAGCTGAGAGTGGGCCCCTGATATCTAATTTTATAGGCAGCTATGTTGCTTTTGCCACGAACCTAGCTCCGAACTTGTACTTCTTAATTGATGTCAGATGTACCATATGCCAGCTTAATTTTTACTTTCAGAAAACAATTAAGAGTATTCAGCTAAAACGAGCTGCAAAAAAGTGGAGAGAACCACGTCGTCGTACTATCTAGCTTTTTTAGAATGCCAGAATAGAAACTAGCTTATTGAAGGCTGCTTTGGGCCCAGTTAAAGACATGCAACAGCATCATTTGCTGTATATTAAATACGGTTTTATCAGATGTAGAAAGAGGATCTTAGATGTCAACACAGATAACTAAAAAACTTGAGTTGTTATTGAAGTCCCAGTGCAAAGTACCAGTAACTCTATAATTTCCTATATTTGATCTTCTAAAGCACGTCGTGCAGCTGGCACTTTGCTGGATTAGCTAATCATTTCGTTTCAGTCTTTCCAGTTCATTTCTTTCAAGCTCTAAGATTTTATTTTATTTTTTTGGACACTGTTGCTTGGCTTCTGCTCTGTTCTTGCAGGTTACTAATGAGAACTCTGCTTTGGAGCTTCCAGCAAAGTCTTCAGCACGACGGTTAAGGAAACAGCATCAGAGTTTGCAGGGGAAAGAGGGATTATACGCCTCACTCAAGTCAGTGATCAGTCACAGCAAACCATAATTACTATGAAGCAGGATATCCTGAGTGAGGAGAGGGGTCGGATAAATGGATGTTACATTTCAATTCATTCTTTAAAGGGCTGATCAAACTGTGTTGCCTGATAAGAGACGGGCAACAATAAAATCTGTAATATCAGTTGCACACCCTGAATTCGTACATCCATATTAAAACATAATTTTCAACACCAGTATGACAGTAGCAGTGGAAAATTAAAGTAGAATGAAATGCACGATGAGTGCAAGGATGGCTGCCATTCAGGTGCTGGGCTGAGATTCCTCCCCAGAGAGAGGGGACATTGAGCTGTTCTGGCCATTGCTGGGGATTAAGAGGAGTGTGGGCTAATAAACCTTCCCATCTGCCATTCTGTCCTTTGTGAGCTTCAGCATCCCCCTGCCAGCAGCAGGATGGCACAAACACCTCAAAGCAGCCATGCACACAGGGCCGCAGCCCGACCTTTTGTGAATTTGGGATATCTGGTGGGTGCTGATCAAAGGGGAAAAGAAATATTTGTAAAATAAAGGAACTTTTGCTCCTGAATAGGTTCAAACCAGATAAAATAAAAATAAATGTGGCTGGAAAGGGCTTCTTTCCTCTTTGTGTTCTGGTTTCCCGCGACCCACCTCCACCCTTTCTCTCTCCAGAAGTGATTCATGTGGGAGTAACTCTTTGTGAAGATCTACAGATAAAGTTGTGGCAGCTATCCAAAGACATTCATGGCTCCTGGCAATCTATTTTCCTTTAACATAATTATATCCTTGTGGGGGATGGATCTAGGAGATTTTAAAAAAAAAAAAAAAAAAAAAAGAGCATTTCAGCATTAGAGGGGGAAAAAAAATCAGATTTCAGTCTGCTGCAATGGCGTGTGATGGTGCCCTGCTTCTCGTGTCCCAAATAATTGGTAACAGGGAAATTGTTTCAGAAATGACTATCTCTGTGGTTAACCTTGAGTGCGCAGGGGTGGGGGTTGGTGTATTTTATTTTTCCATTTATATTAATTCTGGTGTCATACTCATTATCTTGCTCATGTTGCTAGGAGATTCAGGCTAGCCTTCAAACCAGCTGATCTGTTCTTTCATTCGGACAGCCAGGGAAGCATTACTTTTTGGCAGAGATTTGTGCTCCGCTTTGCGATGTACTCAGCACCTAATCAAGCTTTGCTGTCCACGAGTACTCATGTAACATAACTTGGTGAATGTTCTCTCAAGGTCTGACAGGTGTATCACGCTTTAGGAGAGATAATACCCTTCAGATGTTGGAAATGCCATGAGGAAAAAAAAAAAAAATGGTAAAGGGCAGCATAAAATGTGAACTCTTAAAAATAATCTCTGGTTCTGCTTGCATAACATTGCATAGCTATTGAGCTTGCCCACAAAAGCTTGCAGCTGCCTGGTGGTTCTGCATTGGGTTGAGTTTTAATGGCATGCATTAGAAAATGCAGGTTTGCTCCTCTGTTGAGTAACAGAAAATTACAGTGTTCCTGTGCCATCCATTCTAATAATGATCGTGGTTTCATAAGAGCCAATTTTACAACATAAATGAAATAGGCATATCTTTCATTTACACCGTATCAGTCCCTGAAAATACACCTTGCCTTAATGTATCTGTCTATAATTGATGTATTGCAAATGTTAAGCACCATCACATAATCAAAAGGCTTTGAGGTTAAAACACTTCTCACTGAACTGGGAGGTCTGGGTGAAATCCAGTGGCTGGAATTATTGCTAACTCTAGACAAGATGCTATAATTTCCTTTTGAATAATATAGGAAGCCAGGGTGGCATAAAACTTCATGTTACAACAGATCATACTATAAGATAAACTCCCATTCATAAAGATTTCTCACTTTTGGCATAGGGAAATAAAATGTACAGGAGAGAAAAACCTGGGAGATAGACTTTGTAGAAGTCCAGCAGTCTAAACGTAACTCTAATTACTGCAAATATAAAGAACCTGAAGTGTATTCGTGTCTGCCTGTATTTAGTGCCTGTCTGTAGACAGTGCTTAGTGGTGAGTGTTAAGCTCTTTACAAATATTGTGTTTTTTACATGAACTGGTAAAAGAATGTGAAGTAAGCTGAAATGTAAAGGTGATGTATAATGAATACGAGAGAAGAAGGCGTTGTCTAGAGTGTATCTGAGTGCTTTGGGATTAGGGTAGTCTTCCAAAGGATCCCCAAACAATCCCAACCAGACAGGGAGATAGAACAGCATCATCTAGAAAGCCTTACCTCTTTCGTCTCTGATTCTAGTTCCCTCTGCTCCTCCTGAGAACGTGTCTGCTGAAGCTGTGAGCTCAACTCAGATCCTTCTGACATGGTCTGCAGTCCCCGAGTCAGAGCAAAATGGTCTCATCCTGGGTTACAAGGTACGCAGCTGGAGCTTCGTGTTCACTTTGTTATTAAAGCACTACCTGGCTACATTTTTCTATTTATTATTTATTGCTCACCTGAGGGATGTTAATATCATCCATAACTCAACAGGATGAGATATCAGAAGCGTGCTGGTTTTGGAAGGGTTGATGGCTGAATTTAATCTCATATCTCGTGAAAAGGCACATTTTAAATACATGCCCCTTTTTCAATTCTCACGTAATAACTTTTTCTTTCTGTATTCACATGCATTTATTCCACCTTATTCTGCAGATACTTTACAAAGCAAAAGATTTAGACTCTGAACCAAGGAGCCAAACAGTAAGAGGCAACCACACACAGTCCTGCCTGCTGTCCGGCCTGCGCAAGTTTGTGCTCTATGAGATCCGGGTGTTGGCATTCACTCGCATTGGGGATGGAGTCCCCAGCTCTCCTGCTGTTACTGAGAGAACCAAGGATGATGGTAAGTGTATGGGTTTCCAGAATAAAGGCCTTACTTAGTCCCGATGATAACGCCGCTTTCTTGTAGTGATGCAAGTGTATAGAAAGGCCAAACTGAGGTTGTTTGGATTGTTTTTTGACTTTGAGCTTAAAGGAATTGATCCTTACTCTGCATAACAGCACTGCTCCATTGGCCATGGGATGAGAATTTGGCAGAAAACCAGTTGCCCATTTCCTCTTTCCCCTCAGTTGGTGAAGGGGAAAAAATCTAAAATGATTTGTCCTCTGAAGCTCGATGTAGAAAATTTCTACCGTAGACAGTTTTTAGAGCCCAATTATAAATGCCAATTGATGTTCAATCATGCTCTAAGCTAAAAGTAGAGCACTGCAATTGGAAGCAGTAAACAAACCTGGGTCTGCTTGGGCTGAAGGAGAGATGTGGAATTTGCAGCTTCAACAATCCATTCTCATTTTCCAAAAGAATAAGGACTGAGCCAGGAAGGGTTCATAGGAGCCAATCTTTGTAGCCTCCCCCAGTGCTTCCCATGAGCTCAGGGTCTCCGGAGTACAGTTTGTTTTGAGGAGAGACCCTGAGCAGCCCCTTCCTCACCCCACCTCTGTTTGAACACATCTATGGGTGAGAGCGTTCCTGCTGATGGAGTTTGACAGAAATTTAATTCAACTCTTAAAGCATTTCTGGCTTTGCAGTTGCTTTTAGTTTCATTGCCTTTTCACTATTAAATGATGGATAGTGTCTGTGTAAGAGGCTTCTGCTTATTAGTCCCAATGAATGAAAAATAGAAAAAAAAAACAAAAAGAAATTTCTTTTCTCATCAAAATGTTCCCAGTAGAAACGGAATAAAAATTGCTATCTACAAGGAACTTCATTAAAGATGTTTGGTTGGGCTGCAAACACGTTCAGACTCCTGGCTGAACGTGGCATTTACTGCAGTGTATAAGGACAGGGATGGGATGGAGTGGCCATAGGGGTGGGATTGAGTGGGGACAGGGATGGGGCAGAGCAGGAACAGTTGCTCCCAGGCATTTTTGTAGCCGTTTTCTCAGCATTCAGCCTGTGTGGTGACTTTGAAAGGAAACAAAGATAAGTTAATATTAGCAGAACTCTGCAGGGAATGAAAGAGCAGTCACAGAATTGCACACATCAGACTATAATGTGAAATATTTAGAACTGTTTGTTTTAGATAACCCCATTATAGCAGCTCCCTCCTTAAGTGCCTGTTGGCAAATGATACAAATTGTTCTTCCTTCTCCGTACTCCTGACATAAATATGTTGTGTCTCCTCTGGGCTCCGCTTAATTAAATGTATCATCAGGGGTGAGGCAGGTGGAATTTGTGCCGAAGGGGAAATTTTGGAGATGCAAATGTGTAAATTAACATCTCCTCACCTCGCAAACCCGGGATGGCCATTGCAGCTGCCAGCTGTCTGCATCAGCGTGCATCGGGTTCGCTGCCTCAGACCTCTGTGTTTAGAATGCACATGTAAAATCAGGAGGCAGTTCAAAGCCAGCACTGGGGCCACAGAAAGGAGATATTATTCAATTCCAACACCTGTGGACGGAATTCCTCTGAATCCATGCGTTTTGCATGCGTATGGGTGCTCCTAACCACCTATTTATTATTGGTGAGCTATGGCTTGGCTGCCTTCGGTGAGATTGGGAAACTTGTAACCTCTCTGACACTTTGTGCCTGCTGTACCTCTGTCCCCCTACAGCCCCCGGGCCACCCATCAGGCTGGTGTTCCCTGAGGTGAGGCTGACATCAGTGCGCATCGTCTGGCAGCCACCAGAGGAGCCCAACGGCATCATCCTGGGTAAGGAGCCGGGAGGAGAGGGTTGGGAGCAGAGGAGCTGCGGCTGTTGGGTTTTCCTTCTGCTTGCACGTTGGGTTAGAAACCACACTTAAGCAAATCTGTGGCTAAAGAGAGGAAAATAAGTCCTGCTGTGAGAAGGGAAGTTCTGCCAGGCTCCGCAGTGTGTGTGTTCCCAAGTCAGGATTACACTGCATTCCTGATGCTGTGTTTGAATTGTCATCTGTCCATCTATATTTGTAGTATAACCTGTTGAGCTGCAGCAGGGCAGAGTGGGATTTTCTCCTCCTTTCCTTCCCTCCTCCTTGCCATGCATCCCTGACTTCTCAGTTTCATGAGCGCTTCCATTTCGCTGCTTCCTCCAGCCGATACTGTCTGCCAGGTTGCAAGATGTTAAATCACACTTGGCTTTTTGTCAAAGGCAACAGGGGCAGCAAGGCACGCCAGGAATTCATGACAAACCTCCTTACCTTCCTGCTCTGAGAACTCTTGGGTTGCCATTGCACCCAGAGCACACCAGCAGCTCCTTGTACTTCGAAAGCATTGAAGGTTTTTACAATGCAAGAATCCATTCATGCATCTTGAGTTAATGTATCTAGTATTTACACAGCGATTCTGCCTGTGTCCTGTGCTGATGTGGAGCACATTTTGTGGTAGTCCAAGAAGGTGAGTGAGGATTATCCCTATAAATATCCCTTTAGATAGAGGACTGGTCTGGTGCTGTGTGTAGCTCTTGAGTCAAGAGCTCAGTCTTTGCTGAGGTGTGCAGTTTCTAAAAGTTCTTGTGGGCTAATCCTGGCACCTGGAGACACAGAGAAAACATCAGATGGGATCCAAAGGTGCTCGAAGAAGCCAAGGCTGCCTTGTTGGTTTGATTTGTTGCTTTTGTTTTAAGGAACTGTGTGTCCTATAAACTTGCTCTCCGTAGAGGTTGGGATTTGAATCACAGGATGTGGTTAAGGAGGAAAAAAATCACTTGGTACACACGATGAGAAAGTACTAAAGATATTTAGGTGCCCCCCACTGTTTCGATGTCTCACCTTGCTGCACTTGGTCAGCATCTTTTGCTGAAGTTTCAAGTTCTGTGGAATAAGAACTCTTCTATTCGGGCTTCCCACAGTGCCCTGTACAATTCATCCACTTCTTGTTCAATTCGTGGTCAATGCCACAATACTGATGACAAAATCTTACAAATGCAGAGCTGGGAGGAAAGGTGGAAGGGTATTCCCTTAAAGAGTGCTCAGCATGGAGACTGCAGGATCCTGTGACCTGCGCAGTCCATTCCCAGTCACACATCCCAGGGTGCCTGGCACTGCCTTGCCTTTTTTTGCAGCACTGCTGTTGTAACTAAGTAAGTTTATGACCTGCTATTAATTCCTGCCTTTTTTCTGCAGTACAATTCCAGGTCAATCCTTCTTTTGCACGTACATTAAGCTTTTTATTTTCTGTAAGTGCAATGCTCTGCATGTATTTTTATTGAATTTCAGCTTACTGATTCCAGACCAACTCTCCTCATTATCAGAATCACTTTAAATTACCGTCTTGTCCTCCAAAGGGCTCAGAACCGCTCCCAATTTGGTTTTAGTTTTGAAGTTTGCAAGCAGAATGGCAATTCCATCAACCGGGTCATTAATGAAAGTATTGAACAGAAACAGACCTGGGACTTATTCTCGTGAGAACTTACTTAATATATCCTGTCCATTTCTCAGCCAACTATTGCTAACAACATTTTGACTTTTTCTTTTAAGTGATCACGGCAGAATGTGCCATATTTTTCTTAGGTTCTGTCTCTCTAGCTTGTTTCTGACAGGGCTGCTTGGAACCATATTAAAGCTTTACTTAAAGTCAATGCGGATCATATCTACTCTTCCCACCTGGCCAATTACACTGTCAAAGCAGAAAACAGATTATTTGGTATTTATTATTTGTTCCAGACAAATACATATTAGCTGTTCTCTGGCAATTTATTATCCCTGCGGATGGTTATATATTTACTCATATTTTTTCCAGGGTCTTTCTGGGTATTAAACTTTGGCTTGATTTGTCCATAATTCCTTTGGTCTTTCTTCCTCCATTTTATGAGAGAAAGCATTCAGTTTGCCCTTCGGTAATATTCTGGGATGTCACCTATCCTCAACAAGTTCCTGAACATAATCACTGATTATTCAGAGATGGCTCCTGCTAGTTATATAGCACTGCAGGGCAAATTTCATCAGGCCTTTCTGACTTGATTACATCTAGCTTAGCTAAATATTCGTTAACCTGTTCTGTGTTCTAGCCTACATCCCTCCTTCTATTGTTGTCAGTTTTAATCTGTGTTAAGTATTTAGTTATTAATCAACTTTTTTGTGTGTGAAAATGAAGGTGTCAGCCTTGTGCTCTTCTGTGTCACTTGTCTCGAGCTCATCTTTTATTCCTAATAATTGACCTCTCCTTCTCTCTCTTGTATTTTGAATATCTTTCCAAAACCTTTCTCACTGGCTTTCCCCTTTAAGTTTGAACTCACCTGCACTGTAGCTGCTCTGACTTTGTCCCTGTGTTCCAGTGCTGTCTATTTATACACCCCCTCAACAACCCATCCTGTTTCAACGTTTAGTACAATTCAGTTTTGAATCTGAAGGCATTAGTGAGGTCTGAATGCAAACATATTGGGCTCTTAACATCTTTTGTCTGCACTGGGATCATTGTACCTTTATTTTTGTCTCTTTTAGAACAGTCTGTAACCTGAATTCCTCTTTCCCATAGAATTCCTTCCCAGGGGGCTCTACCTACCAATTGCCCCAGTCCACATCTTTGAGGTTCATTGTCATTATTCAACAGCTCTCTCTCCTCTTTTTTGTTTGATAGCAGAAAAATTGAGGCTCGTGGAGGAAGCAGTTAACTGTCGATGTCAGAGAGAAACAGTAAAAATTACTCACGCTGAGTTATTTCTGTGATCTTTTCGAGGAAATGAGGAGTGCTTCAAAAATAGCTAAAAAAACCAGCGTGGCGCTGTAACTAAAGGTTGCATGTTTACCTTCATTCTTGTGCACTTTTCAAATCTTATTGCTGCAATGAGCTTTTGAAGCAGCATCGTAACCACCACAGCCAAGGTCAGTGAAGTAGAATTAGTGGTAAAAACAAGTTAACATAACTTTGCAGGCCGCCCTGTTATTCACCAGTGGGGCTGCAAAGAAAAAAAAATACTTTTTTTCTGCAAGAGCAACTTCTATTCCCAGCCTCTGAACTAATGTTCCTGCTCTGCCGGCTTTGTCCTCTGAGTATACAAGCACCTTTGCAGCTAACATTTTTGTAATCTACATCAAAACATGTTCTAGCATTTCAGAGGGAGATTAACACGATGAAATACTGGCAGGCACCAAGAGGGAAAACTGCTTGTTTGTTTGTTTAAATATTTTACTGTGGAGGACTGCTAGATATCTCCACTTCTCCTTTTGGGAGTGTTGCAGTAACCAACTTGAGGCTTAACTCCGTCTTCTTTTTGGCGCTCCATTCAGCAGCACCCAGCGTAGCTCCTTCAAACGCTGTTAAAGGAAAACGATGCACTGATGTGTGTACATGCAGTTCTATCAGTGAGCTTTGCCTGTACCAAGAGCTGAGCCACACTTGCTGGTTAGTATTCCTCACGCTATCCTTGCGTTGAGCGTTTACCTGAAGCTTACAGCGAAAGAGTGTAAGAACTCCACTGAGAATTAGAACCAAAATTGGATGTAATCCATGTTTGCAAATGCATATTTTGATCCTGGGCTGCATTTGCACACCTGCTGGCCCTTAAACAGATAAGCAGTAAAATCAACAAACTGGATTGCTGCTCCGCCAGGCAGACCGTAACCTCCCAGTATCGTTTGGCTCTCCCTAAGTTCTGTGACAAATTAATAAGTGTTTGTATCTCTGCTGCACCGCGGCCTGCATGAGCGGGTGCTGTCAGTTCTGAAGGGCTTTGTATGGTGATGAGCTTGAAAGCTCTTCTATATTCATGGGGTGTTGTCATCTTCCTGCCTGTTTGCTTTGGGGAATCTGGTGGCTGCGTTAGTGACCTAACTTTTAACAGGCAGTTCAGACCGTTGCCATTTACTGAGTTCAGAAAGCGTAGCTCATGAAACCGCTCGCAGTTGTGCAAAAAATATTTAAGGAGATGCTAATGCAAAAAATAAGCCTTGTTTCAATGAATAAATAAACCGCCGAGGAAATGATCTTTCAAGGCTTTTTTGTGCAGTTTGGCTGGTGATCAGCACAACTCCAAACGACAAGAGATTTGGGACCCAATGCTATGTAGGGACGAAAGGAAAATGAAGAGAAGAATGTGCATTTTTCTGACTGAGCATCCAGTAGGTGAACTTTCTGTAAGATACTCCTAGTTTGGAAGAGTTTGCTCTGATCACTTTTTAAAGATTTTGCTTTCATCTGTAACCTTTGATATTGTTTTCATCTAGTGCATATGTGACATCGTGTTGCTGTCATCACATAGGGGAAGGAAGCTTCATCCGTTCAGCAGACCTCAAGCTTACATTCATTTGAACTCCTTCCATCTATCTCTGTTGATTTGCCTCATTTGACTTCACCCAACATTTCCTATCTTCTCCTCTCTCTTGTTGCCAAAGATCATCAACTTCATAATTGCCTCTTTTTCATCTTGTGTTAGCCCACGTTATTATCCAAACTGTCGTTTAAATCCTGCATCTTCTGCGTCGCTCTAAAAAAAAGAGCAATGATGCTTATGGCAGAATGTCTCTTGGCTGCCCAATTGTCGAACGTTGGAAGGTGATGTATGGGATCACATTCAGATACTGAGTGCGTCTCAGGGTTTGTGGGCAGCAACAAGAGCTCAGACGCACAGGTTGGACATGCACCTTCAAGTCAGGTCAATGAGAGAAAACATCACAAAGCTGCAGGCTACGGTCATGGAATCCACAGCTGTAAGTTGGTACTGAGGCACAGATGAGTGTGTGTTCCCTTCCCTGTTCCATGCATGTTTGTAATTGGCTTTCCAGCATGGGTATCACCACTTAGCAGTAAATAGTTATCTTTCTATTCCCTCCTTACATTTTAGCTACACTTTATATTTTACAATAGTTTAGAAAAGAGAGAAAATCATTTGACAATGATATGTCCCAGATATCATACTTATCTTTTAATAACTAGATAAATCAAGTTTCCTATTCTTTTAATACTCTCGGTTTCCCTGCAGGTCTTATTCCTTACGTCTTATGTCCCTTTATCAAACTTCTTTAGCCATCTTAGTTGCTTCTTCCTTCATCTTCCCTGCTGCTGTAGAAATTGCCTCAGAGCTTTTCTTTTACTATTTTTTCCTCTTTATTGAGATCTTGCACCAGGGTTCTCACTCCTGCATTCTGCACATCTGTAAAAAAAAAAAAAAAAAAAAAAAAAAGATCATAATGTATCCATTTATTCTCCCCACTGCTATCTGTCTTTCTGAGAAGATCAAAATACATATAGTATTAAAGTTACAGAAATACTGCAGTGAGGCATATGGGGCCAGCAATGAGAAAGCTGGTGCAATGGGTAAGAGGAGGTCATTGGCAGGAGAACAGGTAAGATGTTCAAAGGGTGAGACCCCAAGGTTGTGTTGCCAGCTTAGCATGCTTCAGGAGCTCTGAAAATCAGGCTTTTTTACCTAGGAATGCAGCATTATGCACCCATGGAAATGCTGTAGGGATATGCCCAGTGCACAGCTGGATACCCTTGGCAAAAATTAACCCTGCTGTGTTGGAAGCTTTCTCTTCCTAATGTGCAGCCACTGTGTAGTGGGGCACTGTCATGAAGCAGCCCTGTGCCCAGCTGTACCCATAGCTTGCTGGAACCCTGGTGCTCTGAGAGCCAGGTCGCTCCCAGAAGTGGCTGTGCAATCAGGTTTGTTCCATGGAGGCAGCTGCAGCTGCTGCCCCACATCTCCTAGCAGCTGTAAAAAACAAAAAAAAGGCAAAGAAGTGCTGGGGCTTCATCCGTAATACCATGAGAATCAGCACACCAAAATTATTACCATCTGTATCTCAATTAAATTCCATTGCTTATGTACCATACAAGTATGGCATTCACTGGAGAGAGCATATGAACTCTGTAACTTTCCTGTGAGCAGTTATGTGGCAATTGTCACACGTTCCCAGTGAAAAATAAATGTCATTGATTTTGTCTAATAGCCACAGGTAAGATACACTCTCCAGTTCCCATGCACTGACCTTTATGAATGAAGCACACCAGGTTTGGCTCTTGTTCTCGTTACAGCCAGAATTTGGTGGGAGTTCAAACGTTAGCTGGGATATTAATTTCAAGAGAAAGAGACATTCTCAGGTGTCTGCAGGCCCCTTTGTCTTTTGGAAGATGAGCAGAGAGTTGGCAGCATCATGTCATGACTGTTTTGTTTTCGTCTGCTCTGATTTGGATGTGTTGGCTGCCCTCTGCCCTGCGTCGCTCATGAAGCATTTAATCATACAGTGCATTCAGCTTGGGCAATAAAGCCCCACACCAGTCCTGTATTAATTGATTTTGGAAGTTAGCAGTTGGACTGAAAGTTACATGGAGTTCCAAAAGTGAGAGCCTGATTTGATTGCTGGGTGTACAGAATGGCTTTGAACATTTGGCAGATCCTCTTTGGGGGACAGTTGTTGCTAGTGGTGCGTGAGAACTCTGGAAGCCTTCCTTTGCACAGTTAGATCATTAATAATGTATGCTAAACCGTAAGCTCGTAATCATCAGGCAGGCAGGTTGGAGTGGGGCTATCATTTGCAGGCATCAAATTTTTGATTTTTGATTATTGAGTGCAGGAGGATTTAAGTGGGACCGCACAGCTTGCAGGCTTCTTCCTTGGGCTGCGGACAGGGACTGCAACAGTGCAGAACAAGAGGATGCTTTTATTGGCAGTCCTGGCATCTACCGTGTAGTTATTGGGGAGTAGGAGAGCTGAGAGAAAGACAAGTGCAAAAAGCAGGGTTAAGAGTTAACTTGAGCAGCATGAGGGCTGCACAGCTGGGGCAATCCAACTGCTCTGCAGCTGAGAAACTTGGAGCTCCAACCAAGGCTGTCACTGTGTGTAATGGACTCTGCACCTTCGCCTTTCCAAAGAGGTACCAGTATGCTCAGGAAAGATTAAATGTTTTTGCGTCTTGTTGGGATGAAGGATGGAAAGCGAGATCCATTTTGCTGCAGCTAATATCCAGCAGACCCTTGTGTGCACCGCAGTGTGTAATTTCCCCATAAGGTGCTGCGCCTGACTGCGAAGGGCTGGCATATAGCAGAGTTTTATAGCACTAAAGGAAGCAAATTACTTAGTTCTGGTCTCAGTTAAACAAGTAATTACAATAAGCTAATAGTCCTGGTGCTACAGCTAGAAAAAAATCCTAACCTCTCTACTCTCTTCCGTCCGTGCCGTGATTTCAGGCTATCAGATTGCATATCGGCTGGCCAGCAGCAGCCCCAACAAGTTCACAACGGTGGAGGTGGGCTCAACAGTCCGGCAGTTCACTGCTACTGACCTCACCCCCGAGTCAGCATACATCTTCCGGACATCTGCCAAGACCCGGCAGGGCTGGGGAGAGCCTCTGGAAGCCACGGTGATTACGACAGAGAAAAGAGGTAACGCTTGCAGCCACGGGTTGAGGTGCTTTCCATTGCATGCCTCTGAGTCTGTGCTGCGCTCACAGGAATTTTAATTACAGGCTGCAGCCTGTACACCTCCTGCTTCTCACGCCATAACCTTGCCCTAAACCATAGCAACGTCATGATTGTGGAAATCTGGTGAGCAAGGCAGGCTTTTATGAGAGGCAATTCTTCTAACCAGACAGGCTGTTGGGGATTGATTTTTCTATCAGATGCCGTATTGGCCATATGCAGCCTCCTTCTGCAGTCAAAGCTGCTTTTTTTTTTTTTTTTTGGCTTTTTTTTTTTTTTTTCCCCTCAGCTCGCTCATTTTCTAGAAGGATTGCAATCTTAAGAATGTAAGTGATGGATGAATTGCATTGATGAGGGAACACAAAATGAGAGCTGGAGATCTTGCAGAGTTTCTTAACGTGGCTCCTCCATTGCACCTAAGTCCTGACCCATTGTGTTAGCAATTCCTCTGGCCACTCGTTGCTGTATACTCAAGCAGAATGTTTGTATTTGGATTGTCTGGGATTTTTCTACTTCTGGCATCAGGCACAACATTGTTGTTCACAGTCTGCATCCTCAAACAAATTCTGTTCTGTAGGGAGCCTACTTGAAGAAAGGAAGAGCTTGTATGTACTTGAATGAGTATAGATGCTTAGATACCAAAAACATCAAAATGTAAAAGACGTATACAAGTTATTAAAGTATCTGGTCTGCATCATTGCATGTTTCTAATGCTTTGGCTCAGTGCTGCAGTCTTAGAATGGATCTCCAGAGCTATCAGAAAAAAATGCGTTTTCTATTTGTGTATGAACACTGATTTCTCATTCGGAGCCAAAAGAGGGTGTGTTAGCAAAAAACAGGAGGTTAGACTTTCCTTAGGTCTTGCACCAGATGCCATGTTCCAATGCAAAGCACTTATCTGGACTTTTGAGCTGACAGTCAAAGCTACCACAACAGTGGTACCAGCATCACTCCCTTCCACATCACTGCATTCTGTGCCACGTGCCACGTTGACCCACGGTGCTGCCTCTGTATTCATCTTCAGGAGAACTTGACACTCAAAAATCACTACCACACAACTTCTGTGATTTATAAAAAGCACAGTTCAGAGAGAAGCACACCTCAGCAGGCAGCCAGAACAAACCTCCATAGAGTTATTTCAGCTACTTTTGGGGTATGCATGTGTGCCTGGTCCTGGCTCTTGCCCAAGACGTGCACTATAAGACTTTAAATAACATTTACTTTTAGATCTTAAAATGTGACTACCAAGTGGTCTCTCATTTTCAATCTTTTCTACATTTTACCAAATCATTCAGTGCTAGAGCACGGATCTCCCTTGCTATTAGCTCACATCTCCCTTGATACTTACCTACAATATACAGGGCATTGCCCTGATGTTCAGCCAACAGGGAAGATTGGTTGGGTGCATTTCTACTTTTGTCCTGTGTGATTGGTGCTAAAATTCCCACCAGCACAGCTCTCCAAGTCATGTGCAGCTTTCCCAAGCATAACAGTGCTGTCCTCAGAGAAAGAACCTCTGGAGCACAAAAAGTGCCTCTACTAAAGATGCTGTCTATCAAGCAGGTTTATCAGTTCAAGGTTTCTTCCACCCTTGTCTGATTGTTGTCAAAGTGGAAGTTTAAAGTCCAATATGTGCAAGTTTCAGAAAAAAAAACACCGTGCCCAATAAAAGTAAACACTCAAAGCTCAGAGCTTCTCCTTTTCAATAAGATCTGCTCAGATTTCCCAGGCTGTTGCTGGGTACACAGTGGCTCAAGGCAGAACTCCCAGCTCCACTGCAGGAACAATGATCCCTTGCTGCTATCAGTGCTTTAGGGTTATCTTGAGTAGGCAAGTCTTAACATAAAGTGAACTCTTTCTCTTTTTGATGGATGGCTCTACTGTGTCTGTGTGCATGCTATGGAAATGAGTCCCAAGGCATGGAGAGTTAACTGTAGTGATCCTGTATGTGAAGAGAAGAATATATAATCTTATATCAACACAATTGGTATTCTGGATTGATAAAGAAATTTATCCAGTGCAACTATTCTGGTAACAAGTAAATAAACAAACAAGCCTGGAACTTGTATACATAACAATAAATATTCTAGAGCGAGAAGATATTTACTTTCCATTAATAAAAATGTCCTTGGTGTCCTTGATACTGAGATAAGCAGGCATAAAAATTCCCTTGAAAATCACTGAAATTGGTCCCTCATTTGTGTCCTTTAATTCCCTGTATACTGCCAATAGAAATCTTTGTATTTTACAGTGATACCTCTGATCTACAGACCCCAAGCTGTATGGCAGCTGCATTCTCCAGAGGTGCTTCTGTAGTGCTCTGGGTCTACAGAATGGAACGATATCCTTCAGAGCAGTCAGCACCAGGGATCCAGGCAGAACAGAGCCACGAGATGTAAATGTAGCAAGAAATTAAAAGGAGTCCATTGAGTCATAAGGCCCAGCCTTACATTCCTGCACAAACAGCTCACCTGAGCATTTGCTCGTGGCTAAACTCCCATAAATAAACTCTTCACACTAATGGCTTTGTACGTACAGTCAGGAAGTATATCTTGCAACACAGGAGATTTTAAGATCTCCCGTTGGCAGCAAAAGTAAACCCAATCACTGGAGACCAACGGCAAGATCTGACCTGCCCAAAACTGCACACTGCTTAAAGCTTATCAGCAGTATTAAATCCCCACATGACACTCACTTCCTCTGATAAAATAACCCCAAATACCTGTCTCAGCCTGTCAGTGTAAGGCGTTGACCTTTTGCATTGTGCTCTGGATCGCAGGCTGCTGGCACCGAGGAATTCCTGCAGCTAATAGCTTACAGATCTTTTGGCACTGATGTCAGCAAGATCACGCTGCAGAGAGATGCCAAAAAATACAGGAAATGTTCTGGAGGATGGCAGGAAAACAAAGTGCTCGCCATACAGAGCTGGGAGGAATCATGCAGTCAGGGGTGTGCTTATATGGAAACGAGTGCTGATGAAGTTGAATTGAATTGCTTCTCAAAAGCAAGTCACTGTGGTGTCTCCAATCAATTTCTGCTTTATTACGTGCCACACGTTTTAATCAGAATCAATAATCTTCATGATAAACAATTAAACAATTATTCCTCACTCTATAGAGTTTCTCTATTGAAATCAATGGAGTACAGAGACACAGTGACAGGAAAGGAGATCTATATGGAAGCAGTGGGGCTGGCATGCTCACACCTGCGTTACCATTCCCTGCCTCGTCTGAAAGGTGTGCTGTTAATTGCTCTGGAGGGATGTCCTTCAGCATTGGCACTGCCTGGTTTGACATTGCAGGTTCAAGGGCAGTGAGTGGGAAGGGAAGCAGAGAGGCTGTCTGTGAGCACACTGAGGAGGTACTCGAACTCCAGCTCTGCCTCGTCCCCAAAGTGTGGTTGGAAAGAGCAGCAGCAGGAGCTGCTGATGGTCCCTGATCCCTGCCAGAGATTTGGTGCTGGAGTTTGGGATGGGCCATAAGTTGTGCACTTGAACGCTGCCACACACCAGCCTGTTCCAGCCCATTTCATTCTCTTCTTCATGCCCTGACAAGGGAGCAGCTGGTGGAAGAGAATGCCACATGGCACACAGCACACGGTACCCAGCAGTAAGCAGGGGTTAAGAAGTGAACCAGTTTACAGGCAAATTCTGCCAAGGAACTGTTGCAGCTGGAAGCACACCTGGGTTTCATTAAAGACTTCTCTGGTTTGCTTGGCTGATGATCCTAGCAGTTCTTCTCAACCTGCCAGGTTAAGATCCTTGCGAGTTTGAAATCTGCTGGTAGAAGGGTGTAGGTTTAGTGATGACCTTTTACACTGGGAAATGAGTTTTACTGCTCATCTTTGCAGCAGAAGGTAAAAGAGTGGAGATGGTTTTTGTACTTCAAATCCAAAAGTTCAATCTCCTGTGGCATTACCACTATGGAAATCCAATTATGCTGTCACATTTTATATTAGCTTGAATAACCTCTCAAGGCAGCACCACACTGTGGTTCAATTGCAGAGCGCCCGGCCCCCCCCCAGCAGCTGACCACCCCCCAGACCGACGTGTCATCGCGGAGCCTGCAGTTGCATTGGGTCCCTGGAAGTGATGGATCGTCACCCATACGATATTTTACAGTCCAAGTGCGAGAGCTGCCCGACGGAGACTGGCAAACCTACTCCTCTTCCATCAGCCACGAGGCAACGTCCTGCATTATTGAGAGGTACCATATGATCCCAGCCTAGCATAGAAATTCCTGCACTTTCCACTTAGGGCAGATAGGAAGCCAAAGCAAGCATCACTTAGGCTCAGTCTTCTGGGGGGAGGCAGGTTAAGGGAGCTTCACTGATTCCATTTTGGAGTTGGTGTTACGAACAGCAGCTGAGAGATCCACAGAAGGTCATGCAATAAATCTAATTACAGCTGAACTGCAATGCATCTTTCTGAGGCCCTACCTGAAAGCTCTGCATGGAAAATAACACTACTCAGGCTAAACCAAATGTAGCTACGCAGTACTCTGCAAAACACAGCTAGTGAATAATCCTTTCAGTAGTGGCTGATGCTAAAATCCACTCTCGGTGCTGCATTGCAATTATCTCTGTATAAGCTTTTCCAGATGAAATAAGAAACATTTTTATCTGTACTTTCCATACTGAAGTTTATAGATAGCATCAGAATGTCTAAACTTTGTTATTCAGACTTCATTATCTCCTCAGAAGTTCTGTTGTAATTAAAGTCCTTATAACATCCACAAAAGCAATTGAGTGTCTATGAGGAGGTTCTTGTTTTGCTGTCCATTTACTCTATTGACCAGCTAGTACAAATCAGATTATCTCTAAAAGGCCATGAGCTTTTGCAGAACACACTATTCAGAGCATTCAGATTCAGATTTCTCAGCTCTGTTATAAAAACATCAGTGGCTGTGACATATGGCTGCTCTCTCTGCTCATGTGCCAAAAGATACAAATACATTGGGATCATTTGGTCTGACTGCGCAGAAAAAAAAGGAAACTTGACAATTATATTATAAATATAAACCTGATCCATTAACCCTGCAAGTATTATATCCTCCATGAATTATACCCAGTATTTTTCCAGTCAAAACCTCTAAAATCATGGAGACCAGCCGAGTTCTTTTAGCTCGATGTTAGCGTTACTGAGAAGATCTCTATTTCAAGAAAGATAAGCCAAATTATTGAAGTTGCTGTCCAGTGTTCTAATAGGGTGGCACTACTGAAAGGCTAAAAACATCTTCCCCTGAATGTCCAGGAAAGTACTCTGTGTGTGATGCTAGAGCACTGCCCATCAGAATGCATTATCCCTCGATATTTAATCATTCCTTACAAGTAGCTTTACTTGGGTTGTAGTCAGTGTTACATCTGCCAGCTGGTGGCTAGACACTTCCAATTAATCAGATAAATCCCCCGTAACTTACAGCTCTGCATTTCTTGTCTCTGCCTGTGAACTAAAGGCAGCCTCCCCCGCACCGCCCTGCCAAGCCACGCCAGAAGGATCTCTGCTAAGGTTATGTCAGCTGGAAATCGCTCTGTGCATATCTTAAAGCACTGCATTGATAAAAAAAGAGCTGCAGGGAATCTGTTGTTACTGACTTTATTAAATAATCCAGGTAATAACATTAATTTAAGCTTCAGGAGGAATAAAATGCACTGATCATACAGCATGCTCCAGAGGATTAGTCAGAAGGAGGTGGTGTGAATTCTGGAGCCTGACTCCTGACTCACCGCTGGCCTGGCCACGTCACCGATGTCCTCCGTGCCTGTCCTGCTCTGTGCAGCAGGGATGTTTGGAGGATGTCTCTGACAAAGCTTCTGCTTTGCCACGGAAGCCAGTTTTTGCATCCCCATGCAGCACAGCAGTCAGAGGTTGCTGTATGGGCTGCACCTTCCTGGCTGTTTTTTTTTGATTCAGCTATGAGTCGTAGAACCTTAGACAGTTGGGGGGGAAGTGGTCTTAAAGATCAGAGAATCCCTGAATGGTTGGGGTGGAAAGGACCTCGTAGCCCCACAACCCCACCCCTGTGTGTGCTGACTGCCCCCCACCAGGCTGCCCAGGGCCCATCCATGGCCTCAGGCACCTCCAAGGATGGGGTAACCACAGCTCTGGGCAGCAGTGCCGGCGCCTCACCACCCTCTGAGTAAACCATTTCCCCCTCACATCTAATCTAAATCTCCCTTTTTCTAGTTTAAAACAATTCCCCCTTGTTCTGTCAGGATGCTGATGGCAGTGAAGGTGCAAACAGCACCACTTGATGGTGACCTCTGAGGTGATATTGGTAAGAGAAGCCGTTCCAATGGCTTTTTTTTGCCGGTGGGCAGGCTGCTCATCTGTAGAGGTCGAGGCACATTAGGAAGCAGTTTATGATGGTGCATGGAGATTTCACCCCTTAGCCTCACTTTTTCATCCCACAGCTTGAACCCGTTCACCTCTTACAAGCTGCGTGTGAAAGCCACCAACGACATCGGGGACAGCGACTTCAGTGCCGAGACGGAGGCGGTGACAACGCTGCAGGATGGTGAGCATGGGGTGGGGACACTGCCATGGGATGGGTGCTTGGATGAGCCCCTGGATCCACTGCAATGTGTTTTCTGCTGTGCCCAGAGTAAAAATTCCAACATCAAGTGTGGGTTTGTTCCTAGGAGATTGATAACAGGTAGTAATGAGATTGGGTTGAATTAATAGCAGGCAGCCTTAAGTGTCCTGCTGTGCACTCTGAATGAATCATACTTTCAGGAGTCTCCAAATGGAATTAAACTCCTTTTGATTGGCTTCCAAACTCTGCACTAACCATTATCTTTGCAGAAATTGAATAATTTACAAGAGATCATTAAAAATAAATGTAGTACCATGCATACATTTGAAGAAGTTTCTTCAATTGTTTTCACTCACAATCCGCATCAGTCTGCAATACAGCAAAATTGTTGAGGTATAAGTAAGAAAGAGCACCAGGCTCCTGGAAACATGAGCATTTAATCCTACAGATCAGGACTAATAAACTGTGAATGACATTGACAAGGCTTTTATTTTTAGCCTTAGAGATCAGCTTCTAATTCCTTGATTGTAGAAAGGCACTGCTTGAATGCAGAAGTAGCTCCGATGTCTTGAATGGGACTACCAGAGGGAAAAAGAACTCTGCAAAGTGTGACAAAGGATCTGTATTTACCCTTGGACCGGGAAATAGGGTAATATTGGGATACACATCTATATACAGTGCTCAAAATTAGTGTTTAATAGGGCACAAAGTGACTGGTGACTCAGAGATATGAAAATAGGAAAGAATTTTGCCAAAGAATGTTTGAAGAATGTGATCTTGAAATTACAAGACCCGGTGGGCAGAGCTCAGGAGTATCCTGGTTTAAACAAGACCCTGTGTAGTGCTTGAAAAGATGTGCCTAGCAGCCTCTTAAAGGCATTTCAGCTCTCCAGCTTCCCAAACAATAGCTGCTGTATGGTACAGGCTGTAACCTGTACTGTTGAGGCAATACCAACTCAGTGCTTTGGAATTTAAAATTTCATTTTCAGTTCTCTTTGAATTTAGCTACCGTGAATCCAGAGTTGTGCTTGGCCTCCTCACAACGCAAGAGGGAAACCCTGTGAAAGCTCCTCACCTCCTTAACAAACTGTGAACATTTATTCTGCTGAGCAAACCTGGAGCTGCCACCAGAGCATTGCACTGCAGAGGGCTGTCAGCTCCTGATAAGCATTCCCTCCTTTGTACTTGAGCTGCAGGAGAGTGTGCAGATGTGTTACAGGCCATAAGCACAGGAATGGGTTAATCCATGTTAAATCAAGTTGTCCTGATTGAAATAATCTGTGAATACATGACACAGACTCCCAAAAGCAGTGGGCTTGCCCCAGCTGTGCCGCAAATGCCATGGAAAATTTGGGAGCAATTTGCTCACACTTTACAGCATGCATTCAGCTGGTTTAACTTCCTGGTGAATTTGTATCCTGCTGCTTATGAGCAGCCACTGTTATCAGCTTTCTCCAGGTTTATGCCCTGAGCTTTGCTCACGTTCCTCCTCAAGTTGCCAAGGCCACAGGTAGAGCAGGGATGGGTGAGAAGCATCTGGTTTCTGCTTGAGTTGCAATATTCAGATCCCTAGCACTGTTTTTGAGACCCACCACATAGGAATTGGGGTGGAAGATTTTGGTGAATGAACTTCCCATTTCTCTCCTGTTGTCTAACTGCTTTGGTTACCTCTTTTTCTCCTTCAGTTCCAGATGAACCCCCTGGTTCTGTTCTGGTCACTCCCCACACCACTTCGTCTGTCCTTGTGCAGTGGCAGGTAGGTAAAATAGAAAATTGTGATGTTTCTCATTGGCATTGACTTGTTGGCCTTAATGGCTCATTGCAATGGCTGTTTTTCTGAGCTGGAAGGAGTGTAGTAAAGTTGAAGGACTGCCGTTACTTCCTTGTTTTCCTGATCTGTGCATTTATTTCAGTGATGGAAATTTCTGGCTGTTGTCTTTGCTTTGTGCCCCATGAAGGAAAGCTTGAGAGGGAAGAGTTTCTGCCAAGATGCCTGAGATTACAGCTTGTACAGATTCTCCTGTCCTCTTATTGATATCAGTAGAGGTGCATCTTTATAGGAGAGCATTTACTGGTGTGTGGCATTGGCAGAGATCAGGTAATCAAAAGCTCTGTTGTTCTCATTGTGCATTGCCTCCTTCAGCTGCCGAAGTAATCAGAGGTGTATGCTGTGCCCGAGATCCTGTTCATACCTTTGAGGAGCTCCACATGCTCTGTTGGCTCTTTGAGGGCTAAAAAACTAAGATTTCTTCAAAGAAAAGAAAAGCAAGTTCCAGCTCTCTGTAATATCTCCGAGTTGGATATGAAAGTATTCGTGCCGAGTCTGCATTATATACACACATTTCCTGTGCCTTCCTTTATCTTCCCATCCAAAACTGGCCTCCTGGGATATGCTGGAACATTTTGTGACCCACTGCCTGAGGCTTCTTTTTGTGGAGTAAGCATTAAGAGAGGGAACCCAGTGGGGTACTGCACGTTAACCATAACCTGCTCCGGAAAGCCTCTGCCCACCCTGCTCCCGAGATGATGTCCCATGCACACAGTAAAGATAGCTTTGGACAGATTGTATTATAGTGAAAAATGTGCCTAACGTGTTTACAGTACAGATGGGGCTCCTTGCATGTTGGAAAAAAATATATGTATGAGGGTCTGTTCATTGCTATGCGGCAGCACTTTAAAAATACGCCTGGCTGTACTGAGGGGATGCTGGCCCAAGTTCACGCAGCTTAACGCTACGTGACATCATTGCTTACAGCACCTTGAGCAAATAGAAGACATGCTGAACAGTTTTACCAAAGGAGTTATGGAGAGACATAAACCTGTTGCCCCACCTCCAAATAAAGCCCACGGTGAAGGAAAAGGCATAGGGAAGGGCAAGAAGGAGGATGCGAGGCACAGCGTACCGTGGAAATAAACGTTCCCCCAATTGACTGATTATTGGTGTGTAGTTAATGTGAAATAGGTGGTTGTTTAGGTAATTGGATGCTTTTTATTTCATGAGAATGAAATGGGGTTGTTGTGCCAGAGCCATCTCAAGGGAGTTGTGGGCGATTATATGTCATTACTACATGTATATTAATAGATCCCGGTAATTCAGCCGCACTGTATTTTTCAAATAAACAAAAATCTTCAAGTCCCACAATAGCCTCCAATTAAGAAGTTGTTTCACAGCAGTGTTTAAGAAATAATGTAAACTGAAAACAGCAGTCAAGCTAAATGGGAGAGTAGATTTCCAAGCAAAGCTAAATTTTTAACTTTGAGCTGTGTTAATAATTCACGGAACAAACTCTAGATGCACTATCTGTGCTTTCAGCTGCTTGGTCCAATCAGTCCATTATTTTTAAATTTAAAGTAGGGGGAAAATAAGTAATTTCCATTGAGGTCTGCTCTATCAATAATGCAAGGTTATTTCAGATGTTCTGGAGGATGTTATAGTTAATATCAGGATTATGTATGTTCTGCTTCTGCCATAGAGACAGCAATTATTCAAACTTACGTTGTTTTCTTTCTTCTTCCAAGAGCACAAAACTGTTTCTCTTACTCGTGTACAATGTTATGGGCTGCCACTCATAATCATTTTACCTGTTTCAGCAGATCCCTCAGGCCTCCATACAAAACCCTAAATAATCCATTACATCAAAAGCAGTGTTCTGTCCGCGAGAGACAGATAGGAAGGGGAAGACCTGACCTTTTAGCAGAGTACCCTTTTCAGGAAAGAAACATCGTTTCTATGGCAAGGAGAAAGACAGATTTCAAGCCATTTATTTTCTGAGCTTTCCTCCTAAATTTGAAGAAGAGGAAAAATGGAGAATCACATGGAAGTGTAAGAAAACAATGCTCACTATCAACCAATCAGTGTTATGCCACAGTGAGGAATGGAGCTCTGTCTGTTATCAGCTGTGTGGCAGAGTAAGGAGGAACAGCTTCAGTAGTGTTTTTCCTTTTAAGAATGTAAGATTTCCACTTCCAACTTTTGTGGGGGTGTTTTAATTTAAAAAATAAAAATAAAAAAAAATAGTGCTACATAAGATTGTAATAAGGAGGTTATTAATATCTCATCTGCATCTTGCAGAGGAGAACATTTTGAGCCATGGAAAAAGCTGTCATTTCCTTGGGGCTGTTTGTTTAGTCCTTTGCTTAAGGGATATGGCCTGTGGCTAGAAAAGGCTGAGAGCAGTGAGGTGCTGGAACAGCTGCCCAGAGAGGCTGTGGATGCCCCATTCCTGCAGGTGTTCAAGGCCAGATTGGATGGGGCTCCTGGCAGCCTGGTCTGGTATTAGATATGGAGGTTGGTGGCCCTGCGTGCGGCAAGGGGTTGGAGCTTGATGATCCTTGAGGTCACTTCCAACCCAACCCTTTTTATGATTCTGTGATTCTGTGACAAGAGGTTGATTTATTTACCTTGTAGAATGGGGTCTGGGAGGGGATGTAGTTGCTCTTTTTAAAATACAGCCTAGGAGTAAAGACCCCACAAGGAGAACAATGTAATCCAAAAGGCGATGTTAGCAGAGGATCAAATTGTTATAGACTCACTATGAATTATTTAGATGAGAAATTAAATGAATGTTTCTAACCAGCCGAGTAGTGGAGTAGCTTTCCAAAGAAATCCTGGGAAGCAGAAAAAAATAGCTCATTTTCTGGTGGAGCTTTCACTGTGAAAAGGACTTTGAATTGTTTTCTGAGGGCCCAACTTGAAGGTTCTCAATTTCACAATCCTATGTTCCTAGGTCAGTCTGTAATGCTAAACAATAATGAAAGACAGCCAAAGCTTCTGCAAAGGATGGAGTACTATAATCAGTATGAAACATCATGATGGAGGAGGACAAACAAAGCAAGGCACTTGGAATTTCCAGATTGCTTTCAGCAGGTTTCAGGCAAGACAACTGCAAAAGAAGCAGGCTTCTTCCAGGAGCATTTTCTTGGTAGCTTGGTAGTTTTCATAAACTCTGGATCACATACTTTTCTTTTTTGACTCCCCTGAACTACAGTCTTTTTACTTAATTCTTTAGTCCTTACCCAAAGAAAAATCTTTTGCATAAAATGAGCCAGGACCACCCTCTTTCTTTCTTCTTTTGTAAGGAAGCAATGTTAGATTCTTGTCATTTCAGGAAGCAGAGTCAGGTTATTACCAAATATCTGCCTCCTTTCTTGTAAAAAATATGCTTTTGACTTTCTTCATTAGAATTACATGTGGTATTACCTTATGCTGTAATGGGGTATCACACTAGTGGTTAATTTTTTAATGATGGTCTGAAGATTTCTGCAGTAAAGTTCTCGAAACTGCTAGGAATCTTTCTGGATTAAAGGCAAGGTCATTATTAAAATCCTTTTCATTTATCCTTTCAGCCCCTTAAGTTTTGGTACAAGAATCTTTAGAAGATAAATGGCTCAGGGCATCTTTTCTTCTCCGCAGTTCATAGCCTGCATTAGATTCATGAAAGTCATTTTTTCCCAAACACGAAGAATCCCTTTGCTTGTCTTTACTGAAGGAAGCCATTCAGACAGAAAATTCCTTTCAGTGTACAGACTGTACGTCTGTATCTGAAGGAAGATGTGAGGGGCTGCTGAAGAATCCTTTGGATGTCTTTCAGCATCTAGTAGCATGTTGCAGAGGAACAAAGCGTGTATTTGGGCCAGCTCAATGCCATACATCCCCTATTGCTCCAAGCTGCTGTGGAGGAGATCTGGGTTTTCCCATGGGTCTCAACCAATGCAACACACAGGAGTTCATCGTGCTGTGCTTCCTCTCTCAAGCCTCTCTGGCAGCTATTTTCATCATCCTAACGAACCACAGAATGGTTCGTTACTTTTCAAATGGCTCTTGGTTACTCTAAAGGTAAATATTGTTAAATGAAGGCTCTATGAACATCCATCCACGAAGGACGTTGCCTGCGACAAAATAATTTACTTTTGTCATTTCCAAAGCGAAACACTGGTTTGCTGTGTTGGTGACCGTCAGCGTGCATTTTCAGTAATCTGTTATTTATATTCTGCATCCCACAAATTTGTTGCTAGTTACCATGCTCATCCTAACGAGAATATTCTTCACGTGAACATTTTTCAGCCACCCAAAGCAGAGAGTTTGAACGGGCTGCTGTTGGGGTACCGCATCTACTACAGGGAGCTGGATTACGACGCTGGGTCTGCAACTGAATCCAAAGCTGTCAGGAACCCCTCAGCTTTAAGAGCTGAGCTCACACGTAAGCCTGTGTTTTGGATGCTTATCTTATCCCTGGATGTCTTTATACCAGACGCTATGTGCACTCCTACTTATGGAAAGAACGCACCATTATGCCCAAACTGCTGGAGATAATTTAGATTTCACCCAGTCAAGGTGAAGATGCTGGAAAATGCTAATAGCCTCTGTCTGATCAGCATCGCTTGTAATGGTGCACTCTAATCTGTGCCAGCGTGCTTGAATCGATGTTCTGTCCTCCACGTCCCCTCTGATTTCCTGCTTTCTGCCATCTCCACAATTACCCCGGTAGACATTTTCTGCCATCAGGCAAAAAGGAGAGAGATTTCATTTTCCTCAGCTTGCTATTTTCTAATAGTTTTTATAATTGACATTTTGTTTTTCTTTTTGCAGTAGAGGAAAACAGCTGAGGAGAAATCTTAAATAGCACTTGTAAAATTTTGAAGTGCTTGTCCTTATTTTGGAAGAAAATAGCAAAAATGAGCAAGAAGGTGCATGCTTGCTCTGGTGGTTGCTGGGATTTTTTTTTTGGAAGGAAGGTAGAGAGGGAAGGGAATAATAGAAAAAAGTGAAAAAAGCTTAGACAAAGGGTAGAAAGGAAGAATAGGCAGAATAAGGTGATGGAGGTAAAGATGTGAGTGCTCAGTAACCCTACAGATATGGCCCAGCAATGAGAGGTGCTCACAGCAGGACCGACTTTAGTCCTGTTTGATGTCAGTGGAATATTCAGAGTAAGATGAAGGTCTATGAGCAGCAGAATATGCCAAGACTGCTTTAACGTCTTACATCATCTCCCATGTTTCTCTGAATCCATAAACATGGTTTCTATAAAAGCAAAAATGATTTTTGTGTGAATGTGGGAAAGGTGAATGTATTAATGTAGCAACAGCTTCCATCTGTGATTCCATTTACATTGTCAGACCTGAATGAGGGCTCTGGGAGCACAGAGGTTAAAGCAGAGCAGACATGTACAGCTCCTCCAGGTGCAGGCATGCACAAGTGTTTTTTTTTCCAGGCAAAAGCTGAATGATGAGCTGTGTATCTCATCATAAAGTAATGACTTTGGATGCTCTCTAGTCTTGTAAGCTGGAAGCTTGTAATACCTACTGGTTTCCTCTCTTCCCTCTTCTTGCTGGCCCTGCAGCAATGCTGCTAATGGCTGTATAGTAGAAAACACCTTGCTTTGCTTCTCCAGGGAGGCAAGAGGGGGAAAAAAAGGGTGGGAGACAAGTATTATAAGAGAAATATCCCTCTTTCTCCTCATAATATGACAGTTCTCACCACAGTGCACCCTTGTTTCTCACTGACCTGCAGTTTTACACTGCTTAACATATTACTGCAGTTCATTCACAGCAGGAATGTTGAATTCTGTAAGTGAAACTGTGGGAAATCTAACATACATTTAAAGAAACGGGTCCTACCGTACTGTAAGTGTTTGCTCTTCGTGGCCCATGTTCCAAGTCTTTACCCTGCAGCTCTCTCTGTTTCAAATTTTGCATGTTGAGACATAAGAATGCTATACAGTGTTTAGTTTCTCCCCTAGAAACTGTTTCCTTTGCACTCATTTATTCTGTTTAATCTAAGAGTCAGAACATTTCTGTATTGCATATTTGTGTGATTCTCTGTTTGAGGAGGAAATGAAAAAAACCCGTGTGAGTGAGATGCTTTTGATGTGTTACAAGAGTGATGTGGTTTTATTGCCCTTCGAGGTATAGTCCTAAAGCTCAAACTGTGTGTGTGTGTGCTGCATCATTTGCCTCTGTCTCTGCTGTACATCATTTGCAATAACTGTTTCCTTGCACTGTAACAAGCTTTCTGCTTTGCTTACCCTGAATAGCCCAAAGCAGCTTCAAGACAGTGAACAGCAGCTCTGCATTAACGACGTATGAATTAACACGTAAGTGCACATTGCCTTTAGATGAGACTCTTTGTAATGGTTCAAAATACAATGCAGGCAAACTCTTCCAGTTGTCCTCAGCGGATCTGGCAGAAATCAACACAAATTAATGATTCTGGTTTCCGGAGTTCCTTTTTCTTTAAGCCTTTGCTTTCTCTACATCAATAGACATTGATGATGCAAGTAGGTAGTGGTTGTAAAATTGTGGCTGCTGGGAAGGTAAAACATTGTTGACTGTAACAACCCAGCATTGCTGATGCTAAATGAATTTTGATTTGCTTGCTACGTATTTTGCAGTCCATCTGAGTTTAGCAGTATCACATCATTAGCCCTACGATTCAAGCATTGCAGTGCTCGAGCATTCCTTAGAGTATGAGGCCAATTTAGAGAGGGCCCAATGAATTTATATGCATCTCCAGAGGTGTTTTCAATTGGAAATGAATAAAATAGCATTCGACAGAGTTAAAAGGCAAGTTGCTTTGTGGTGATGATGGTTCACTAGATAGGTTTTGCCCAAGGCTTTTGAGTCACAGATTGTGCTGGGCTAAAAAAAAAAGAAGCCCTATCCCCACTGAAACTTGCATGCATGAACTCTCATATGTTCCATTTTCTTCCACATCCAGTTAACGCTAAAATCTCCCTTGTGGCTTTTCATGGCAGCAATTAAACTTTCTCTGTACCAGCTGCCTAGTACTGAAATTCTAATCAGGAGCTATATATCTTACATTTTTTTTTTTAATATTTATTAATGGACTGGCAAAAAGTTAGTGATGTATTGGATATCATTTACTCTATACCGGAGAATAGGAAACGAGGCTGAACTCTGAGTCAGGCACAGGAGCAAGGCACTTGTAAATATTTCCATGGAAGTAAAACTTGAAGAACCAGCATGATTAGACTTATTGAACCTCACCAAACCGATAGCATTCTGTCAGCCTCAGAGAGAAAGGTACAGTGTGATTCATAGATAACAGAGAAAATTATTGGCAAAGGGAGAAATTTGTACCCCTGGCCATGCATGTCTTAATCAATTCTGAGCTCATTTAAATACAGCGATTTATATTATTGATCTCTTTCTTACTTTAATTTCACTGTTAAATATTTTAGATGATAAATATTTCTGTTAGAATTGATTCTTCCATCATAGAAAGGCAAAGTCCAAAACTGCTCAGCTGCTGCCTTCCCAGTGACACTGACATGGTTCTAATCCATCCCCATTTACATCTATTAATTGCCCCCATACCATTGGGTTTTCTTGTTTTTTTTGTCGCACTGCTTTTATTGTCCTACCTTATCTGTAAATAGTTTCTATGTCAGCTAATAAATTGGTTCTGTGATGGTCAAATGGAGCCCACATTTCAAATTCTCCTTTCTCTTTGTGATTGACGTTTAAACCATGTTCACGTTGAGGGAGAAAGATATGCATGCAGTACTTTGAATGGGACCACAACTTCCCTGCTGCAGGTTGTCCTCTGGATCCTGTCACAGCAGTGACATTCTCAAGCCATGCAGCTGCCAAATGACCCCTGGGTGGAAGTCTCTGGGGCTAGGCAAAGGCTTGAAGTCATGTTCATTCCTACCAGTAGAGATCAAAATGAGCCCACGTGTTCAGCATTCAAAGTCCCATCTTTTCCCTGTCATTAGGAATGACCCAGAGGTATTCCCCTAGCTAGTTAATCATCAGGGTGATCCTTCTTACTGGAGTGACACAGTGAAAATACTGGAAAATTCTGTCATCTCGTAGCAAAGATCTTTCATAATTGTGCAGATCCTACTGTGATGAATGTGTTGAGGAAGGGTGGAAGTAGATAGCACTCCATTGCACTGTTCTAAGGCAGTATTTCATGAGAGAGGTGTGGTGATGAAGAAGTGATGGAGACTAAGACAGGTCAATACTGTAATATGCCATGAATAATAATATGTAATATAATTTACATTTTCAGAGTTGAAGAAATACAAGAGATATGAAGTGTTGATGACAGCATATAATGTCATTGGTGAGAGCCCTACCAGCACACCAGTGGAAGTGTTCGTGGGTGAAGCAGGTAGGTAAAACAGGCTTATATATATATATTTTTTTTTAGTGTCATCAAGTTCAGGCATTCTTCAAACATTGGGAAAGGACTTGATCATTATCTCTGTCAGTTTTCTGTAGCATCCTCTCCTGGAATAGGTTGGCACCAATAGCTTCTTACCTTTTCAAAGCCAGTTGGTCTACAGTAATAAGGGAAGAAGGTGCATTTGAAAGAAAAAAGAGAAAATCCTTTTTGGAGTTGCAGGAGGATGACTGTTCATACCAAATTAGCTTGAGGGAAAAATTGACTCAAGTTAAAGAAGTAGAAAGTAGAGCATAGGAAAGCCACAAGGGAAAAGAAACAAAACTACAAAACAAGGGAGACTTGGGAAGTTGGTTCTTTTATTTTATTGCTGTCTGTGTAGAGACATTGCCTGTGCACCACATCTTGCTGTATTTTTATGCTCTTGAAGTCAAGAAGATATTGTGTCCAGTTTAATGCTGCCTCTGGAGCTGCAAGATTATTTCAAGAACAGGCAGACTTCTACCCCTGCATCACATGCAGAAGCTGTGGTGCAGTGTCACTACTCATGCTGCCACTTACTATGGACGTGGTGCATGAATTCAGGCTGCATTTATGAAGTGTAACTTGCCGATCAATTTTAAATCCCTCCATTGGAAGGCCGGAGGCAGACATCAGGACAAGAGAGTGAAGTAGGCGCTCCTCTGAATGCTTTGTGAAACAAGTGCTTTGGCGGAGCAGAGATAACCTGCAGCTGAGCCTGTTCCTCTCCAAAGCTCCAGTGGAGGACTGGAATAGCTGATGCTGATGTCTTCCTCCCCAGCCCGGTGGCGATGCAGGATTTACGGTGACCCCAGCTGGAGAGAGGCTGGCACTGAAATGGCTGTTAGTTATGGTATCAATTTCTGCAGCAACATCTTTTGAAGCTTAGAACAAGAATAGGCAACGCTCCCTCCTGTTGTTCAGTCTGCTGCTGGGAACAGATCTGATTGCACTTTTGTTCTTCTGTCTCAAGGCTAAGATGTAAAAGTTAGCAAACTCAGTGCTAATACAATTTATTGTCATTCACTGAAGATTCTATTGCTCAAAACTAAGTAAAGCCCACTTCTTTTTTTTTAGTACTGCTTAACCTTTGCATTTCAAATAACGTATGACATTCACTATCTTTCTCTGAAAACGTCATAAATTAATCAGGTAGCGTGTTTCTGGAGACAGCTGGCAATACCTACATGTTTTCTAGTTTGCTGCTGCTCCAGTGTCTTTCTGTAACTGCAGCAAAGGAAGCCCTGAGTGGAGCCAACTGTATCTGACTTCAAAATAGATTTTTGTTTCAGAACAAAATATCTCCCTGCTGCAAACTGAGCCAACAACTGCATTTCTACACAGCATTTCTACAGAGCATGGAAAATCAAATGGGGAGAAGAAAGAGGTGGTGGTGCTCATGTATGTTAACCAGACAACACTTCATCTTCATTGCAGTTCAGACAGGGAAAGGGCAATGGAGGAGGCCAAACTTGGGATGAGACCAGGCTGCCCAGGGAGTGGTGTGGGTCACCAACCCTGGAGGTGTTCAGGAACTGCTGAGATGTGGCACTACGTGGTTTTGTGTCACAGTGGGGATGGGTCAACAGTTGGACTTTGGTGGTCTCAGAGGTTGTTTCCAACCTTAATTATTCTAAGGCTTTCTTGCAAAGGCAGGGCTGGTGTTTTTTGGGGTTGTAACATGACTCAGTGTGGATCCTGGCTCTACCTCTGGTTAGGGACAATCTGGGTTCATGCAGTAGAAGTGATGAACATAGAATCTTCCTGCAGATTTTCACACTTGTAGTGTGAAGTTATTATGCTTTGTTATATAACTGCCTCTTCCACCTCCGGAGCTGGCTGTGATTTATACTGTGAGCAAAGTGATTGGAGCTGGTGCTGCAATTTAGGTTTTAAATTGATTTGTGACACTTTTGAGTAGAAGTGTGCTGTGGAAATGCAAGTTTTTGTTGTTATTGTTTGCTTGATGTTCTTACCCATGGTAGAGTTGGATAAGTAGCAAGCTGGAAAAAATGGGTCCACTTAGCTTTGATGATGGGACACCCATGTAAATAGTAGAGGAAACCTTGGCAGTAAACAAAAGCAACTGACAATGTGAGCATAGCACTGAACATAAAGTGACTGAAATGGACCAGTCCCCAGCCTGGAGGATAATTTATGTCCAAGTACTGCTAAATGGTGCTTCGTTGTGCTGTAAGGGTCTCAGTAATTCTAGTAGGTGAAAGAAGATTCCTTGCAGTTGTAAAAAGGAATATACAGCACACATCTTTGTGGGAATGTGGTGGTTTTAGGTAAAAGAATGTTTTAGGTAACATTTCAGAGGAAATACCCATTTCTGTGCAGTCTGCCATGTTTTGTACAGCATGAAGCATCCAGAAATCATCCTGATGGTTGGTGTGCCGTGTGGGATGGGAGCAGCAAACAGCCCAGCCAGATAAACAGCGCAGGAGGACGAGCATCCCAAACCTTTCCTTTGCTCTTGTGCTCTCCCCTGTGAGACCTGAAAATGTTCCTATCATTGTATCTGGATTTTTACAATACAAACTCAAATAGGCAATGAATCGTACCCAAGACAGCATCCGAAGTGTTCAGCTCTCATGGGCTTGGGCCAAGGGCAAGTGGAGATTCCTGGCCCAAGTAACAGGGCTGATATGCCAGGTGATTTAAGGGGATGGATGCAGGCAGATTTGGGTTTGGTTTGGTTGGTATTTTTTGTAGTAGGTGGAGCAAAACTTTTTTCTCGTAGCATCAGTTTTGTCCCATCCACTGAAACAGCCCAATAAAGGTTTTATGTCTGCACGTTTGCAAACTTCTCTGATGTGGACAAGAAACCATCCCTATGCTGCACTAATGGGTCTGAGTGGAGCCAGCACTTCCCTCACCTGCCTTGAGCCCCTGCATCCCTCTCCTACGTGGAGGAGATCCATGGAACGTTGCCTATTTAGATCTGGCTGCCCTGCTCATTAGAGAACCACATGCATCTCCTGACAAACAGCACTAAATAAACAAATAAATAAGAATTGAAAGTTGCCACTTGCAGCAGTGAGAAGGGAGCTGCAGCCCCTCAGCAAGTCCCCTTCTCGCCTGGTTAATTCATTGAGCAGTTCAGCTGTCAGGGACTCCGGCTTTGATTGGGAAGGCAGAAAGAAGCTGTGCTGATCATCATCCTGGCCCTAAATGCAGCTGCTACCAGAGGTGCTGTTCTGCTTGACTGAAATTAAGGCTCTGTTAGAGCAGCCCCTACATCAAGAGCATTATTCTGCTGGGTCACTGTCGCTGTCTGATTGTGCCGTGGGCTCTGGAGTTCAGGGTAGTCCACCACCTGCATTTTAATTAAACAGAAAGCACAGGTTTGGGGCAGGCATGCTTCACCTAATTTGGGCTGGTGAATAAAATGGGAGGTGGCAATACAAATCCTGTGCTAACGAGCCTGCAGCATCCAGTGCTTCTCTCATATACTGCAAAGCTGTTCTGGATGAAAAATAATGGAATTCATAATTTCTTTCAGCAGCTGCTGCTGGAGAAGAGTGTGTGTGTATAGAGGGGAGGTAGCAGAAGGGGTGAAGTGCTCTGAAAGACACTTGCCTTTAAATAGGTTGTAAGTCCATTTGTCTGAAGAGGGAGTGATGTGTGTCATTATAACTGATGGTGGCATCGGTGACCTTCAGAATTCACAGGAACTGATGAGGCTGGTTTGTTGTTGTTGTTGTTCTCTTTAATAATGATCTCTCAGAGCCCATTCTGCAAAGGGAAGGGGAAGGAACAAAACGCTGGCAGACAGAGATCCACTCCTTAGAAGTCCTCCACTGAAAAGCTGCTGTGGTTGCTAACATCGTCTTTCAGGAAAGCAGGTTTCGTGCCCATCTCACTTTCATCAGAGTGAAACCTCAGCTTAGAAGGGGGCAGGGCTGGGACAGAGAGTTGAGCTTCTCTTCTCTTATCCTTTACAAATATTTGAATTTACCCCTTGGTGCAAAGCTCACAGAGGCCAAAGCGAATATTCCTCTTCTTGCTGTTATCACAATTATTTCCATCTGCCCGCAGCTCCACAGCTGTTCCTGGAGCTCCCAAAGTTAGTTTTGTGCAGCCACACCTGGAGCAAGGATGGAGGCTCAACCCTGCAGTTACAGCAAGAGTTGTGCTTGGAGCTGCCAGTGTTTTACAGTCAAGGAGCAGAAACTATCTGGAAAGCTCCAAGACCAACAGTAGTGATTTTGAATGGAGGAAGAGAAGACAAAATAGGAGCCATGCTAAGGAGAGGCAAGCCTCACAGCAAAGCAGAGACCAGCATCCCTTTGTGAGCTGCTTGTAGCAAAGAACTCGTGTCACTTTCAACCTGGATGTTTGTGTTCATGCAGTGCCTTTCTGTCTCTCCTGCTAATGCTGGAGAAGGCCATCAGAACAAGGCTGCTTTGTCCTTGAGTGTTTTTGTCTCTTTCTGCGGGTTTGTGTGCTCGCTATACGTATAACCTGTGTGGCCTCACCTCCCTGTTGTAGGTTGCTTTGTGGAGAAGGGAGACACTCAGCACTACCCCGGGCCTCCCTTTTCTGTAGCATGGAACTGTTTCTCCTTCTCTGCCCGCAATGGAGCTGAGAAGATGCTGCACAGAGAAGTCCCCTGTGCCTCCTTGTTAACAACCTGCAAGAGGAATGACAACATTTCAACACATTCAAGCTGGCAGCCTCAATCAGACTGCTGTGGCCCTTTGGCTGTTTTTTCCTATCTGTCTGGGACACACGTGCCCTGTCCCTCTGTGGCTGGCTGTGCCTATGCAGATAGCTGTGTGTCGCTGCTGGCATGGCTGGAAGAGCTGGGTGGGCATTTCCATCCCAGCCCCCACTGGAGAAGGGCAGGGAAGAATCGTTGTGGCCATTTCACACTGCAGTAGTCTAAAACCTGTCAGCCTAGGGACAGCATCTTCCCTTGATAAACAAAAGGGGAGGGAGGAAGGCGAGGGAAACTGGTA